CGAGAAAGGAAAAAGAAAAAGCCGCCCGCGCTAAGCACCCAGCGTGTCACGACGTGCTGATGTGTGCTTCTCCCACACTTACTTTGCCCTGTGAATGGGGGAGGGCATTTAGATGCTTGTGCGCACGCGCTTATCCTTCGGTTGGGAGAATCGCGTGCCTTCGACTTTGACCAGAACGATTGTGTTTGGTTGCTGGGTGCACCACGATCACTTTGCTCGCTGGACAGGTGCCATTTGCGAAAAAAGTGTGCTTTTAAAACAAAGCGAAGTAACAAATAGGGCACTTATTAGTTCGCACTCATATCTGTACCTGTGATTACGTTTTGTGCCTCGTTTTTGTTGAAACAGTGTGTTAATCAAGCGATAAACGTTGTTATTTCGCTCTCGTTCTGTGTATGTTGCTTTCGTGCGTCATTTGTGCATGAGCAGCGCGTTGCACGTTCTGATCTACTTGCTGTTCTTAGCGTTACATTCGAAGTTGTTGCTATTACAGTCATTAATTGCTTCACCTTTGTGACGAAACTGTGACTTTTTTTAATTTCCAACAAGCGTGTCATCACCACTCAATGAATTTTAGATTAAGCGCTAATGCAAACAGACCACGATGCCGACAGATCTTCGGAGGTCAACTCATCATATGCTTTTATCTTGCGCGGCGCCGCAAGGTCGCAGGCTGGTAGCTTTCGCGATTAGGCGATTAGTTCTGGCAGTACGACGGCGCGTCGAAGGCAATGCAATGAATGTGGTAGCAAAAATTGTCATGTTATAAGTAAGGCTGGCAGCCAACTCTTTTGGATGCGATATCGCAGAACTCTTTCAAAACACTGGTTTGAGCGAATACGGCTGCTCTAGGGAGAAATGCTCTTTTTACACAGTCCCTTCACGTTGAAACCGCATCGGTACACGCCGAGATAGCAAGCGCGCCATTGATCGGTACCGCCCTTAAAATCCAAGTTCATTATTGCTACTCGAGCGATCCCCCCCCCCCTCCCCCTCATTTCATGCTCGTTCAAGACGGGTGCTTTACTTTCTGCTTGAGCATTCAACGGCAGTTATAACACATGGGAGGTGTTATCTTATGCACTTTCCAGGTGATATGGATGGGCCGACTCATTTGATCTCTGCTTCATCAGCGCTCACGTGCTTTTACCCGCTCGTGAAAGTTACGACGCGCAGGGACATGTTATCAATTTGGACTTGTTACGGAACATGGCAGCGATGGCGAAAACCCACGGAGAGTGCCTATATAATTGCTATCGCAATAATGATGTAGTTTTTTACTGTAAAATAAGTGTTTCGGTTAGCTCTGCCTTCAGTCCTCCATTTGTTTAATTTGCGCATTTATTTTCCAAATTTTTGCATCGCACCTGCATATACCGAAATCCTCTTTATAACAAATTTTTAGGAAATTTATCTATTTGGTTATATCCAGCTTTAGCTCTATGCTCACATAATCAAGCATAGTTGGGGGTGTGTTTATTGCGCAAGGCAAATTTTATGAAATTTTTTGGGGATGAGCAAGCCATGCGGTGATTAAAAAGAAAAGGTATGTCAACCTTTTGCTATCGACATACGCATACACTGTTCGTGAACAGCTTCCTTGTTGCACTCACATCTTCGGTGGTTGATGACGCTGTCTTCTGCAAGCTGTCCCCGCGCTGCCCGTGTACTCCATAGAAGCATTTCGCAGTTTTCTTTTCTCGCAATCGTTTGACCTCAACAGTGATATCTGCTGTGATCTCGAGAGGCACCCAGAAGCATGTGCTACGACACTAGGACACACTTTTGCCAACTCTTTGTGGCAACCTTTCATGACTACTGTGACCACGACGTTGACAGTACCCGCAAGTAACTAACATTGCTGCAAGCTACCATCGAAGCATCACAACAAACCGTCGATAACAAGATCAATGACGAAATGCAGCCGCCGCCTCAATGTCCACATGAAAGGTAGCTGTAGAAAAAATAGCCTGCATCTTGTGTTCCTTGAAGTATGCGCACTTATGAAGCATGAAGAGCATATTTCAATCAAACCGAGAATCAGCATGCTACCATGTTGTGGAAATTGTTGCGAAAAGCGATTTTTATGTTTTGTTTGCAGAAACCTACGACATGGCTGCGATGCTGTGGCAATGAATGGCCCTTCGTGACAGCCATAGCGACAGCAAATTGCCAATATAGCTCGAACATCACATGCATGTGCTTGGGGCTTAATGTTTCGTATTTGCGGGAAGTGAGCGTTGGTTGGCATAGGCAGTTTTGTGACCTTTGCTGATTATGTGCTTGTCAGCGGCGGTGTACTTACTCTTGCTTAGTTCGTGAGCCCTGCTGTCGTGCACAGATAATTAAAAAAGACAGCGGACGTGCCATGCACAAATAGAAATAAAAAGTCACAGTCCCGCCAGAAGGGCGAAGCAATGAATGCGATAGCAACAACTTGGAATGTAACGGAGAAAATTGCTAGCTGATCGAAACGTGCAGCGCGCTGCTCATGCACAAATGACGCATGAAAAGAACACACACAGGATTAGAGCTAACTGACAACGTTTACAGCTTGATGCTTAATGCGCTCTTTAAACAAAAACGACGTACGAAGCGTAATCACAGGTACAGATATGAGTGTGAACTAACGAGTGTCCCAATTGCTACTTCGCTGTGTTTGAAAAACGTGCTCTTTTCGCAAACAGGGCCTGCCCAGGGAGCGAAGTGACCTTTGTGGCCCCGGCAACTAACACAATCGTTCTGGTGAAAAGCTAAGGCACACAATTCTCCCACCAAAGGATAAGCGCGCACACAAGCACCTGACCTTCCCGCCACCATCCGTGGGGCAAAGTACGTGTGGGAGACAAGCATGCGTTAGCGCATCACGATGAGCTGGGTGCTGAGCACGGGCGGCTTTTTCTCTTTCTTGAGTTTTTATATATATATATAGATACATATGTGTGCATGACAGCAACGGAGGGGACAGCAAAAACCAGCTTAGACTGTCCATATAATTGCTGTCATAATAAAAACAAAAAGGCGTGCTGAAGCAGTTAAGGTGGGGGGAAGGGCTGAGGGGGATTAGCATAATAAATAAATAAAAAAACTTGACAAGATCCAACGGGCAAGCGGGCGCCAGGTGTCGGTATGGGGCGCTGTAATGTATGAATGTAGGGGGTGTTTATTATGCGGAAAACAAAAACAAACATTGATGAGTGAAGTTGGGGATGCATTTATTATGCAAGTGCATTCATTATGCGTGTAAATATGGTAAACTGTAGTATCTCGTTGAAGGAACAGACATATATGTCTCACTTAAGAATAGTTTCATTTACTCAGAGATAAAGAGCGATCCAGATTTCAACCATAAAATTGACCATACTTAAGGCAGTTTCATTTTGAGCAGCAGTTTTGTTTAAACAGTTATAATTTACAGTGTCTGCTGTACTTTAATTGCAAACTACGAATAGTGCCCCCTATGGTTCCTTTGGCATCATTTCCTGTTATTGAAGATTTATAATAGTGTAAAGGTATTTAAAACTTGTTTGACTTGGTATTCAGTAATCTACGGGATTTAGATATCTATTTCGTCTATTTTGCATGTTGACTAAGGAAGAAAAAAAAAGCAAAAAGTCTCAGCAAAATTACGAAAGGGCAATGGGATTTCATGGGGCAATTACTTTCACTTTCTCTTATTTCTTGGTATATTTATTTACACTTGTTGCATTTTTGTATATTTGTGTACTGATTTCAAATGTGCAATTATTCCAAAATGTGCAATGACCAGCTTTTTAATATTAAATACATCATGTGCCATCTGGGTAGCAATATTTTCTTATATAAACTGAGAAAATTACAAGGTAAATTAGCATATCACATTAATCTAGAATTAGAACTGTGTGTGGTACAGCAAAAATAAATGTTATTGATTCATTTGCACAGAAGTTATGGTATGTTGAATATTCGTGTGGGAAATTTCACTTGACAATGCCTCATTTTTACTGAGCTTCCTAGGGAGCAATGCATGCAAAACGTGGTGATTCATGCATTTATTGCAACGAAAGGCCTTGTTGAATGCAATTTTTCGCTTACAGCTGCGTTAGCCACTCCTGCAATAATGACTGGCAGCTTGTTCGAATTCTCAGTGCTCCAAGTCTTTTAGAAAACGTTGGACTGCTCCCGCAAGTCTGAATTCAGTTTTTTTTTTTTAGAAGATTATGCATGATCAGTGGGGGATCAAACAGTGGTATGAAGGGTCTGAAATTGTTGTCTGACATTTTTACTGTGGGAGTTCTTTGAGTTGTCGAAGCATCGTGCATTAGCCCAACATTTGGATCCTATGTGCTTTGATAGCAGTGCAACTATTTACTTGTTAGGTTAAGGTCGAGGAGGAGGGCTCTCTGCCCGGCCACGGTGGCTGCATTTTGAAGAGCACCTGTGTGCTTAAGTCCAGGTGCACGTTAAGAGAGCACCTGGTGGTCAAACTTATTCTGGAGTCTCTCCCTAGAGCATGCGTAACATGTGTATCAAGGTTTTGGCCTGTGGAACTACAGAATTCAATTCCACTTGTGTCACCTGTGTGTTTGCGTTTTTCTTGGGCTAGTATACAGTAGGCTCTCATTAAACAAAACCTGAAGGGACCAGTAAAATGTGTTCCGTTTAGCAGGAATTTCGTTTACTGAAGATGAACGGGGCCACACAATGCAAGAACAAAACCAATCTTGTTAGAAGCATTTCTTCCATTTAAGCAGCAGCTTCACTAAACAGATTTTCGTTTACTGAGAGTCTACTGTATAGTGAGAACATAACTGTGCTTGGAGTTTGAGGTAACGAATTCTCTTTGCTGTTGTACACAGGAGTGAATAGTGATCACCTATGACCCTTCCCATAAATTGATGAAGATGAATGCCACTTGATATTTCTTCGCTTACTGATAACATGTTTACAGTTGTCGATAGCCATGGCTCGTGCTTCCTGTTAATTAAAGAAAATGTTGTTGGCTTTGACTTCATGTGCAGGCTCGTGATAACCCTCCAGTCAGACCTTCCTGTGGTGTCCCTGGCCGTGCAAGAGCCCGAGAATGACCCCCGCTGCTGCTGCTACCTGTGGTCAGCCCAAACATCTGCAGGCAACACGTGAGTCAGCGTGGCTGCGATTACTCACTCAAGTTTTATCAGCAGTGTGCTACTTTCACATGAGTAAAGCTGCTTCCAAATGTAGCATTGTGCAAATAGCAAAATTTTGGGTGTGAAGTGTATGTGCAAATCGAATACAGTTAAACCTCGTTATAACGAAATTGGAGGGCCGCCGCTATTTGGTCGTCATAACCAATATTCTTTATAGCCGTAGCGGGCATTTACCGCAAATATTATGCACTGTACTTACCCCAAAAAAATAGCGGGCGAAATAGCATCCCGCCGCACGGTGGTATGCAACAAAATAACCGCATTCCCAAATAAAAAGGAAAAAGTCATGCACCTGTTTTAACACGCTTTAAAATACACAGCTTGCATTTCAGGCAGACTTAGCTGCAAAGAAGTTCGTAATTGGATGTTGATGCATCTTCCTGATGCGAACGATGGCTCGCTCAGCTGCGGCCGCATTGTTCAAGCCATCTTCGCCGCTCTCGTGAGCGCCGAAGTAGCGGCGCAGTACGTCCACCGCGTCTAATGCCTCCAACGCCGTCGGCACGTTTGTCTCCTGTTTGTCGACAGAGTCATCGTCACTGGTTTCGTTAGGATCACTGACAGCGCGCACAATATCGTCATCCAGGAGCTGCTCCGTTGCCACTACTTCTGAGTCCGCACTCACATAGTCGCAAAACGACTCGCTGTCAGGCACGACACCGGCGTCACGAAGTGCCGTCCATGATGCAGGACTTCGTCTGATGTGGCAAAACCGTCCGGCACAGTGGGCTCGTCTGATGGCTCATCGCTGGCATCTGGTGTGGCGGCAAATGAGGCGTGTCGAAAGCAGTTTGCGATCGTGGTCGCCGTCACACTCATCCACGCCGCCTGAAGCATTTTGAGCGCAGCGTACAAGTCAACATCGGTGTCTCGCTTTATCCTTATGTTGAGCAGGAGCTTGTCTATCACACGCTTGCGGTAACCTGCCTTCAGCGACATAATCACGCCTTGGTCAAGCGGCTGTATTTTTGCTGTGCAGTTGGCAGGAAGGAACAGCAGCTCGATGTTTTGAAGCACGGCAGCGATATGGTGGGCGGTGCAGTTATCTAAAACAAGGCACACCTTGCGTTTCGCCTTTGCCAGCTTCTTGTCCCATTCGCAAAGCCATTTTGAAAAAATCTCCCTGGTCATCCAGGCTTTGCGATTGGCTACGTACTTGACTGGGAGCTGCCTCTTTCCCTTAAAGCAGCGAGGGGATGCACTTTTGCCAATTACGAAAATTGGCAGCTTCTCAGAGCCGGTCATGTTTGCACAAAGTAGGGCAGTGATCCGCAGCTTACTTTGTTTGCCGCCGTGGCACGGCTCGCCTTTGAGGGCTAACGTCTTGTGCGGCAACATCTTCAAAAAGAGAGCGGTTTCGTCCGCGTTAAAAATATCCTCCGCGCTGTATTTTTCTAGCAGCCGCACGATGTTTTCTTTCGCCCACTTGGTAGCCTCTGCTTCGTCGACAGATTGCGATTCGCTGCAGACAGCTCTCCCGACAATGTCGTGGCGCTCCTTAAAGCGTTGGAGCCAACCCGAACTTGCTACGAAGTTGTCATAGCCTATGATGCAGGCAAAGTCTCTCGCTTTTCTTTGCAGCAAGGCGCCGCTCACCGGCAGATTCACGGCCCGCGTGTCCAAGAACCATTTAAAAACGGCCCGTTCGATCGCTTCAAAGGCAGGTGCCCTCATCCGCTTAGCGCTTCCTTTCACACCACGTGCAACAGCATCAATGATGGACTCCTGCTTGCTCAAGATGGTTGACAGTGTGCTCGTCGATACGCCAAAGTTTCTTGCCACGTTGCCTTTCTTGGTCCTCGATTCGACGGCTCTTATAATAGCCGCGTTCTGATCAAGTGTTATGCGATTTCGCTTCCCGCCTGGCGCATTTATGTTGCTGGAATCACGAGCGCAGCACGATAAAAGATAAGGCGGAAGCGGTCGAAAAAGAGAAGAAACACGCACGCAAAAGCAACGCGGCTCACGTCGGCGAGCGACAACACTTGCAGAGAAAGTGACTGTGAAGAGGAAGGGGCAGAAGGGGCGCTCTTTTGCGCTGCCCTCTAGGAACCGGTTACTCAAGGGGAAGGGGGTATGTAAGATTAGGAAGCGTGCCTCAGCGCCATGAGAAAGGGGAGAGGGAGAATATAAAAAAGACACAAAAGAAAAGAAAAGGGCGAGACGTTCGCGGAGCTGCGGAGCGCTCCGCTATCGGTGGTAGCCAAGCGGCGCACGTGCAGCGACATCTCCTCCGGAAACAGCGCGTGCCGTCTGCTTTGCGCGCGTTGCTGGAGGGCGCGTGGCGGGAGTTTTGAACTGCTAAATACAGTTCTCGCATTGTGCGCCGTCTCAAATTCGCGTTGTGCACTGTCGTGACATTGGCTCAAAATTTTACTTCCTAACAAAATTTGTTCATTATATCCCATAACAGGCAAATTTTGCCTTGTTAAAACTAGGTTTTGAATACATTGGTTTGTATGGGGACTTTCAAGGGGAATTAGGATTTGCTCGTTATGCCCATTATTTCGTTATAGCCCGTCTCGTTATAACGAGGTTTAACTGTAGAATGTTTTAAGTTATTTCTCGAATATTTTTCCAATACAGTCAAACCTGTTTATAACAAACTGGAAAGTGCAGCTCGAAAAGGGGTCAGCATAATAATAAATTACGTAAGAGATCCAATGGGCAAGAAGGCGCCAAGTGTCGGTTAGCGGGACTGCAACGGATGAATGTAGAGAGTGCGTTTGTTATGCGAGGGGGGGGGGAATCGTCAAAATTTTGTTGACTGAAGTTGGGGGTGCATTTATTCTGCACTCGTTCATTACACGATAGTTCAAATAGTAAGTTTCATCGTGAATCGACTAGCAAACACTACTAGAAAAATATTCAAAACTATGATCATTTGTGTACCTATACTAGTAATAAAGCTGTATAAATAGCAAAATTTTGGGTGCAAAACAAATTTAAATATTAATATGTAAGTGAAAATTTAATTGAATACTTCAAATGAAATAGCAGAATAAAGATTACAGAGGATTCCTAAACACATTCTTACGAGATATGAACATGGAAGTTTTTGTTTTTGGCTTGGTTGGTGAGTTGCAGGAAGGGTGGTGTTCCCTGGCGGTTCAATCAAGGGTGAGATAATACAGAAACCGAATTGTATTTATTTGCATGATTCGGTGCACCCAATTGGGTGTCAACACTTTGCATGGGAAAGGAAAAGATACTATTTCCTCCACTGAGGGGGCACGCCCTTGTCTGCCAAGGGCATGCTCTCTTCGAATTTGTAGGGGGTTCGTCCTATGTACGGCTAAAGCAGAAACCTAACTAAAGCCTCAGCCGTACACAGTTGTACCGTGCACGATTCACACAGTCGTACCTCACACAGTCGTACCGTGCAGACTCGCCTTCGGTTGCGGCACGTGTTGGAGCAACTTGTGGCGGCCGCTCTCTTTTCGCGTCGCAAGATGCCAGAGCGCTACGCGTGACGTTTTCCGTAGTAGGCCTAATTTCTGCTAACGCGGTCTCTGCACCCTCCTGATCATCCCACGTGAAACGACCAAACTTTACGCTGTCGGAAGGTCCTAACAGTGCCCCCGTGTTAGCCAAAGGATCGCCACTCTGCCGTGCGACATCAGACAACATTGACAAATCTTGGAATTCTGACATGCCTGTTATCCTTCGTGTGGGGGAGCATCGGTAGTTGCTCACGTCCACAAACTAGCCGTGTTGCCAAATTCGTTACGTTGGGCGCCAGATGTAGGGGGTCTGTCCTATGTACGGCTGACGCAGAAGCCTAACTAAAGCCTCAGCTGCACACAGTCGTACCAGCATAATTAATGTCCCCTATCCGTAGCTCGTCTCACTGCAGCTACACGGATTCGGGCAAATAAGGCAACAGGCTTGGTCAACATAACGACGCTTAATTGCTAGACGTTCGTAATAGCGCGCAAATGTCGCGAGGAGAAAGTACAGAAAACAAGGGTAGACGCGTACTCCTTGGTCGTTGACGTCCTCTGCTCGAGGAGGGGTTGCGGGTCTGACCTCCTTGGTTCCTGGCCGGTGTCAGAGAGAGCGTGCGGCCGTCCGCACACTAGTTTTGTCCACTCACCCGGTTTCCCTCTCCCTGTCGAGAATAATACCTTTTCTCGTTGAGGAAGAGGAAACCCGTTCCGCCGCCGGGAAAGGGGGAATCTCGAGCGCTGGCTGTGGGGGTTTTCCCCCAACTAGGCTTTCACACTGCCGTAAAAAGGGAAAGGGAGGCTGGGTGCGCGTGCTCCCTCACAAATTCAGAGTTCCTAGTCTGCCCTGTAGATGTCAGTGTTTAATAATCTGAAATTTTGGATGCTGAAAATCATCATACGTTGTTTGTCTGGTCCAAAATGGCAGAAGCGACAATAAAAACTTTCACCTCTTTTACATAGGTTTAAACCAGCTTACGACCATAGCAGAACTCTAAAGGCAGCTTTGCTGCAATACTAGAGTGTGATGCGGTGGAGCATATTAAAGATATTGTCACGGGGTCGTGACGGAGACAAAGGGAAGACTGTACATCCAAGGTGAAACTGTTTATTCGGCCAAACTTGTGGCTGGTGAACAGAAAGTCAGATCATCATCGGTCGTCGAATAAGTGACAAGCTGTGATGTGCATCGGCATTTATACATATGCCGTTGCGCTATCAATAGCAGCCACTTAAGTTCCAGAAGAAGCTGTAAAGTTCTTGTTGGGTGCGTAATCGCATTGGAAGGTTCTAAGGTTATCGCGATGGTCCTTTAGCCAGTCGGCGTGCTTCCACAAGACAGCACTTACATGTGTAATGGGGCGATAATAAAACTTGAGAAAAGAGCGAGGTAATATATGAAGGGGCCTCTGTAACGGCGCAGCGCATCTCCTTATTGAACCGGCGTTTTTTTGAGCCAATACATTTGCAACAGTAGCAGAGTCTGAAAGGTCGCTTGCCGTGATGCGAGAGTGGGATGGGGTGAAGCATATTAAAATTCTGACAGGCCATTGTCAAGCGGACATTTATTTGTCTTGGGGAATTTTTCGCATAGTAAAAATATGGGGCTAATCTAAACGAATAGCAAACACTATTAAAATGTATTGGAAAATGGGAATATTTGCACACCCCTACTTATAACACTATGTTCCGACTTGAACCGTATAAAAACTAGTCTGTGGTTAAATCTCAATGTAACAGTCATGCTTTCAGCAAGAAATTTTCATTTTGTGCATTTATTTTGAGGTTATCGTCTTTCAGCAATAAAAATAGCTGCTTCCCAGACTTGGCTGATCCAGCACATCATTAGTAAACATGCTAAGATTGTCTTCCCAAGAAAAGGAGAGCAAAGTAGTGGGACTGGCTTACCATCAGACGTGTAGGCTAAACTCAAAAGGCAATGTTGCTTTCGTTTTGGCAGGCAACACACACTTGAAGCAGTCCTGTGCTAAGATGCAACAGCTAGCTTTGTGGCAGCACTGTCAAGCGTTGCCCGTTAATAGTATGCAGTAATGTTAGAACCCGGTATCACGGAGTTAGTAAAACTGGCAATTTTCCCCGGTAAATAGAAGCTTCGTTAAACCAAACTTCGACATGTCGTATCGTGTAGTTACCCACCACCGTGGTCTAGTGGTTATGATGCTACTGCTGATCTGAGGTTGCAGCATCAAATCCCCGTTGCAGTAGGTCGCATTTTCAATGAAGGCGAAAATGCTTGAGGCCTGGGCAGTGCTATTATTCAGGTGCACAAGAAAAAAAACGGTGTGGGGGGGCAGAGTTTTCAGAGCACTCCATTATATCACCTGTCATAATCATTCTGAACGCAAAAAGTGGGGTGCAGTATGGAATAGGGACTAGATGAGAGAACAGACAGACGGACAGTCGTTCTCTTCTGTTCTCTTCTCTATTGCCTGTTCCGTACTGTGCACCACTTTTGGCATTCAGAATGATCAGTTTCCAACTAGCCCAAAGAATGTCTTGCTGCAGTACGTTTTGTGGTCATAATTGTATTGTGGTTTTGGGACATGAAACCCTTCAAACACAATGAAACCTCGATTATACCATTTTGAGGTGACCACGCAAGACTGTCTTATAATTCAGGCATTTTATTATCAGAAATCTAATAATAGAGGTTGTGGTGCTATACATACCCTAAAAAAAAGCCCCATCGCACAGTCCTGAAGTATCCCAAGGAAAGAAGATATTTTTGAAATACACAGCTAAAAATTTAATGGAAAGTATAAATGAAACATTAATCTCTGCTTACAAAGTATAATTCAAATTGCATCTTCTTTTCAATAAATGGAGTTTGAAAATTGCTGGCTTGTAAAAATGAAGCCAAAACCATGTTGACAATAGCTTCCAGTCAGAGAGGTCACGTATAGCGTCATTGCAATCGCAATGCGGCAACGGAGCATATTTTGCGGCGAGTTCCCCTAGGATAACGTCATGCGCAACTGATTCTTGTGTGCCTTGTATTTATTCCTAAGAAATTGCAGTTGGTGATCCGTCACCTGAATATTCGATGCTCTCACGAAGAAAGAGTTAGTCCATGTGCTATAAGTTGCAGCGTCATGTCCTTTCTGTGTGTGGGAGACCTGGGACTGCAAGTAAAGTGAGATCTTCAGCTGCTTGTCGACCAGGAAATGTTTTCACGAGCCAAAAATTGGAAAATATTCTGACCTCGAGTACGATCTTGCTGACCAGCTTGATATACACCATGCAGATTCAGCAGTAGCTCAGGAACGTGCGCAATATCGAGGTGTATCCAAAAATTACTGATGTCAAGAAATCTGATTTTTGGGGAAGGTAAGTTGTCAGGAGAATGAATATTCTATTATAAGTTGGGCACAAATTGTATTTTCCTCTTTTTTTTCTTTAGGGGTACACCAGTCTTATATTAAATAGCTGGTTACTCCAGGTGTATTAAAAAATAACTGATGTCAAAAAATCTGATTTCCAAGGAAGGTAAACTGTGAGGAGAATAAATATTCTATTATAGTTAGGGCAAATTGTACTTGCCTCTTCCTCTTTTTTTTAGGGGCACACCAGTTTTATTTTAAGTAGCTGGTTACTCAAAATTATTTTAAACCTGTATAAATTTAGTGTGAATTACTTTTGAGTTAAAAAACAAGGTAATTTTTTTTTTATCAGTCTGTACCACAGGGTTTTCGTAAGATGAGGAGAGTGTGGTGTAAAACAGCATCATGTGACTAATTTTCTATAATCGTTTTGAAGGGACCAAACTGATTTGTTGTAAAATTCGGGTCATCTCATTACCGGGGGACATCTCACTGGGGCTCCTCTATATTATTATTATTATTATTATTATTATTATTATTATTATTATTATTATTATTATTAAACAAGGTGTTCTTGCTGATGTATTTAGATTTGTTGTTACACTAAAGGTGCCCCAAGAATGTTTGGATAGTATGATGTGATGAAAGAAAAGCTAGTGTCAGTGAACCAAACAAGATCTTTTTTCTTGAACTTGGGACGCCGTGATCACTATTCGATACCACGTCGGCATGTATGAAGTCCTCTTTGCAGCAGCTGCTCATCACGCGTGATGCCGAAACAAATGCAGCTGCCACGCATTGTGGTGATGTGGAATTATTGAAACTGTCGCGTCGATTCTGCGACTATGGGTTGTCATTAGAACTTATGTGTTGCTTAAGAGATGATCAGTAGCAATGCTTTTATGTTCACAAAACCGAAGTGCTTGCATTCCACTCAATTCACTAAATGTGCAGCATCAAAAGCTGTCACTCACTACAGAATAGAGAAGTGTGGTATGAGATGTCATGAAAGATATCTGACAACCTGAATTTCGACACTTTGATTGATGGTGGCCTCATGTTTTGTGTTACAAATATTGCGCGCCATATTAAGTATTGAAAAAAACTGTCTATGCCGTCACGAATTTTGGTTGCTGCTGTGCATTGGCTAAATAAGTCTTGTAAGCCAACTTTATCGTGGAACTTCCGCATAAGCATCAAAGAACTGTGCGACTGGCAACTGTGAGTAAATCCAAAGACTGTTTTTCGGCGACTTGAAACTTGTTGCAGCAGTTCCTTGGCTCAAAAGCTTTCATTTGAGTTAAATGAGTTTGTTAGTTTGGACTGCTTTTCCTAAGAATTTATTTTAATCTTTACGAAGTCCAGCCTGCCAAGGAATAGTTTTTTTAAAGGAATAAATTTTAATACTAGTATCGTGAGTGAATAGACACGATTAGAACAGTACCTAAGACAAAGCTAGTGTCTGTAAGTGTCAACAATGGCATCATTGCTTTCCTCTTTTTCTCTTTCCCTCCGAACAGATTGAGCAGTTTTGCTGTGACGTCAATGCACGCACTGACCTTTTCGAAGAAGGAGCTCGGCGAGGATGGGCACCACCGTTATAAGGTTGGCTATCTTCAATTTTTCACGCGTAGGCTTGCTAGACAAAAGCCTAGACCTTTTGCTTGGCAAAGGGAATTTACTCTTAGCTTGAGGTTGCGACCCTGATTCTTGGCCCCAGCAACTACATTTTTCTGATGGAGCTGGATAAAAACACTCGTATTATTTACTGTCCTTGAGGGAGCATTAAACAGGGGTGGGAATGCTGCGCCATTGGCGCCAATCTGCACCAATCTGACATGCTACGCCAAGCGGCGCCTAAACGATAATTTGTGCGTGCAACGCCAAATTTAGTCGAGTTTTATCCTCACCCAAGCAACACGCATAGGCTACACAAAGGGCGCAACTGCGTCCACATCAAATTGGTTTGGTGACGTCATATTTTGGTTCATGCGTGAATCTTGTTAAGGTGGTGTTTGTGTGCATACCTTGTTATGCGACTCTATATATGTTTTAACAGCAAAGCTGTTAGCCAAACCATATAAACTGAAAAAGTAAAAATCAGTTTCACCGGTGAAGTGATGATGGCAATAGCAGCCATTTGTAATGGTAATAGTAATGCCGCACGCTCTTTCTATTTTTGCTACCGTACCATTACGCATGTAACGCTGTCTTGCACAATCCGCTCCCGAATGACTGGGAACAAACTAGATAATCTTGGAACCTTCCGATGAGATTACACGCACAACGCGCACTAGTACATTACAGTATGTTCTGGAACTTACACAGTTGCTAGCGTAATGCGGAAATCTTCGATGGCACATGTATAAATGTAGATGCACTTAACTGCTTGGCAGATTATCGATGGCCGACGCTCTGGTTTGCAGCTATCAGTCTACAGCTTGTATTGCTTGTAGAGATACGTTTTGTTTTCCGGGCACAGGTTTCCCAAATAAGGTTCACTCTTGAAAACAGTGGCTGCTGCCTTCGTCAACCTCACGACGCAGTGACAATACAAAGGTTGAAAACTAACGCTCTTGAATCCGACATCGCAACACTCTGGAAAATGCTGGTCTGAGAAAGGACCTAAGGCCGCGCCAGAGAGAAGAGCTCTTATCGCACAATCTCTTTTTGTAGAGAACGCACCATGTAGAACGGTCTATGGGCCGCGTTCCGATGCTTGCCGATAGCGTGCGTGCCAGCTTATCACAACCACGCCCTTAGAATCAAAGTTAACTACTGCTGCTCGAGCGATTCCCCTCCCCCCCCTTTCCCCGCATATTTTTTCATGCTCGTTTAAGACGGGCGGGGTGTTTCCACTCTGATTGAGCATTCGACGGCAGGTCTGACACGCAATAGGGTAGTATCGCTTGCGCCGTCGCTTCTAAGCGACGGAGATCGCCTGCGTCGTTTAATCTCTGCTTGCGCAACGCTCACCACCCCAACTTGCGCAATTTTACGTGTGGGTAAAACGTATGATGCACAGGGAATGTTACCAACTTGTAGTTTTAGCAGAACATGGCAGTGACGGTGAAAACCTGTCAAGTGCCCATGTAGTTCCTATCCTAATAAATAAAAATCACGTAATTGCCTAGCAGTGGCGTGGCGAGCTCATCTAAATTTCTTCGTGGTTCTTATGTTGGCTGTGGCACTTCGATGACCGAAACATAAGTTTTTACATTTATTTTTATAAAGCCCTATCGGTTTAGTATGAAGATAACTTTTAATATATTAGTTCGTCTCTAGTATTGAGTTGCTGTTCATGGTATATGCAGTGTTTTAATCACATTTTGAACATTGCAACATTTTAACAATAAATTTTTTATTTGTCTGAGTAGCTGTTGAGAGCACCGCTTATGTTTCTCTTTTGAGTGGCTGTGCTTTCAACTTTAGTGTTGCAAGATATAATATATATATATACATATTCATACATAATTTGGGATAAGTCTGGTCACTTGATCAGCAATAAATGCTTAGTAAAAACCACTGAATCTTTTTGTGCTGCTGAGAAAGCAAAGAGAAAACGAGAATTCTAATTAACAGTGATGTGTGACCAAAGAGATCTGCTTTGAAACTAAATTTATATACACGAAAACACGCCTTTTGGTACTGAAGAGCTGCTCCAAAACGCCCCTTTTACTCCTCCAAAGCTGCCCCAAAACTGCTCCAAAAGACTGAAGCCCGCTTCCACCCCTCGTTAAAGGAAGCCCAACAGTGAAAGTTTGTTTGAGACTTTTTTACTGCAATTTGTAGCTTTAGTGGCTGATAATCAGAAAACTGAGCTGTCAATAGTCTTGCGCATCGTATAATTAATGCTAAAATCGTTAATTTAAAACAATATTGTGTCTGTTTGAAATGTCTGCTCACATGCCATAAGAAGCTAGTGTCCCACAATTGGGCAGCACCTGAGACTGCGTGCGCTCAATCTTCGGGGACTCTGAATGCACCGTTTCCAAATCGGGGTACTCGTGGGCAGTGAAGAATAAAACGATGCGGGTGCTTTGAGCGCGGAAAAAGGAAGACACTCTTGGCGTAAATAGTCAAAACCACCTTGAGAGCAGCCCGACAACAGAGCGAGAAGGATGACAAACAATCACGAGATTCATAAAACGCTCGTGTGCTGGCAACACTGGTCGAAAAACAAAGATGGCTACGCCTAATAGGGTCAAGAGAGTACTTTCGCTTGGCGCTGTGCTGAAGTTTCGAGATTGTGGTGTCGGGTCGCGTTGCTTCGTAGAAGGCGTGAGGGTGCTGGCCATGGACCGCCTCATTTTCTTCGGCATAAAGGATTTTATGGCAGAATAGTGAAAATAGATGCAATTTGCATGCAAACATCGAGTCTTTTGGCTAACCGCATTAGATTTATTTCAAGTTGAAGAACCGTCTAGCGAACCCAAAGTTGAAGAAGGAAACTCTGTGTGGCGGACCTCTCCCAAAGGTGCTAGCACTCTTGCGCTGCGTTTCTGCACTGCTACAGGCAAGGCCTTGACAGTTTTTGAAGTAACTAAGTTGGAACTCATCCTGCCGATTCTATGTTTCCCATTGAGTTTCATTGCCCCATCAAAAGCTGAATACACATGCCATTTATTTGATTACAGAACCGAGCTATGCCTGGGCCAGTGTATCTTGAGATAAGACAAATCGTGGTTTCGTTTGTAATGGGTGTGCTCCTTTCTTTTTGTTTGCCAATCCATTTAATTAGGTTTCTAATAAAGTCATATGCTTACGCACACTGACTTGTTCATGTTAGCATTAGACGATATACAAAGCAGATATATGAACACACGCTATGCATGCATGGACATGATATAAATATGCACAAACATACATACATGCATGCTACGCATGCACTACCTTTGCGCACGCATTTGTGTTGGTGTATTTTCACACATACAGAATCAAAAATGTTTGGGGGGAAGAATTACAGCAGCTAAATTTAGACTGGGTAGCACTATGTTTTGTGCAGAAAATAAGCGTATGCAAAAAATACACTTGCACTCATAATGCAACAAATTTCCTAAAGCGCTTGCTTATATAAACAAAACTATATTCTGCACTTTTAGAAACGCGAGTATTGGTAAAAAAAAAACGTAAGCTGAATAATGGTGTACTCACTGAGGAGAAGCAGATCGATCTTAACAAACTACCGCAGTGTTCACCTTCTTTTCAATGCATTGTAAGGACTGTGTGGTGGAGGCGGCAGCTGGAAGGTCAAGAGATGATGCCACTGTTGGTGCTGGTGTCGCTGTCATCATCATCATGAGGATAGACAGTGGCGGGAGAGTTGAAAGTAAAGCGTGTGTTTAAGGAAATGTGGCGTGCGCGCTTCCTTCCTGACGGCGTAAGTTTCTGATTTGTGCCATTCTCAGTCGTGCGTCGGATGATTCCTTCGGGAAATGATAGAACGATAGGCTGCCATTTTTCCTCTGCAATTCCATGCATTGCAGCGCACTGCCATGGTCTTTGGACATCGCTTTCCTCTTTTTCAGACTTGCACGTGAGACATGGTGAAAATGAAGGAACTATGCAGCCGCTTCTCAACGCGTGCAAAGTGGTAACATATCTCCTATCAAGGTTGGCCCTGTTAGCGCCATTTCCAGGCACGGCCGCTAGGTGGCGAGCACTCGGTTAGAGTTGCGAATAGTTCTTGCCAGGCTCCAGTTGGGCTGTTGTGCTCGCCCAGCAAATGTCCTCTGATGTTGACAATACTGTAATACCTCGTTAACTCAAAGTTGTAAAAACCAGGGAACATTGCGGGATAAGGGGATTTTCAAGGTAACTTGTTGGGAAAACTTGAGTGCTTCTCAGAAAAATCTCTACTACTTAATGGCTCTTCAGTGGTAGCTTCTAATCTTTCTTCTTGTGAAAGTGTAAAAGAGAAAAAATTAACAATCAAGAGGCATGAAGCGTTAGCTGGTTGTGTGAATGTACCCTGTACAGAGGGAGTGGTCTAAGAGTTCACCCTGACCTGTGGAATGGTTTGTGTGGGGCAGACTGGAAGGTGTATTAACGTGCATTTGGTGAAGCATGCTAATTCATTAAGAGACTGAAGTGAGAGGCATCTACCAGTGCATTGTGGCGCATGCGTGCAGGGAAGCTAGCCCATCTTCAGCAGAACCAAGGTGTTAGGGCGAGCCAAGAGCCAGAGAGCAAGAGAAATTTTGGAGGCATCTTGAATAGGGCTAGATACGGGCCTGATAAGTGCGTCAGGGACTCATTCGTGTATCTTTCCAGCAAAGAGCACGATTTCATTTTTAGTTGATAGAAGTCTTGGAACTTGTCACATGGTCATGTTTGTCATTGTGCATGCACTTAGTTTGTTTAAAATAGGGTGGTGTACTTTTCCATTAAACCAGTTGTTTGTCTGCAATCGTCTGTCCACTTCGTTCTCTTGTCTAGTTTTTTAGCGCAGTTATATTTTTCCTAAAGGTGTTTTTGTGGCGCTGCCATTTTATTTAGCTGAGTAAAACTGCCGAATGCACGTTTGCTTTGCAGTTGTACTCAGGGTCTAGGAAGGCGTCCTCCATCTGCTTGATGTATCGCATGAGCCGATCTTCTCTGCCGGTGCACTCAATTTATTTTTGAAGCAAGCGCAGCATATTCCTTATTTCGGCGGATGTTGGCATTTCTCGAGGTGGTTTGTCATCGCAGTTGTTTCAGCCATCCCTGATATTAGCAGCTATTTGAACAATTTAGGTGTCCGTAATTCCTCCAGCCACTGGCACTCTCTGCTCGCACAGCGCATACTCGAGAAAAGTGTGTCACGTTTAGCGACACCGTTACTTGTACGCTTGACGACCTCATGACAATGTTTCTCACAGCCTCTACCACCCCCCTCTGGATCCACTACTGGGGATTCGCCACTGTGAGAATATTCGAAAGTTGGAATATTCTCAGATTCTTAATAAATACATAAATGCATAAGAGTGGCAATGTTTTGTTCTACTTATATGTTGCCACTTGGGAAGCTTTAGTGCTTTCACGGATCATATGCTTGGAGTACTTTCCTTGTCATGTATTTAGGGATCTTTGGGCACGGCTGATGGCGGGTACCTCTCGCAGGACTTGGTCTCCGGTCGCCAAATGTTTGAGTATTCGCTGGTGCCTGACGTGGTGCCAGATGTGGAGTGTACTGCAGGCCTGTCTCCACGGGACGGAGAGGTGCTAGGATCACGCATCCTGTCATTCCGCACGATGTGGTCACCAAGCAACACATGCTCAACCAGCGAAAGGCCAATGTCGCCTGCTGGCACTGCGAGGCCCGGCTTGGGTGAGTGAGTGAGTGAGAGAGCCTGTGATTGGAGCTTATTCAATGACGCCCTTCAACAGCATTGACTGCTGTAGGCTCATAACAATAGCCATTTTTTTGGATTGGTGCTTTCTGCAATCCCTTTAAGCACGAATTGATACGATGAACTGTTGGAAAGTGCGTTAAATTTCTAAATATTTATTACAAGGCCCTGGGCACTGCACTGCAAGAAAGATGATAGGATGTTGCTTTGTGGTGTCAATTTATTGCGCATCTGCTTGAGTCGGTGCCTCGAAAAGATGATGTAGCACTGTTGGCATAGTATTGAACTGCTATGACTTCTAGTAGACAACCAAATTCCTCACAAAAGTTAAAGTATGAGTGTCCACGTGTTCCTTTATGAGTGTTGGAGCTTCCAGAGAGTCGCAAAGCATTTAAGGGTGCACTGCGGGGGGTCTGAATATTCGGTTGCGAGTTAAAATTGAAGTACAGCGAAAAATCGTTAGTACATGCCTGCTTTAAACGTACTAGTGATTAAATCATACTTGCGACGAATCCTCGACGGTTTCATAAAAACTGGTGCATTCACGGACCACTTAAGCTGTAATGGTTATCTTATGCCTACTGGTTAGTGCGCACCAACTGCATATCACGTTGACATTTTACACCGTGAAAGCTTACTGCATCGCTGAACTTGCATACGTCACAATGTGCTGCAAATGATTTTCCGTCATTTTGATAAGTGCGAAAATCAGCCGATTAATTTTTTCAAGTTTCGCGAGATTGTGGTGATTTTTGCAGATAATCATAGGGAAAAAAACAGACAGGGTGGCGAACACTGATAATTGTGCATTGGAACAATATTTGCTGTGGCTCTGTAGTTATTCGTTTTTTGGCAGAGATGGCGAGCGGCGAGAAAATTTGTAGCTGGTGGTAAATACGTAGTGCCTTTAGTTAGGTCGCCATTCCTGGCAGGTACACAATAAGGAGGTTTCACTGCATTCGGATGTGTGTTCGTGCCACAAAGGCATCTTAAGAAACGAGCACGTCTGAAGCATTGGAATATATATGGTCAGTGACTGTACGTCATAGATGCCATCTTTGTGCTAATTGTAAAGGTTGTGTTTTTGTTCAGAGGAACTGAGAGCACATTCGGGTTTTCACTAATGTCACTCATGCGCTAGCAGCACCCATAACAACGCCAGACCAAACTGCATGAAAAATCGATGTGGCGGCTCAGCTGGCTTTGAGCACACAGGAGACGTATTGTACGAGTACGAGAACACTCGTACAGTTATGACATAGCAGTGGACTTTTTAATACATTATATTCTATGGAAGCTATGCTGGGCCAGTGGAAAGCGATGTGACAGCCAGGTAAACACAGTTTTGAGGAACATAGGGGTGGGGTTTTACTGTATTGTTTTCTGTGCCGTACCATGGGAATCGCGGGACCACTTGCATACCTTCCGTAACATTGTACAGCATAGCAGTTGCCCCATATCGCACTATGCGTCATGCAATGCAAGATCCTCGACAGCATTCTGTGGACTTTCAAGTCACTGCAGAGAAGGAATTGACTTAGAGGACACAAAGAACGCAATGGAAAAGCCCTCTAAAGGGGTCAGCTTATTTTAATTAAGTTTGCTTTTTCTTGCTAATTGGGTAACACAGTCAAAAGTTTCAGTTCTGTGAAAAATTTTTGTGAATTTGCAGTTGTATGCAATGCTGTGTTCCATGTGCAGAGCATGTGGAAGACCTACTGGTTATCTCCTGGCAACTGGTGCGGGGTAGCCGCGTACTGGGAACATACCTGTCAGTGTTTGACATCAACCAGTGGTACCGGGCTCAGATGCCACGCACTTTCAGGTAAAACATTTTGCGTTGTCTGTCTCCACCCTCTTTAGTCTCTACCCCATTTTTGAGCCATTTATCATTAAGGTAGAATTAATTGTCAAGATAACTACCTGTTAGGTGTAGCTCTTGTGCAAGTACAGTCACAAACCTGTTTATAATGAACTCAAAACTGCCGCGATACGTGGTCATTATATCAGTAGTTCATTATATATGAATTCGCCCTTAAAAACTTGCACTTAGCGATCAAATGTTTTTTTTTTTCTTTTTTTCTGTGTACTTTTATTAAAAAGTGCTAACAACCACTTTGGAGACGAGTTGGGCCTTTCACGTGTTGAGTGATAACTGCTGTGTACAACTCACAAGTGAATGAAACCACATTCACAATAAACTCACACCGTTCCACTGAAATGAGGTACTGACAAGTGGAACGAATCAGCCCTGGCTAGTTGCATGCAGTACATTGTTTACACTGCTCTCAACGTCGCAGGCCAAGCCGTTTGCAGTCTAATGTATGCATGCTTTTGTGCATTCTTTATGTATGCTTTACTACAGATTATCTGGTCCAATAAGAAGCTTGTTCGTTCACCACGACGAAAACATGCATTTTGCAGGCATGTTTCTAGCATGTTATTGCTGCTCAAGGCTAAATTCAAGTAGCTGTGTGCAGCGGAGCGAATCCATGTTTCACTCAGTGCTATCAGTGATGCACAGGTTGCGTTTCAATGGAGATTACATGCTAAAGTCCCGTGTGCTGTGCATTGTAAGTGCATATTAAAGAACACTAGGTGGTAAATATTTCTAGAGCCCTCCTTCTTAAAATCATATCGTAGTTTCGGGACGTGAAATCCCCGATATTATTAGCAGTGATTCAGAGTAAGAAAGAGGGATGTTGCCTGCACTCTTGTTTTTTAATCGCTCACTACGCAGGCAAAGCTTCCCTCACTTTCAAGACAACCTGCTTGTGGGAGGCTGAAAAGTAATGCATAGCTTTGTTCCCACTCTTTTCATAATGCTATTGGAGTTGCACTTGACATATCGAAAAAAAACACTTCTGTCAACTTGCCTATTGTCAGGGTATTGTTATAGAGACCTTAAAATAACGCGTAGTTCAGTGCAAACTATTTTCGACGTAAGGGGTAAAAAGTGCAAAGAGAATACAATGAAAAGAAAAACATTTCAACTTGCGTCATATATTGAGATTCTGGAGTTCAAGTTAACGTGGGTCTCCCGTCTAACAGTTGTTCGGTAACACGAAGACAAAAGATCGAGGCTGAAAACAACATTGCATGATATGATGAGTACTATCTATGGCTGCAGAAAGAGTTGTAACAGTATTTCTGTGTTCACATTTTTCGCAGGTCCAACGCCTTCCATCTGTGCTCATTTATTGGTCTTTTTTCACTTGAGGAACCAGTTGCAAAGAGTGGAAATCGTGCTGTCTTGGTGAGTCGTGAGCTGCCAGTTCCTACCTGACTGTGTTTCTCACCAAGCCCAAAAGGTGGTTCAAAACTTTTTACAAGTTTACTTTTAGATATGTGGGATTTAACATCCCAAAACCACCATATAATTATGAGAGACGCCGTAGTGGAGGGCTCCGGAAATTTCGACCACCTGGGGTTCTTTAACATGCACCCAAATATAGGCACACAGGCCTACAGCATTTTCGCCTCCATCAAAAACGCAGCCGCCGCAGCTGGAATTCGATCCCGCAACCTGCGGGTCAGCCGCCTAGTACTTTAACCACTAGACCACCGCGGCGGGGCACAGCTTTACTTTTCGGCAGCCTTGATAGGTGGATGGCGAAATGGTGCATCGCCTGCTACGATACCTCTGGTTCGAGGCCTATCCTTTGCTGCTTCAAGGGGCCAGCTGTGCGTTGTAATCGGGAGGAAACACGTGAAATTTCTTGACGCGTTTGTTGCCGCTTCTTCAGTGATTGTGTTCTTCGATTCTTTTTGGAGAGACCATATTTCGAGCATTTCAGAGAACGAAGCGATAAGTAGAAATGGGAGGTATGGCAAGAAACGAGCTTCAAGCACTGCATGCGGTTATGCTTTGAAACACGTGGTAGTATTTTGTAAAACGATCTTGATGCAGTCGATCCTGCTTATAACGAACCTGAGCATGACGCGGCATCCGTTCGCTGTATCCCGAAGTTCATAGTAAATGAAACACAGCTTTTAAAAAAAGTTGCGAGTGAAAACACAAACTTTTTTGCCCCCAAAAGTTCGTGATGCACGTGTTTCGAATAGCAGAAGCGATAAGGGCGGTCTCAAGTTAATTTAAAACGGCAGGGCGCTTGTTCGCCGAGGCCCGTGGCATAAGCTGCATGAGGCACTGACTCCAAAGTTTCGTTGTTCTCGCAATCCGATTCCTCCAAATCGCTCTCGCCACGTACTTCATTCACAATGCCCTAATCCCTGCACGGTTCCACAGTGTCAGCATCATTATCGGCCGTAATTAAACCATCGCAACAGATGTCCCACCCGCTCTCACAAGTCGGAGTCGACGACGCGCTGCCACAAATCGCCGCCGCAGTGGTCCTGTTCGGAAGCCTCAGGCTCGGCATTGGGCCCGATGTCGACGAAGTCGGCCTCGTGAAAACAGTTTTGTGCGCATGTAGCCGTCACCGCCGCCCACAAAATATTCACCATCTCCACAGCTGCATACCGGAACGCCCGAAGCGGCAAATTCTTGTTATTATTATAATATTTTTTTATTTATTGAATCATACAACACAAAAGATCATCATACTGCTTGGACCCGTAGCCAAAGGCTAGTCCTTGGTCCAAGAGGAAAATGTATACAGTGATGCAGGTTTACTGTTACATAAAAAAGAAACTAACACTCAGAAACACAGGGTGTTGTACAGTACTGCTACAAGCATTTTTTAGCATGCGATCTTCGGGCCAAACGACAACAAAATTTATAATCGCAATATTGTAAAAAGGTGCACCAACGCAAGCAAATCACTAAAGTGTACATAATAACTTAAACAACATTGGCTGCCAGGTGGTCAACAGCTATGAGCAAGGGCCTCGCAACGCGGCACCTAATGCGCGGATTACGCTCAAGCCAAGCGGTCACACTTTCGACGTTTTGTTGAGCGGCTTGTAAAAGAGTGCTAGTCCTCCCGTCGGCCATCATGACCACACACGCACACCAAGAGTGAACAAGATGCGCACACGCGACACATATGCCAGAACGTGTGGAACAGCTCTGGGCCCGTTTCCAGGCAGAAAACCAAAGTAATTCGAGCCAGCGCGGTGGGCGTCGCGGGGCGGTGGAGACGGGCAAAGGGGTTGTGATCAAGAAAGGAGAGCAGACTTGCGACAGTAGGGCAAGGAGTTGCGATAAAGAGAGTGGAGGATGCGGCGGGCGACCTTGAAAACCAAAACACACGGGAAGCAGGCAGTTTGGGTAGCCTGCTTGAAAGATCCGCGAAACTCGCACGTAGAAAAACTTGGAAATAGTGCATGGCCGCCTGAATCGGTGCACGCGGCGGTGTTCAAAGAATCGGCGGCCGTAGTCAAAAATCGTTTTGTTTTTTGTTGCGCCGGCCAGTTCGCGTGGCCTCACGAACTTCGCTATTTCGCGATTCGTTCTGCGAAAATAACAGCCGTTTTCGCGCTTCCGCACGCGCGCGGAAGGCATGCTGACTTGAGTGCGAAGTGAGCTCGAACAAGTCCTAAACACGAAACGAATTGCACATTATCAGAGTCAGTGGGATAGCGTACGCCCGTGCACTAAACGCAGGCTATCGGATACAGTCGGTGGCTGACGATGTTGGCAAATGGTCTGGTCACTCCGGGCCGGCGACGTTGACCGTACCATCTGTCAAAAACGGGGTAGATGGCCGACTGGTCTTCGAAAGATCAGTGGCGATGTGGAAGGCTCAGAGTAGCGAGGGGGGGGCAAAGGACAGAGGGGTGCATAACAAAAGCGGTCGGGGAGAGCGGCAACTAGAGGGGCGTGGAGGCAGGGTCAGTGTTTAACAATAAGAATGTATGGGCACCTCGCCGATGCCTGATCAATGGTCAAAATTGGTTTGCCGGGAAGTCCGCAGACCGCTGACTTCGTTCGCTGTAACCGATCAGCGGCGCTCCGAGACGTTTGTTGTAAGTGCGATTTTGTGCCATTGAACCAATGTATATTTTCACGGTCACGCGGATATTGTTCGTTTTAAGCGAAAGTTCGTTTTAAGTGGGGTTGTTATATGTGGGCTCGACTGTATAGTATTTCTGAGCACAAATGGTGACTACTTCAAAATCATTCACACATATGGGCACATGTTGCCAAATGTCAACATATGTACATTGACAACATAAGTATGCGTACTCTGTCCAATCAAGTGTAACAATGTAGTGCATTTATATTGTATATTATGCATCGCCAACAGTCTGTCAAATTCATGGAAACAGTTTAGCACGTAAAACGCCCATGGGACAAAACGGCCACTCTATTAATGGTATTGTGGGGCACAAAACGACCGAAGTCGCTTTTGAAGCAACGAGTAGCATGATATGGCATCTCCGTTATGTCGTTTTGTGCACATGACTGAGGCGCAAAAAACATTTCGTGAAACAATGAGAGCAGAAGAGAAGAAAGAACTTGCCCCAAAACAAGACCTTTTGGAATACCTGTTATGTCTAAATTTGCAAGTGTGAAGGGCCGATAGGCTGTGTTACTAAGTAAAGTGCGCAGTATTTCGCATGAATTGAAACAAAATGTCTGAATGCGTGAGGGAGACATTTCACGAAGAGGGAGATAAAGGCGTAAGAAAAGCCGGAAGACTACTAGCATGCATTTCATTTTCAAAGGGGCCCGGAAACACTTTTTCAAGTAACGATAAAATAAATTCACTGGAAAAGCTCGTTGCCTCAAGAACTCAAGGCCGCAAAAATTTTAAGAAAACGTCCAGTGCAAATGGAGTTACAAAGATTTCTTGCATGCTGCGATTGCATTCTCTCTTCTCTCATCCCGACGAAAGCGCTGGAAGCTAAGCAGGAAGAGATGGCAGGGGCGAAGAAAATAGGTCACGTGCGCCTCGTGACCTTGAGCATTTTCTTATTGTTTTTTCTTTGAATGCAGGGCTTTTCAGTGTGATCGCACACGTGGACAAGTCTTGGCCTCCCGCGGCGATCGTTGTCACATCTGAGCGCGCCATGTTCAAATCAGCCAAAGGCTGATAGACGGGCTTTCTACAAGTGATTTTTGAGCATCTTCCATCATTTGTCGAAAGAAGATAAAGCGATTTTCAGCTGACTTTGCTAATTTATTGTAAATTCCAGGCCGCGTGTTGCGCTATGATATTTGGGTCACGTGTTGTAGGGAGCCTCTACTGCCTAACGGAAGCATTTTCTGACCATGCTCAAAAAGTGTTGCAGGGTCTCTTAATGTAAGAAACAGATTACTATTGCCATTCGCTATATCAAACCCGGGATGGTGTCCTTGCAACACAGAATTAAATAAGTAGTTCTACAGATGAGCAACATGGAGAAAAAAGTAGGCGGATATATTTTATGATGCTGTGATGTGCATAGAATTGTTTGTATTGAACAAAACATCTGTCTTTGCTGCAAAACAACAAGCATGCGTCTAGAGGTGTGTGCCGCTTGAATGAAGAAATGACTGCTCGCAAGATTATAAGCCTCTCATAATGTTTGCAGTTGTTATTCAATTAAAGGGGAGGTGCGGCCCTTGAAAACTGCAAAATCTCGATAAAGTCTGTTTTTGAAAAACCATATTGTTAGGTTTTCTGTCACATGAGCTACCTATTCTGTAGATATCGGCGCCTGATTCAATCCCAAAGTGCAAAAAAAAAAAAAATGCTATTTTCGAGGCCGCCCCAACGCCCAAAACCCCCGCCAAAGCCAAAATCAAACCAAACTTTGCGCGCGCACCATTCCGAGACAATGTGACCATCCCGCGCAATCTTGGTCTTGTTTTGACTGTGAATTATTTCTCTCTCGTTTGCCGCCTTTCAAAATAGCGTCAACAGCGCAGTTGAGACGCTATTGGTGTTTCCCCAGGATGTGATGCGGAGCGCTGGTTAGCTAGAGCAGCTCATTCATATCTCGCGGGCAAAAGCGCGCCTGCCATTGGCTGTTGCACTGGCAGCGGGGGCTGTTCCTCCCGGCAATGGCGTGTCCTGCGCGCTCGTCTTGCTGTTGCTCTTTGCTCCGTCTGCCTCGACAGATTTCTGCTTACGAGCCGCTTTCTGACTTCCGCTGTATTTTTGATCAGTTTCTCTTCTTTTTTCTTTTCTCACAACTTCTGTGCCCTTTATTTTTGTTGCTGTGCGTGATGCCGGTAACGAAGCCGAAGACGGTGCACAAGTTCAGAGCGCGGAAACGCGTTATGCGGGTTTTACGAGAATCGAAATGCCACTTTGCTGCTGCAAGCGCCCAGTGTGTAGACACTTGCAGCAGCGAAACTGGCTGTCGGTCACCACCAGTCCAGAATCCGACACACCATGTGTACCTGGAGCCACGAATGCATCGAGCGTGTCTGAGATCGCCGGATCCAGCACGTGCCTTGAATCGGTGCCGTCGAGCATGACACCGAGTGTTGCTGAGATCACCAGACCCAGCACTCCGTCTGCATTGGGGTCATCGAGCGTGCGTGGGTTGTTGACTTTTCATCTGCGGACGCATTTTCTAACTAAGGAAAAATTCATGCAAATGCAAGACGTTGAGACCCCATTCACGCTGAACTCGAATCTATGTCAGGAACGTAGAAAAAATGAACTGATGAATCCGACTCTTGCACCTGCAGTGACAAGTGATGGTTAACATTTCTCGCTCATCCAAATGAACATGTATAACGTGGTGCTCAACTTCACAGTGTGCAAGCAGTGCTTGAAAAATGGCACGACTGTCCGAAAGAGCAGCAAGCTTGGACTGGCAACAAAGCTGGAAGTCGTGTGCTCCTCTTGTGGCACTATCGATAAAGTGTGGACATCACCCCGCAAACAGCACTCGCAGGCCATTGATGTGAATGTCCGCGTCATAGTGGCTATGAAGCAAATAGGTAAGGGGCAAACAGCTCTCAACGATTTTCGGGCAGCCATGAACGTCTCTTATAGTGGTCTCCACCATAAGACTTATCAGAAACACCTGAAAGAGACGCTTAGGAATGCAGAAGTCACCGCTTTGGACAAGTTTTATGCTGAATCTGCCACAGCAGTGATTGCTTCGTAGAAAAAGATGGACCACACCTTACAGCTTTATCAAGGACATCATCGTGGTGTATGATGGTACTTGGCTCAAGCTTGGGCACACATCACACATCGCAGTGGGAAGTGTGATTGCCTTCTACACGGGCCCCACATTAAATGCTGTAGTTCTGTCAAACCACTGCCTTGGATGTCAAAAAGGGCCTAAACCTGCAGATGCCGCCTGTGAAAGCTGGCATGAGCACTGCATTTGCCAGAAAAATATTAATGCAAAATGTGAAAGCATGAAGGTAGAAGCATGGACTTATTCAAAAGGTCCATGGACAAGCATGGCCTGCCGTACACAACCCTCGTGTGTGATGGGGTCAGCTGCACATTCTCTGCCCTCACTGAAGAGAATGCTTACGGGCTAGTGGCCATAGTAAAAAAGGAGTGTCTGAACCATGTTCAGAAAAGGATGGGAAGCCCACTTCCAAGCATTGTGCCGAAGAGTGACAAGCCACTGAGTGGGAAGGGGAAGCTCACTAAAGCCCTCATTGAGAAGCTCACAAGTTATTACGGTTGGGCACTCAGAAACAACTTCAGTGGCGTGACAGCAGTGCAGCACACAGTAATGGCAACATATTGGCACGTCAAACCGACCGACCGAGACTCTCACCATGACCTTTGCCAAGAAAGAGTTGAGTTGGGGTGCCACCATAGAGCTGCAGAAGCAAAGGGTGAGCCACAATCCAGGCACAAGCACAACCTACCAGACTATGTGGCTGAGGCTGTGTTGCCCATCTACCAGCGACTTTCGCACGAGTCTCTCCTTCGGCACTGCTTGGCAGCAAAGACTCGCAATGCGTCAGAGTCATTCCACTCTGTTCTTTGGTCGCTAGTGCAAAAAGAGCAGCACTCGTGTTTGATTGCTGTTGAAACAGCCCTGCGTGAAGCGGTGCTGCGCTACAACGCCGGCTGCTGCAAAGCAACAGAAAAAATATCAAACGCTGTTGGATTTCGACCTGGGCACCTAGCCATCGAGCGAGCTTTTGAGAGAGATGCCCTATGTCTGAAAAAGAATTCCAAACAGCACTTGCAGAAGGTGGAGGGAAGACAAAAGAGGAAAAGAGCGCACAAAGACACTTCAAGAAACTATGCTGGAGCTTTTTAAGGAAAACACGTGTGCTTAACTTTCAAAGCCCATTTTTTTCAAAATAGATTTTTTAGCTAGTTGTATTACTGAGGAAAGTGATTTCTCAAGAACTGCTTATCAGACTTGTGTGTCATTTTTTTTTTTTTCATTCTGTCCTTGGATGATTTTGTCAGGCTCTATCAAGCTTCTTTTTTTTTTTCATTGGGCCATGAATTATTAATGAACAATTAATTTTTGATAAATGTCATCATTACTGGCTACATCAAATTCAAAGCTGCAGAAAAATATTTTGAAGGGGAAATTGAAAAAAAAAAAAGCGGCTTGTTAGCGCTCTAGGATATATATCCAGGGATGACCACAAATAATTTCGGCCTTCTGATATGTCCAGGGATTTCTTGCCGATCTTCCTCAGGCACACAAGTCAACCACCCAGTTAGACCTCAGTAACTCTAGAGCTGCTTAACACAATATCATGAAACTTGCAGTTTCTCTAGTTTTAATGTGGTGAACATGCCTTGAAAGTTTCATTGAGATATCTTAAATAATAAAGAAGTTCGGTTTCCAGGGTAGCCTGCCCTCTTAAACTGCATAGCACTCCAAAGTATCATGTAGCAATTTTCGAGAAAACTGCACCAGGAGTTGTGGGTGGAACATGCAGAAAGCGACAGCACTGGTAAGAATGCCTATACAGTAGCACAGCATGTTTAACCGGAAGTCAAAGCAGACGACAGCCGTAGGTCACAATCCTTTGCGTGATCCACGATTTTGCTATCCACCTGTTGCGTTTCAGATACTGGGAAGTGTGCTCATAAAGTTTAAAGATTGCAGGCATCGGCATTTTAAAAATGTGTCACAGCCACTGGGTTTTTTGTGGATGAAATTTAAAAGTTACAGATGGCTGCATTTCAAGGCAGTCTGAAATGCGTCTCAGCCACTGGGGAATATGTAGACGAGGTTGCTGTTGCCTCTGGTCATTGTTCAGAAGTGGAATTCGTATTTTAGAAGATGTGGCATTTAATTACACCTTTTTTTTTTGTTTTTGTAGGATGTACGAGTGCTGCAGTCTTCAATCAAGAGGTTTCACTCCCAAAACCCCATGGTCGATCAGACCCACTTTCCCTCTTCTCTGGAATTCAGTGAGTTATGACGTCATTCGTTCTGCAAACTGCACTTGTCAATGCAGTCTGTGGCTCTAGGCTACTGCTTCTGCTCCTACGATGTATTGAATCTTGATGAGAAAGTAATGAAGGTATGCGAACATTAAAACTTTCAATATTTCGTGAGCAGTGTTTGCTGTTCGATTTGGTTCACACCAAAATTGAACTATTTTAAGTATTCGAACTTTCAGAAGGTAAATGTAGTCATCTGATTTTTCAGACTCTCTTGGGACTGCAAAGTCATCTGAAAATTCTGACTGCCTGAAAAATCTAATTCTGCTTTTTGGCTCCTTTTGAGTGGTCAAATTGCTACTGTCTCATTCGAAATAGCTTTAATGCTTATCAGTACATTCATCCGGCATTTTGGTTCATGTTCAAGCTTTTGTGAGTTCATACAGTGCCTGCCGTGAACCCCAGTTTACATGCCAGCTGCAAATTTACGACTTGTGATGAGCACCGCTGATACCTTGAAAACCTAGAATAAATTGTGCTTTTTTTATCGCTCAGAGTGTTTGGAAAAATGATGATGCACAATCCAAAAACTATTGTGGAAGAGCGCAGGAGTTGTCTGGCTATCCCCGACGCGTATATGCACATAAACAATGCACACATTCAATTTCGAATCTATACCGGTATGCAGCATTTGCTGCCGGGTGAAGGCGATCATTCCTAGTTGTGTGCAGCACATCGCCAACTTAGCTGATGTCGCTGTAAAATATGCACACATGTCACAAAGAGTTTAGGGATGTGCACTACATTCCTAAATGTACATGGGTGCTGTTGTGATGGCGAGTCATAGTTGAACCCCATGATAACGAAATTCCAAGTAAACGAAATTTTTACCGCAACGAAATATTTTTGGAGAACCAGCGACATCCAAAGGAGTCCATACATTTTGTGACTCGCAGTTACGAAACATTTTACCGCAGTCTCTCATTAACGAAATTTTTGAAACAACAGTGCACAAGTAATCTACGTTCATAACATTAACTGCATTCAAAAACTGCTCAAATGCATTCGTGGTACATTTAAATTGTGCAAAACTATCGCCACAGCGCACGAGAGCACAGCACGAACAAGAGTATAGAAGCAGTCTACTGGCGAGTTGTTACAGTGTGTGCGCCAGCACTTGCAACTTTGTCACTTCGATTAAAGAGTGCAATTGCTGTTCGAGCGACGCAGCTCTCCTCCTCCACCACCCCCTCACTACCTCCCTTCATTCTCCTTCATCCATTGACAGACTTGCAGGGCATTTACTTTTCACTTGAGCATCCACCAATGGCATGCCTCGGATACCGGGCAACGTTATTGCACATGCACCCTTTGTGTGTCAGAGATGTCGGGCTCATTTCAACGCTGCTGCAGCTGTAGTACACTTGTCTGTGGTGAAAAATACATTCCGTGAAAAAGGAGGGGAGCAGAAGAGAAGTGAGGCACCGAACTACCAACTGTTTAATGACAGTCTCAGAAGTGTACAGAGAAAGAGAAAGCATTTCTATGCATGCGTGAATGGCAACACATGACGTAGTTGGGCGCATCATTTTCTTCTCTTCTGCTCCCCTCCTTTTCATGAAATGTATTTTGCGCCACAAACAAGTGTACTTCAGCAATGTAAGCACCAATGCGTTCAAAAAGAAGTCCTTTTGCTTCAGCTGTGTTCGTCCCAAGCACTGAGGTACTTTAACTCGCGCGTAGAACATACGATGCATGGGTTTAACTTATCATCTTGGGCTTCACGAAACATTACAATGATGGCATAAACCGTCCAAGTGTCCACATAATTACAGTTACGTTTCGTTGGTAGAGCCCACTGGTAACGTCTTTCATTCTGAAGGGGCTGTGAAATAAGCTGATGATGGTAAAGCAGTAATGGAAAACCTGCGCCAAAATTGCGCCAACTGGTAATTACTGCACCATGCTGCTTCGAAAGGGTATTTTTTGTCTAAATGAGCCATTGCTGCCCCACAAGGTGGTTGTGGAAGCAAAAGTAATCGTGAGTGACAGTACGGGATAGTCGCCATCTTGTACACTTGTGCTGCCGCATTTGCGTAGGGTTGCGATGCTGCAACATCACGGAAACAGCCGATTCCGATTTCCACGCAATTGCGGCGGTGCCTTTTCTCCTAACTATTGGCAAAGACCGAAACTGATGTGGTAACCACCAAATAGTGTGCCAATATGACATTGCCGATAAAAATACCTACGTGTGCAGCGTAGCATTGCATCAAGCCTACTGCACGCTTTTAATAGCTGGTGACTACCTGACCGTGCTGGGGCGCCGATCGCTGCCCCCTTGTTCATTGTACGAGATCATGTTCAGCGTGCACCACTTCGCAGAAACAAAAGCAGCTTGCTGTTGCGAAGTGGAGCAATGTGGATCGCGGACACTGAGAGAGCAAGCATATTGCGCGCTTTCATAACGCGGCAACCCTAACACACCTTCGTCTGCTGCCAGGATTGCTAGATTATCGCTTGCAGAAAGTTCGCATCATTGCGTTAACTCAATAGCCTTCTTGCCACATCTGTGCGTGGTTTGAAGGGGAGGAGGTGCACGCGGCTGGCACGGTGTGTACGCCAAGTAGGCGAAGCGCTGCACGCAACTAGCCAGTACACAGCAGGCTCCATTGCAACCGTACTGTGCAGTTTACCAAATTTAGAGAAGTGTTGTGCTATATATTTGTCGAACCTTTTTTAGAGTTGGAAACAATGCTTGTGGTTACTGTATACACTTCCAATGTATGGCTCTGCATCTAGACTCCATGGAAAGTGCACTAAACGGCATTATAATGGCTAACAGTTTTGATTGATTTGCTCTTGCCATTGCAAAACATTTTATTGCTGCTTTGTCTCTTATTTTCTCCACCAGCATGCGTCTGCTTGACGACTGAAGGCACAGTTCAGGCATCCTTTTTGGGCCTGCAGCGACAGGTGAGTCATTAGCACGCCAAGCAGAAATCGTGCATTGTTATTACAGGGAACAAGGGTGGAAGTGCCGCACCAATTGTGCGATTCTGCGCCAATCTGACCTGCTGCACCAGGTTGCTCATAAACGGCGATTTCCCCGATAATTGTAGATTGGAAGTGTAAACTGCCAAATTTAGCTGACTGTTATTGTTCATCGAGCAACACCGAGCGGTGGCCACACCAAGGATGCGGTCACATCCATATTCAGTGGAGTTTGATCGCGTTGTAATTTGGTTCATTCGTGGGCCTTTCTAGCGCGCGTCTCATCGCTTTTATCGCCATGGTTTTCCCGCAAAAAGTGGTGGCACCAACATGAGTAACTGTGAATGATCTAGTAATGCAGTGAAAGCTTGATAATTTGTACCAGCTGGAAACTCAGAACGATTATGCACTAAACCGCACTGCTTGTTTACAAGTGCAAATGTGCATCTCTTCACATGCCCCATCGCCACCAATAAAAAAAATACAGTACCACACCAGACGTTTCCCAAAGTACCCACCAAAAAATCTTTTCTTCCTTTTTGCCAGAGTGAGAAAAAGATACTATCGTGTTATAGCGCGTAGTGGCAATGCCAAGGAGCATTTCAAATCTATTACAGTGTCAGGGATACGCACTGATTGAATCAGCAACAAAACGGGCACTGTCGGCTATTTGCGATATACCTACATAGGCGCTTCTCTTCCGCAATCTGGTACTAGGCAACAGCTGACAATTTCATTGAAGTAAGGAGCGGACGTGTAGACTTTGATCGTCTGGTTAGTTGCGTGCAGCGCAGCACTTATGTGCCCATGCTTTCGCTGCCGGGCAGCTTGGTGTACTGTGCGTCAACGTTACTGGATGGAGCCAGTTGGGAAGCTGCACGAGTTCGCACAGAAGCGGCGCAGCCGCTCACCATCTCCGAAAATGGGGGGGCACTGCGATTGTTTTGCAACCTGGTCATGTGTCTTGCTTCGTGCGTCGTCTGCTCGTCGTCTGTTCTGCACACAGTCTCCGAAGAATGCCGCTGCCTACTTGGAGCATGTCTCAAAGAACCTGGTTAGTGGATGCATAATGAGAGCTTTCTTGCCACAACCACTGCATAGATGAAAATGGACACAGCTTAGAGCTCGGCACGAATTATCTGGGAATTATCGTGTGGTGCAATGAGCGCGCGTCGCCACATTGTGTGGCAACGTGTGCTCCAATCTTCCACGTGTATTTTACCCCGCTTAGAGGAGGGGAGCAGCGCTCCCTTGCATGCCCTTATCTCGCTCGCGGTGGGGAGAAGGGGAGGATCGTACGTCTTGGCTGGCCTCGGGCTTTACCTGGAACGATTCTGTTATAGTTACCGGGCGCACAAAGGTCACTGCAATCATTGCACAGTCTTCTTTTGCAAAAAGCGTGCACTTTGCAGACACAGCGAAGTAACAACTGAGACGCTTATTCACGTGCATCTGTACCTGTGAGTACTTTTCGTGTGCCATTTGTACGTGAGAAACGTGGGGAACATTTTGATCTGCTTTCCACTCTGTGCATGATCTTCCCATTTGTTGCTCTCGGGTTCATTGCTTCGCCTTTGCTGCAAAGCTGTGACTTTTTTTTTTTTTTTTTGCAAATTGCGAGTTACCTCATTTTCGTTTGCATGAAAGTAGTTCATAAGTATGTCCTCTTGTGCGCTGTCAGTCATCAAAGCACCCTCGTTATTGTTAGCACTTTCCAAGTAAGCAAATTGAGAACTTGCCATTGTGCCACAACAGTGTTGAATGATGTGCAACACCGATGCAAGCTCTGGAGTGCCGTAGAATGTTGTTGGCGGTGGCACCTTGATGACTGCTTGGGTCCACTTCTACTGCACCGGCGAGTACTTTGGCCATAATCTAGGCATCGACGCTGTCTACAACACCTGTGTCATCATCTGCATCAATGAAGTCACTTTCTGTACCCCTATCCAAGATTGGGCCCGGATATTCTAATAAGTGCAGCATTCACTGGAGTGCCGTGAACCGCGGTCAGCAGTCATGAAGCACGCAAAACTCGTTGCCTGGCACTGAAGCTTGCTGTGAAACAGTTCACAACGTTGCTTGGCTTGAGGGTCTAAGCTACAGTCGTTATTTGTCTTGCTACCGGTTGTTCAATGTTTATTTCAACATTGCGAAAGAGAACTCTGCACACAACAAAGGAGCAAGTCCCCACCGTGGATATCTTGGCAGTGGCACTTGTGGCTTTGTAGCAGCAGCCATTGCTCTGACATGTATAACATGGAAATGAAAATGTGTAGCTTCCGATATTGGTGTTTGTTTACAGTCTCTTATAGAGTTTCTTACACGCTAAAAGAAACTCTAGTGCTAGTGTCTATGAGAGCTGCAATGCATGGCGCTTCAGCGAGCATGAGAATGGTGAGTTCTACTTAGATTTGTCTTTGTTTTCTGTTTACTGCTTTGTCACAAAACAAGAATTGGCAAATGTTCTGGAGTTACTGTTTAGCACATTAATCTTTTTGGCTCACCAACTCTAATCTGGTCATGAATTTCACAACCGTGCATTCTTCCACTCGAAACAAAAGCAAAACATAGCAATAAACGAAGCAATAAACAAAGTGACGAGGCAAATTCATGTACTACCATAATTTCCATAGTCGCTGAACGAACGCAGTGCCAGAGTCCCCTCTAGTTACTTTTAGGGAATGCTTTGCCATCCCTAATTTGCAGGTCTCAAAGGCCATGCTTTCGAAGCCAGCATTCCGCCATCTTGTTTCATTATTCTTTTTAGTGATCAATAATATAAAAAGTATTTTTTTTTTTTTTTCAGGACATGAACATGTGTTACGCCCGAGGGCTTATCCGCAGTACTAAGTGCAAACTGCCAATTCCAATGATCACACTGATTGCTTGTTCTGTATCGGCCTTTTCATCCTGTAATCCTGTGTGCTCATCTTAGTTCATACAATTGCTTTGGTATAGTGTGCAACCATCACATTTGTTTGGCTTCCTTGTCTTTTGCCAGTTGCTTAACTACATGAACACGGAAGGTCCATCGTGTCTTGGCAGTGCCAGCGAACTCTACGTACATTTCACCATCGTTGGTCTCATCAGTGACAGCTTTCGCACGGGAGGATCACACCTGAGTCAAGCAGTAAGTGAACCTTGGGTTGTGAAGTGGTCCCACAAATTAATTTTATTGCAAATGGAATAAATAAGCGAGGAGCAGCTGCGGCATTGATTCTTCATTTGGGAAGTCTGCCTCGTGGGAACAGTGGCTATGATGCTTGCCTACTGACCCATAATTCGCGGGGTCTAGTTTCCAGTCACGGCAGTCGCATTTCGATGGAGCCAGAATGCTAGAGATATGTGCTGTGCTCTGTGCACGTTAAGGGTGGTACATGGCACTTAAGGCTATCTCTTTCATTTTCTGAACATATTCAGTTTAAAAGCACAAATAAAACGCATTTACTCGCTTAAACCTCGCACTTTTTTTTTTTACGTAAAACTGACGAAAAGTTGGGGAGTGTGAGAATTACGCGAAAATTTTGTTTTACAAAAACGTACGGAGCGGGAAAAAACGGAAACAATGTGATCGCAAATAGGAATTGTCACGCTAGCACGTAACTAGAAGCTTTCAGAAGTACTAATCAAGACTTGCCTTAACAATAAAGCCACAGGCTCAAGACAAGGCAAGATTTATTTGAGGCACAAAAGCTGCGACGGGTCTTCAAATATCGTATGCAAAATTGCGAACATTGCGGGCTAAGAGTTAGCGTTCTTCACTCAACGGAAGCCCGAAAAAGGCTACCATACGACAACAACTTTGTGCTGATGGCCATCTAACACTAAATCATCTGCAGTTACCTTCTGTCGAAATAAAGTTTTACCATCTATCGCAGTCTTAGGCACACGGAAGGCCCAGCGCATCTTGATGGCTTTCAGCTGCCCATGCTCCTGTCACCAGTAGCGAACACAGAGCTCGTTGAATCTAAAGTACCTACCGGTGGCCCTGCTTTTGCTCTTTAGTGCATGATCAATGACTTCGAAAGGAGCCGTGTGACTTCCGTATAGCCCCTTAGCGTAACCACAGAACAGACTCAACCTACAGCGCAAGGCACATTTGGTGCTTAGCTTGGCTTGGAGCTGCATGCGTTGATAGTACTCATAATGCCTAAAGGTGGCACCAGGCTGTTGTGCACTATCATCATCATTGGTTGGAAGGAACAGATGACATTATGGCTGCAATTTTCCGGGTTGTGATAATTACTCGCGAAAAGAATATATATGTTGTATTTTTGTTGGGCAATATAGGGGGTCCAAAAATAACCAGACTACGAAGATTACACGAGTAAATACGGTACACGTATTTCTTTGTGCTGATTTAAAAAGTGCAGCGAATATTTCTTGGGATAAAATAATTTTTGAGATAATTAAACATTTATTACAGTTGTTTGGTGACACAATAGTTAACAATAAACTCTGCAGAAAGTTGTGCCTAATGTGTGAGCAAAAAAGCAGAATGAATCAGCATCAAAATGCAGCTAGCGATTCTCAAATCTAACAACAATTAGCAATTTAGCATCCCATTAATATTTAGCATTTACAGTACAGTTATTAACAATCTAGAATAAAGGCAGGATAAAAAACTATAGAAGATGTAAAGAAAGGATCTGCTTGCAGCAGTTCAGTCTTTATGCATTTAGCTTCATACAGTAAACAATGTTACAGCTGTAGCTATCCTAGAGCTTGATAAATTGTTGCACCAAACAAGTAGATCGAGTAAAAACTTGTTTTGAGAAAATGCAAGAAAACAGATAAACCTTGTTTTGAGCCCCATGTAACAGAAGATATCAATGTTACTGTTATGTGATTAGTAGCCACCAGAGACATGACCTTTATACCTACTGCTGCAGCATACATCATTCAGAAGCAGCATGCCGTTGAAAGAGCCCATTCTTTGTGCCTATTCTCAACGAAATATAGACCGTCTTGGTGATATTATTACTGTTGGGGCTGAACTATCAATTCAATATGTGGGAAACTTGGTCAGCACTTCAGGCGATGTCTATACATAACAAAAATACTACTAGTTTGAACTTTTTGTTCCCGTAACTTTTTATCTCTAACAATGGTGTCCCTCAAAAAAGCCTATGTGATGATAGAAATTTCCAGAGCCCTCCATCGCCACGTTGTTCTTCATAATAATTGATTGATATGTGGGGTTTAACGTCCCAAAACCACCATGTGATTATGAGAGACGCCGTAGTGGAGGGCTCTGGAAATTTCGACCACCTGAGGCTCTTTAACATGCACCCAAATCTGAGCACACAGGCAGACCTACAACATTTCCACCTCCATCGGAAATGCAGCCACTGCAGCCGGGATTCGAACACGCGACCTGCGGGTCAGCAGCCGAGTGCCTTAGCCACTAGACCATCGCGGCGGGGCTTGTTCTTCATAATAACATCCTGCTTTTGGGATGTAAAAACCACAAATGTTATTTTCATGTGATAAGTTAATCTTTGAAGGCCCTGTGATATAAAGCTAAGATGAATTTTCATTGCAGTTGACCTTCGACTATCTGAACACTCTGGCGCATAGGTTGGATTCTTGTAACTTGGAGACAGGAGTTAGATTGGAGCCACCACAGGAATATAAATGTATCCGATGCGTAATCAGCTTGCAGTGACTTCATCTCTTTTTTTCACCAACCTATAGTAGTTCTTTTGTTTGAAATGAGCGTTTGTGAAATTCTTCTTTTAATGTACGTACACAGTAGGCATTTGACAGAACATCAGCCTTTCGCTGATATTTTTCTTGATGAGCTAAATCCAACGAAGCTGTGAGCTAGTGTTTAGACAGCTTTGTTGTCTGCTAACATCATTTTGCTGTGCAATAGCTGTGAGCATCATGTTATGGCTGAAGAGTGGATTTTTTTCCCTCAGGTGGCTCAGAAAGCGGTACTGAACGTGGCACTGGAAAACCGTCTAGTAGGATTCCTGGTGGCATGCCTCCGCGGTGAGAGGTTTTCGCTTTGCAAGCTTTGCAAAGGGTGTACTCACTCTGTGGCCTTGGGAGACCTCCACAAGCCGTTTCACATTGCTTGGAGCAGTTGGCTGGACACATATTGCCACAAGTGTGAATTTGACTGATGGTTTCTTTGATGGCGTTAGTAATGTTAACACATTGTGCCAAGTATTCTCCAATATAATGAAGCAAATGAAGAAAGCGGAAGGGCCTCAGTTCGTTGTGGCTGCTCGCGAGCAACTAAGATGCTCTTCAAAAGAACTTGAGCCTGGCCGAGTTGGTGCGTACTGTTCGACATTTTGACCGCACAAAAAAAAAAAAAAAAGAGGGCAGAGGAAGGTACGACGACATGGGCAGTAATCCTTCAACTCGCTTATTCGTAGAAAGACGTATCAATGTATAGCAACCTATGACATGCGCAGAAATCGTTACATCCAATCAGCTCAGTGGGGCAGCAACTTATCAGAAAAAAACAATTTGAGTTGGAATAACCTAATAGATGTATCGCTTACATGGTGAACACTTTTCTTTCTGATATAATAGGCCTCTAACAGCTCTTGAGCTGTTTGATCTTGTTTTCTGCTGAGAATCTTGATCCCCCTGAAACCATGGTTCACAGGTGCAGTCTCTACAGTGTGCAGGCAGGTTCGTCTAATAGTCTTTTTTTCTAACTTTTGTTTGTGTTCACTTATGTTCATGTCATAAGCACTGTATATTGCTAAGTCTCTCTATGAGTAAATGAGTTTAGCACCCATGTCGTCTTATCTCGCTCTGTTCTCGCCTTTTTGTGTGGCTGAGATGTCGAACAATTAGATGCTCTTCACGGAACAGTTGTACGACCAAGACCTGATGGAGGATTCCTTCTTCACAACGTTGTGTGGAAGCTCATACTATAGCCTAGTGTTTTCGATCACCAGAACGGTTCACTGTCTGTACAGACATAGGCAGGCATACTCATACAGTTTATGTACGAGTAGCTTTCTGTTCCGTAGTATAATCTAGATAGAATTGGCTGACGCATCCTCAGTTGTTAGCACTTTTTTCTTTTTCCCACAATTCATTCGTTCCCTGCTCCCATAAGAGGCATATTGGGGTTTCACTGTATTGCTTATCATGGTCAACTGCTAGTCCAGAATAGCTACAAATAGTGCACTTCCTATGCGTAGATGAGGCAGTTAGGATGACTCCTGATTCTGTTGCACGTTTAGTTGCATGACAATTTGGCTAATGCATGTGTTTTTCAACTGCCCAATTTCTTCCACAGCTCACTTGTCTGGAGAGCCGCTGCTGCCGTTGATGTTGGAGTGGACCTGGGCCAAGGTCAAAGAAATCAAGCAGTCTTTAGACATTCTGTGTAAGTCCTGCATGGAATTCGTTTGCTCAGCTTACCAGTAAACAAGTTACTTGAAAGGATCGTGAAACATTCTCCAAAAACTTTAAACTGCGTCTGTCTTCAGAATCCTGGCAGTTCACTTAATGCTCGTTTGATTGTCTCTGCTCACCGAGTACTTAAGTGGAATTTTGGTTTTCCAGCTCACGTTCCCATCAACTGTGCAGCTGACGTCACTTTAAGACAGCCGATGAAGTGTCTCTGTCGTCAACAAAACATGGCGATGCAGCGATGTTTTTGAGCCTTGTCGTAATTATTCGAATCCAAGCTGATAGATTCTTTTGCAACTTTTTTTGTATCAAACTCCAGTGTCGGCTTAGATTTAAGAATTTTGAAAAACACGCCATTTTCGTTGAGAAAAGTAGCCATGCCAACACCTGAGTTAAGTACTCATAGACGGCCACTATTTTGATAATTGTGGTGAGTGTTGAGGCGAGCCGTTCGTCATCTTGAGTCGCTCTGCGAATGGTCTGCGTATGGCGTAGCTCAGTGATCCTCAGTCATGGGTGTGTCGGGGACCCCTTGTGGACTAGTGGAAGGGATGGGGAACCCCTTGCTGCGAAGGGGAGGGAGGGGGGGTATGTAGGTAAATTAACACAACTGGAGCGGGAAACATGTGCCTTTTATTGCTACTGAAAACATCAAACTTGCTACATCACTTCATTTTGGACAGTTCATCAATACGTGGCATAGTCGCGCTTAAACTTTAGGTGGGTGAGGTTTTCACGGATCATAGAAATTGCTTCGCGGACCCCCATTTGAGAACCACTGGCGTAGCTCAATGGCGCCAAACAGGCGGTGTCGTTATAAAGTCGCTTATAAAAGGAAAGTTGTACTAGCTGTGGAGTCGTCATCCAATGTTCAAGCTGGGTGGGTTTGGAGTGAATGAAAAAAAAAAAAGTGCATTACTGGAGGGGTTGCAGCGTGAGACGACATCCCAGGAACTTTGATTGTGCAGTCTTTTGGAGTGCGGCATATTCAATGCACTTGATGGCACCGAGAATCGCACACTCTTTGAAGGCAGCGACACAGAAGTCAGCGACGAGGGAATCAGCGACGACGAGTGGGAATAAGCGCGGCATCTTTATGATGTAAATAACTAGAAGCAGCGCGAAAAAACGACTAGCACACACAGAACAGGATTAGCAGCTGGTTTTTTTTTTAGTTATTTGTATCACGAATCAACTGCTTTGTTTCATCTTTATGTTCAATAAATGTTATCTCTTTGTGAACGTTGTTTCGTTCAGCCTACATTCGAGGTAACTTTTTTTCCCCAGGCTTCGGACTTTTGAAGGGGTCGGCTTAGAAACGGGGTCGGCCTAGTCTCGAGTAAATACTTTATGACCGTCGTTTATAGCATCATACTGTTTGGCGCCGTCACCACCATCCAACCTTCCGAAACTACAGTGTCGTCTACTTGAGCGGATTCTGCTTTTGGGCTTTGAGTCGTACGCTGACGCACATATGCAAGTGTGAGATCGGCCAACGTCAAAGCAAGACAGTGGCGGCGGCGACGACGATGAAGGAGCCTGCGCCCTGGGAGCACTCGTGTCGAGACCGCGTGGCAGAACTTTCGCTTGTGCAAGTCCCATCCTTGAGCGTCCACTGTGTGCCCATACTATCGGGGCTCTCATGGTTGAGAGCTCGAAGCACTGCTCTGCGCTGCGGCTCGCTGAGCAGCTTGTGATAGTGAACGTTGTTTTCACTTTGATAAGTTGTGCATGTGGCACTGTCTGACAACGCACACGGTTAGATGCTGAATTGCACACGTGCGATTGAGCATCTGATTCAGCCTGCCACACCGCACGCAGCATACGACGATTCACGACAGATGGGGAAAATGAGCCATCAGGGGTCAGGCTCCGCCCACGTGCGGCACCTCAGCTTGCACACTCGGAAGGCATCGTATTCTCTTTATCGAGTTCAAAGTAAACAACCTCACACAGCCATGCTTCATTGTCTAATAACACCAACAAAGCTACGCCTTCGCAAGCGACAAGCGTTGCCACAGCCCACATTCATCCACAGATCCGAGCTTAGGCCTAATAAGGCCGAAAATCTCGGTACTGCAGCTCACTTTCCAACATGAGCTCATTGTCGAGCACTTCTTTTTGCCAACACGATAAAACTTGTACACTTATATGATTTTTTACACGTGCAACTGGTTTTCTCAATGGCCTCATTCTAAAGTGCAACAGTGAGAACGAAGCTGACCAGTTCGCTGAGATGGCCGGCGCCACTGTTTGTTCACCTGCGAAATGGCCTTCCATCATGGCTCGCTATCCCATTGGTGGTTGGTAAACAAACGTTGCCTTGCAGCAATAGCACACTGTGAGCATCAATTCATTCAATCATGAGTTATTATTCAATGTTTTCCGTGCTGCCGGCTACGACGATATTCACAAATACCAGGGCTATCAAAGCGGCGAGGAACAAACCTGCGACAGGTGCTCCGGCGCTGCCATTGGCTGCGGCCGCCAGACCAGTGTGGTTGCCACGCAGGTACATTCAGCAGGTTGGATGCTCGCTCAGCACGCGCATTGTTGCCAGTGGGCCAGTGAAGTTCGAGCGTTTCATTCATCCACCCTTTGTCCTGGCAGCGGACGACAACGTTTTCTGGGAACTTCTCCCCTTTTCAGCAGCGTCTCGTTTGAACGCGATGTAGGGTTGCAGCTTGCACCCATCTGCTGTGCAGGCCAGCATACAGTCACCCGCGCTTTTTCATTCCCGCTTGATCGCACAGCAACTTAGCTCGAGCCTTTTTTGTGAACTTTCAGAGACGAGGGCATAACGAAGTACATAGACATCTGATCAGCGTTTCCGACCTGGCCCAGCTGAAAAAAACTGCCTTTTGCAAGGAAATCACGTGCTTCTCAAAGCCCACAAGCAGCTCTTCTTAGTTTTTGGCAGCTCCTGTGATATTGACGTACGCCGATGTTGGGAGAATCCAGCGTGGCACATGAAGCGGGACACCCAATGCTTGCTCACCTTGAAGGCAGCCTGCTCAATGCCTTGATCTCTCTTGCCCTAGCTTGCAGCAGCTTGATGTTGACAGCGAGCTGCTCAGCCCATTGCTCGAAAGTTCGCCAGTTCTTGTTCAATGTCAGAAAAAGCTCCATTTTTCTGCCTCCGAAAACACCTTTGCTGGCTGCTGCATACTAAGAGGGCTTCTTTCTACTTTCTGCAGCTGCCAATAGACTGCTCGTTCATGCTGAACTGTTGCCCCACAGCATAATGACCGGTTGTTTCAGAAGCTAAGATAGTAGGCTTGTGCGAATATTCGAATGCTTCGAATATTCGAACGAATAGGTGAGTATTCGAATTCGCTTCGATTCGAATTTAAATTATCGAATATTTTCGAAGTATTCGCAATAAACAAATGTACATTAGTTCGCCTGTAAAGGTGGTTTCACTGCAATGTAGTAATGCAAAGCCGTGAAAGCACCTACTCAGGAGAAATTTGCTTTGCCGCGAAGCCCCCCTTCAGCTTTAAAGGGGCTCTGCAACATTTGCTGGTCAGAAAACGCTGCTGATCGGTAGTAGAAGCTACCGAGAACACGCGAGGCAAGTATTATTGCGCAGCACATGGCCTGAAATTCACAATAAATTTTCAAAGCTAAATATTGCTCTCTTCCCTCAGCAAATGACACTACAAGCTCAAAAATCACTTGTCACAGCCAAGAAAGAAAATACGACTCTGGTCAGTCATTGGCTGATTTGAGCATGGCGGGCTCGTCGTTATCGGACAGCCGCGTGAGGCCGCCGCTTGTCCACAAGTACGTGCATGATCGCACTGAAAGGCCTCGTATTCGAAGAAACGAGAGAAAAAAAATGCTCAAGGTCGCTAGGTGCTCATGACGTTTTTTTCTTTTCTCGTGCCATCCTTCCGCACTCAACTTCCAGATCTTTTTGACGGGTCGAGAATGGAGAATGCGATTGCAGCTTGCGACAAATTTTTGGAACTCGGCTCGTACTGGACAGATTCTAAAAACTTTGCGGCGGTAAATTGGTGAGGCGACAAGCATGTTTACTGGCTCCATGGATACTTGAAAAAGTGTTGCAGGGCCCCTTTAAAGAAACATGCTACCCTCAAATCAGTCCATTTTATTAAGCTTGTTATGATGGTTTATATGATTTAAGTATAATAAATTTTAAAACGTTATGTATCTTACAGGTTATCACTCGGACCCTACCAAAACTACTAATCAAGGTTGTTTCGACTTTCTTTCAATGGAAAAAAAGCAGGCATTTGCATAAGGCCCTTTTTCAATTCAAAAGAAATATTGTGCAGGTTAGTTAGGTTATGATAAATATTCGCTTTTTTTATATGTCATACATACTATTCGAATTCGATTCGAAATTATTCGAGCAAAATCCCTATTCGCTTCGAATTCGCTTCGTCCCTGAAATTCGCTATTGGCACAAGCCTATAAGATAGCCTTTCTTTTTAAGGCAGCTGTACACTGTTTTCGCAGAGCTGGCATGGCGTAAAGTCACAGATGTAAAATCGTGGTCGTTGTTACGTGTGTCAAGTGGTTGCAGTTGCCACTGTTGCATGCCTGTTTGACTAACGTCACCAATGCTACAACGCTACTTACTGCATAAGTGTGCAGACACCTGATGACGGTGATAGCAACCCGTATTGCCGAAACCAAAACTATAAATTTGGGTCAAATATTCTTGGGATCTGCATATAGTCCAGGGCAGAGATAGTAAAATCCCGAAAAAAAACCCTGGCCTATACATGGGTTTTTACGGTAATTTTTATCATGGTGAAGCCTTGACAATCATGGAAGGATATAGGAATGATAGACATGTGGCCACTGTTGCGATGGCATTTTGAGGTTTTCTTGCCTTCTAGCAAAACTTGAGGGGACACTAGAATTTGATCAGAATTTTTCATAAATATGATTTAAGGCTACATACCAAGTTGTGATCTGACGAAACATTCATTTAGTAAACACAATATAGAGAGTGACGCTAAGGAGGTTCGGTCTCTGACGGGGACATCTTTTCATACATTTTTCTCACTTGACTTTAGATTACGGTCTATACTAACAATATCGCCTTTACTGTCCTTTGCATCAGTGTCTGTTAGTTTTTATTAGTATTTTGTCTAACAAAGAAAACAAGCCCTTAAATTTACTTTTCTTTATTCGTATTGTTGAGTGTTCTAGCATTGCCGGTTTATTGTAGGATAATTAGAAAAATATCGCATAGTTGGAAGAATGCACTTTCTTTTTAAAACTTCTTGGGCGCACAAGTTGCCAGTGATTGGAATGTTGCAACAACTGCTCCCATTAGCCACATTTTCTTAAAAGCTTCAGCATCCACACTACAAATGAAACTGCTCAAACACTGCTCCAAAATATGACTGTCTCAATTGCATGGAACGAGAACGGTCCTAGCCAACATCACAAGCTACAACTGAGAGAACTTGTGGTCAATATATACCAGATATAGTCGTTGTCGCTACCCTCTGTAAAGAGAGCCACCGCCTCTGCTTTTCCTAAAGCCCCCCAAGATAATGAGATCCAGTGTGCATTGGCATTGGGATTTAGTATAGACGTTGGTAAGTTCTGTTGTGTACAACTGTGTGTATGTCGACAATTTCACATGTGGGTTAGGCCCCATTTTATACTACTGCATGTGGCTCCCAAAATGCAGCAACCATGCAGTCGCAGTGCTGGTGTGGCCATGCAGAAGAGCAGCAATCATCATTATGGTGGCAGCTTTTCCCATGGTCGCCACATTTACATTTTGTGTTCAGTGACAGAACAAGACCCTATTGGTTGCTGATGGGATATAAAAATACTGTTATTACTAAAACAACAATATATGATGCATGCAAATTGGCGAGGTTATCTATCAATAGTCAACATTTAAAAAAAAAAAAAATCGACCAGCCCCCGCCGGCCCAGATTTTGATTCTGAAAGCAGGTTTTTTCATAAGTGCAACAGCTACACCAAGCTACGCCACCGCATCACCACTGGATCTTGGGATGCATAGATCAGCTCTGACCCGAACATTTTGTGGAGTGATCAGCGCACACTGGCGCATCACACGTCGTCAAAAGTCGGAGAAAGCCACCTACCGGTGCCCTTCGAGTCGGCTCGTCATCATGCTAAGCAAAGTCACACCACATCTGTCCACAGTGCATTACATTCAACTCATCTGCAATCTTCAAGGCAGATTGTGCCACAGCCGCAACGAGCAATGTGCCGCCGCATATGATGGTACTAATGCTGTCATTACGTTACCTGCATTGACCCCCTTTCTCATTGACGTTACCACCACCAGCAACATGAACTGTCCTGACTATAATATGCCCATGCTACAATCTATCTTTCACACAATAGTTCTAGAGAGAGAGAGAGAATAAACTTTATTGGGTTCCAGCATGCGGGATTCCTTCTAGAGTGTGCACGAGAGTTGACTGCACTGCAACAGCCTGTGTGTGTACTTGGCCCGCAACCGATTTTCAGCTTTTCAGTTGTGCTCACTATTGCCAAAAGCATCCCTTCATCGCGACCCTCGCTCGCTGCGCCGTTCCCAGTGCTGGCACTGGGAATGGCACAGTAGGCGGCTTTCTCAGTGAGTGAAAACATCGATGGCAGGGCCACGTCAGCCGCTTTCACGTCTTCTCAAGCCTGTCATGTCTCTCGCTACAGTTCCATTATCTACTAAACTGTCGCGTTTCATGTTAAAGTGCTAGATTAAATTTTTTGTTTCGTCATATTTGCATTGCAGACATGCCGCTGTTTGACTGTTCCGGTCAAGATGTCACAGTGATTGGGTGCCGCATGTCGACACACCTTGAGGAGCTGCGCATCTTGAACCGTCTGCTGGAGCAGGCGTTGAGCATGCAGGCCGACAACCGGGGTAAGTACGACTTCTTGACATGTGCCTTCTAGATTAGATCACCTCGCCAAACGGGGCATGTCCCTGTCGTTCGAAAGCAACCCCCTGCATCACTATGCTGCAAGAGAAGCTGCACACAACTGTGATGTCCTTTGTAGGTAGCTTAAAAAAAAGTATGCAAAAGAAAATAAGAGAGAGAAATTGTTCAAGGACCTGTTTCTTCGCTAGACATCACCTAATGATCTCATGGTAAATGTAAAAGGGCATTGTTTTCAGTTATTAATTGAAAGCTAAACACAGTAGACTCTCAGTAAACAGAAATCTGTTAAATGGAACTTATGCTCAAATGGAACAGGTGCTTCTGACAAAAATTGGTATAGTGCTTGCATTCTGCACCCTTGTTCATCTCTCGGTAAATGGAGCTCCTGTTAACAGACCATATTTTTACCCGCCCCTTCAAGTTTCGTTTAGCGAGACTATGCTACAGGACATAAAAAAGCCTAATTTAAGAACTTGTGAAATGGTTGCTTAGGTAGCTTGAACAAAGCAGCGCCTAGCATAAGATAGACAGAGCCCATACTCTTGCGTCGGAGACATGCACCAGGTAGCAATCCTTGTATACGGGGAGTCTCGTATAAGCAGGGTACCATCTAAGCATTTTCTTATCAAAGCCTATTTATATGTAGGCATACTGGTGTCCCTTATACCTAATTGTCTAATGCATAACTGTTTTTTATAAAAGAGTTCGACTGAAGATTTATTGACCCCGTAGTCCTGACAGCAAACTAGTGCTTCCCTATATTTTCACAATAATGAGAAGCGCTGACAAGACATCTCTACAAATGGGAAGATTCAAGTGGTCAAATGTGTGCTCGACTTTCAGGAAAACTGGCAGACTGGCTCTGTATCTGAACAGCTTTCTTCTTTGGTGCGTGCAAACGAAGTACTGACTAGCGAAAAAAAAGAAAAGAGTTGAAAACAATTTGTCCACAGCAGGGCTTCTCAAGCTTTCTGGCCGTGGAAAACCCCAGCAGCTTTTCGAAAGTGTTGCAGAACCCCTAACTTTTTCTTGAGCATGAAGACGATAGAAAGTGAAGGGGGAGTTAAAAGTAATACTTCATAGTTTCTAATCAGAATAAAATTGGAAAAGGTTTCCTTTTCCAATAGCGGCTCTGCATACATCACGCTCACGAATTTAGTGGCCATGCGGCGTGCATGTGCCGCAATGCGTCGAATTCAGGGGCACCGGCTGTTGCCTTTCAAATGGACCGAAGCATGACATGATTACTGTTTTTGTTCGCTTGCTGCTACAGTCGAACCTCGATATATCGAACGGCGCGGCGATCGCGAAATAGTTTGATATATCCAGAATTCGATATAAAAAAAATCACGAAAAATATGCGTTAACAGCTTGCTGAAAACAACCAATGAACCGTTCAAGCGTGGTGCAGTAAATACTCACTTGAAGATTGAAACATAGTATTTATTGTGTTGGGTTAAAGTATTGAAAAATAGTAGCCTGCTTTTTGTTGGCCATGGCGTGTTTGACTACTGCGTCCTCACTATAGTCCAGGCGATCCATAAGTGATAGGCCGGTGCCTTCAATCGCGCCGCAGTGGCGGCGCACAAGGGCCAACGCAACTGCGACCTCAGCTGATGTCGGGAGCGGGGCACCATCAGCGCTTGTGGGATCCACCTCGGCAGAGTTTCCATTTGGCTGCTCAGCAGTAGCTTCGGCGACAATCTCCACATCCATGAGCTCCGCCATGAGCTCCGCCGTTCGGAGTTCGGCCTGTCGTGCTCCACAGGCCAAACTCTGAATGCACGAACACTGCGAGCACAACGACCGATGCCTGCCGATGCTACGGGGGAGGAGCTTGCAACAAGTGCGCAGTGTGCCGTTGACACTATAGAGACTGCAGCGACTGCAAGCTGCAAGGCAGCGGCGTGAGTCCGGGTGTGAAGCGCGCACATGGCGCGCCCATGCCGGCTCGCCTGACTGCTTTTCCTTTCCCGGCGGCAGCGCGGGCCGCGTCTGAGACGGTCGTCTGCGTCCTTTCCCTCCTATACTTTCCTCCTCAATCTTTACCTCCCACTTTCCTTTCCCCGCACAAAGCCGTGTCAGTGCCTCTGTATTGAAAGAAAATAACAGCTCCGCGCTTTTCTCTTCACTTTCCTCATTCAAAAACCTCTACCGCAAGGCTGCGGCGCGTACGCCACTACGTTAAAGTGGCGCTCTCGGCGCTATTGATGTGTGCAGCATTCGTAAACGCCCGCCGCTCTACCCCTACTTTCGAGAGTTGCGGGAAAGCTCACCGCCTGTCATTGGAGCGCGGGCGGTTTGGGGTGGCTGAGTTTGATATATCCATTATTGTTCGAAATAAAAAATAAATAATGCATGCGATTTCCTGCGTGATATAGGAACCGTTCGATATAGGCAATAATTCTATATATCCGTGTTCGATATATTGAGGTTTGACTGTATAAACAAATGAGGTTTTTGTATACCTGCCTCATACCTATCTGTTGTCTTGACCTCACAACACGCCATTCCCCTGCGTTTCAAACTCTCCTCATATTCCTGAAACAAAGCCGACACTGGTGGTGCCTCGTGGCCAGAAACAGCCGACAGTGGGAGGGTTATTGCACAATGTCAACAAAGGTATGTGCGATTGACTATCGCGATGATGTCTCACAGTTTACAAAGCAAGAGTTGTTTGTCGTTAAGCAGCAAGCCAACTGCATTGTAAGCCTATGCAGGCGTTCATTCACTACAAGTTTTCTTCCTTGGTTGGCTGCCCTCTGAGGGGCGCATTTTTCAGTACTGATTATCTGTTGCTTTGTTGAGTAAAACGAGCTTGACCACTCCTTGTTGTTGTAAAATGCAGATGTGCTGTGTGTGTGGCATGAGGTTACGGGACTTCTGGCGGGTCACCTGTCGGTCCTGCTGTTCTTGGTTCAAGCGGGGCTGCTGCCTGAACACCACGTGGGGGATGGGCTTTCTTACCCATACGCCATATTGAACACTTGGTGCCACCAGGCCAGGTAGGCTTTCTTTTTTTCGCATCACGCTGTTTGAAGTGTCTTTACAACTTGCATGCTCTTACAACCATCAATCTTCAAACTATTTGGTGTGACCCAAGTGTTGACTCCGGGGGTGAGTCTCGATTGATGAACATTGGCTAAATTGTTGAGACTTTTCGCGAACATCTCTCAAGCATAAAAGGACATCTTTTAGGAAATTTGAAAGGAACACAAGATTGATTTGAGATGGCACTGTTATTGCCTTCAAATTATTCCATCTGGCAAGTAACCTATCACACTGCTAAGCTGAAGAATGCATGTTTGATTTCCTGATTTTTGGCATTTCAATGTGGGCAAAATGCAAGGAGCTTTTTTTTATTTCATAGGCAGTGCAAAATTGAGTGGGGCTGGACAATAATACACATACTCTATTTTTAAGGCTAATTATTGCACACTTGACATGACAGTATCAGACTATGTAACTACGTACTGCATTGTAATCCACCCCATACTCAAGCTTCTCGACTCTTCCGCTAGGCTGCCCAACATAGGTTCTTGTTACTTTTAAACAAGATTTAAAAATATAAATCCTGCTTAATTTGCAAAAAGAATGCTTGAAATGGTCACTACACTCAAGGCTGATTATAACAACGTGTAATGTTACACAAAAATAAGTTTGTTATATTAAAAAAATTCATTGTACAGGTATATTCCTAGCACTGTATTCATTGCAAGACTACGTATTGGCGTTATGCTCAAACAAACAAGGAAGGAAGGGTATGCGCATGTCAAAACAAGGCCGCCAAGTAAATTCAAATTGATGTGATTTTGGTGCCCTTGGTAATTGGCCTCTCTGAAAACAGTGTCCATGTGTTACAACCTACAGCAGATTGCACATCGTGTGCCAGTGCACTCATAAACGGTGCACAACCAACAAATTACCTCGAGTTTTCGCCACATGCGTGGGAGGAGAAATTGATACCTGTTATAACGCGGCTGAAAAATAATCAATCTTTGTCATAATAAACACACTTCTGGCCTTCAGCATGCCGCAGTGTTTGATATATCAGATGTTACGCTTTGTGGCAGTGCAACGGTTCCTTACTTTTGCATGGGAAATTCAAGGGGATTTATCAACAGTTCGATAATAAATAATTCGATATGTTGGAGTTCGATATACCCGAGATACACTGTACTTGCATAGCCCTTCTTTTGTTACGGTTATATTTATAAGGCACTCATGTTGAAAGGCCGGGTGTGCATGCGCAGGCAGACACCATTCGTGTTGTCTTTACTTGTGTTCATGTACGCACCTCAAGTTCTTTAGCATGAATGCCTGTAAACTAGCTCACCTCCATTATTCTTGAAAGTCATGAATTCAAATTCTTGTGCAGGAATGACATGGGTGGGAGGCTTCTGGTGGACGTGCTTGCGGAGGCAGTCTTGCAAAACTTGGAGAGCACCAACAGTGGTCACCCTCTGACGACATCCTACCCTCCGCTTAACCTACAGAGAGCCACTGAGCTTTACCTTCAGCGTGGCCTTGAAACCTGGGAGCCTCACGCAATCACTTACTACCTTCTGTTGGACATCTCTGCTCTCATCTGTCAGGAATATCCAGAGGTATTCACGTTGAGCCGTCTTAGTTCTTGGCTGAATGTCTAGAGGCACGCAAAGTGAAACCTAATAATTTTAGACTGATAATTATCCTATGACAGATTTTTAGTCTAATAGTTATTATTTGAGAACTCCACTGACAATCAGAGGTTCATGCTTTATTTATAAAATATTGCTCTGAAACTTAAGCACTTGAGCAATGGTGTTATGCCATAGATTTCAGCATTTGTTACAAGCTTAGTAATATAATTATAGCTGATACGGTTTTTTATACCGTATGAATTTATAATATTTTCTGGCTGAATAGTTTTGTGTACACTGGGCCTGAGTTCAGATGTTATAGGCACAGTCACGATGGGCGATACAGACTTGGTCATCAAAACCGTTGAGCAACAAACGAGAGCAGCATGCTCCAGAAGCTCCGAAAATATTTACACGGCCAGCATCCAGAGTTGAAACTGGGCTTGTTTGCCGCACCAGCTGTGGTAAATCTACAGTCACTTTCAACGCAGTCATATTTGGTGACAACTAGGCTCGTGCGAATAGTGAATTTTAGGTTCAAAGCGAATAGTGGTTTTGGTTGAATAATTTCAAACTGAATTCGAATAGTATACATCACGTAAAGAAAAATGGGCACATTTGTCATGACCTTACTAACATGCACAATATTTTTTTTAATTGAAACAAGGCCGATGCAAGTGCCATCTTTTTGTTGAAAGGGTAAGCTAAAAACTTTTAAAAGTAGAAGGTTTTGACTATCAATACAATGCTAGTGATAACCTGTAAAAAAAATCTTACATTTTAAAATTTACTAAGAGCATATAAGCTTTAAACTTAAAAAAATGGTGAATTAGTGCTAGGGTAATTTGTTCATTTAACCTTGAAGTGGGGCTTTGCGGCAGTGTGAATTTCTTCTGAATTGCTGTTTTCACGGCTTAAAGGGGTCATGAAACGATCGCTATAAAGCGACAATGCAAAGCCGCCGGCGTCCACACGCACTAACTAGATGACGTCATCATAAGCAATGCTTTGCCTATCGAGGAACGTGGAACTCTTCAGTACTTGCGAGTGCGTGCAACTGGGACACTCATCAGCGTCTTTGTCATACGCAATCGGTGCTAACTTGACATCTGACGTCCTATTAAGCAGCGTTCTTGTGGGACGCGGATCGCTTATGGCAGACGCCGATCAGCGCCTCTTGCGCGTGCTCGATATGCCATAAACTTCCACGTTCCTCGATAAGCAAAGCGTCTGTGCAGGTACGCTCAGGCTGATGACACAGTTAGCGCATGTAGCTGCCGATGGTGCCGCATTGTCGTTTTAGAGCGGCCGTTTCACGACCCCTTTAACACCTCTTCACAGCAGTGAAATTATCTATAGTGCAAGAAATTACATGCAGGCTAGTATTTGGAAAGGTGCTTTCAAGGCTTATCACCCCTCCACTGCAGTGAAACAACCTTCACAGAGGTTTAGTTTCGAGTTAATATGCACCTATTCGCTCCTTTCGAATGATTCGAAACCTAGCCTTCTGTCTCCCCATAACCCGCTTACCTTCTCTGGGAGTCTAGTCAGTTACCCTTAACGACCAGCAATTATCCTGCCTTCGTGCTACAAGCCAAGCCCATGTTCATTTCTTCTTCTTGATTTCAACGATCATATCCGTAACACTGGTTTGTTCCCTGACCCGCTCTGCTTTATTTTTGTCTCTTGAAGTTACACCCATCATTTTTGATTCCATTGTTCGCTACGTCGTCCTCAATTTAAGCTACACCCTCTTTCTTAGTCTCCAGGTTTCTGCTCCGTAGCTAAGTACCAGCAAGATACAGCTGTTATATACCTTCTCTTGAGGGATAGTGGCAATCTACCTGTCATGATTTGAGAGTGCTTGCCAAATGTGCTCCACCCTATTCTTATTTTTCTAGTTACTTCAATCTCGTGGTTCGGCTCCGCGGTTATTACCTGCCCTAAGTAGACAGAATCTTTTACAACTTGAAGTGCACTATTACCTTTCTCGAAGCGCTGCTCTCTTCCGAGGTTGTTGTACATTACTTTCATTTTCTACAGATTATTTCAAGACGTACCTTTCTGCTGTCCTTGTCTAACTCCGTAATCATAAGTTGCAAATTCGTCCCCCGAGTTACTCAGCAATGCAATGTCATCGGCGAAGCGCAGGTTACTAAGGTAGTCTCCATGAACTCTTATACCTAACTGTTCCCATTCTAGACCTCTGAAAACTTACTCTGTAAGCACGCGGTGAATAGCATTGGGGAGATTGTGTCCCTCTGCCTTACACCCTTCTTGATTGGTATTCTGTTGCTTTCTTTATGAAGCACTATGGTGGTAGTTGATCCCCTGTAGATTTCTTCCAGAATGTTTATATATACATCATCTACGCCCTGATTCCGCAGTGTTTGCATGACGGCTGATATTTCTACTGAATCAAACGCCTTCTCGTAATCTATGAAGGCTATGTATAGGGGTTGGTTATACTCTGAGCATTTCTCTATTACCTGATTGATAGCATGAACGTGGTCAATTGTTCAGTAGCCTGTTCGAAATCCTGCTTGTTCCTTTGGTTGATTGAATTCTAATGTTTTCTTTACTCTGTTAGTAATTACCTTTGTAAATAGCTTGTATACTACAGAGAGCAAGCTGATCGGCCTGTAATTCTTCAAGTCCTTGTCATCTCCTTTCTTATGTATTAAGATGATGTTAGTGTTCTTCCAAGACTCTGGTACTCTTCCCGTCAGGAGACACCACGTAAACAGGGTGGCTAGTTTTTCTAACACAATCTGTCCTCCATCTTTCAGCAGATCTGTTGTTACCTGATCCTCACCAGCAGCTTTGCCTCTTTGCATGCTCTCCAAAGCTTTTCTGACTTTTTTTATCATTACTGGTGGGGTGTCATCTGGGTTACTGCTAGTTCTTATAGTATTAAGGTCATGGTTGTCCTGGCTACTGTACAGATCTTTGTACAGTAGCTTTATACACGCCATATTTTTACCAAGACCGTGCCGGAAGTGCTTGTTTTAAAAGGAGGAGGCTTTGAAAAATATTCACTATATATGTGAATGTAGTTTCAATGGGTAGCATAGAAACATTGTAAGTGTGCGGAAATATTTTTGCTATAAGCGATAGATGTTTCGGGGATCGTTATGACTGTAGGTAACTGTGCGACCCATAAGGCAAGACTCGTGTGATTTGTATGCAGAGAGTATTTTTTGCATCAATGAAAGTGATGCAAAAAGTGTTGTACTATAACACAAAGAATATGAAGCATGGTATAATAGGGAAAGCAATGTCTCTGTGCTTGCACCAGATTGCATATCCTAAAAAGTCATTAGCCATTTATTTATGTGATGACAAATTCGTGTATATATTGTGCATAGGTCGCTGCGATGAAGTGTCCCCATTGGTTCTCCATCTTCCAGGTCAAGGAAGAGCTGGAAGACTTTCCAACTGTGTTCCACCTGGGAGAGGACTTGCAAAGCCTCATCCAGGGCATCTGGTACCTCGACCATGGTAGGCACAAGGTAATGTCAAAGGAAGCAACACTGAAAGTAGTGAACTGCAGCCCATGACAACTGCAAAAGTGGAGAGCAGAGCTTGGCATGAAATATTAGCAGAGCTGCCGTCTGCTCTTATTATAGTTGTTTTTGCTCTGCAAATATATGAACACTGGGCTCATCGACCAGTGTAGCTTTGTTGTTCTTAGCTAAAATATTACCTTATATATATTGTGGGCATTTGTTACTTGCATCGTCCTCATCCCTGCATGATCACAATCACCATCATCCGCTTGTCTCTTTGTCCTCATTGCCACTCTGGTTCATCATCATCGTCATCGTCTGTGTACTGGCTCTGCCCGTTCGTTTTGCGAGGTCTTTCCTCAATTAAACGCTGTCGCAACCCAGACTACCAAGACTTCATACGTGGTGGAGGTGGATTTTCGGTCCTCTTACCTCCCGCAGCCCGCTCTACCCGCTGGAGCTTCGTTCAGGCCGCCGATTGCGCCCACTGTCAGGCAGCATGTCCCAGACCGAGCCTACCGGCGCTCATGTCATCAACCACGCACTGACGCAAGCTGCCCCTCCTATTTACATACACGGACATCAGCGGGAACCCCCGCTCTTCGCTGGTCGTCGTGGAGAAGACGTAGAAGATTGGCTCGACGACTACGACCGCGTAAGTGTCGCTAATCGGTGGGACGAGGCCGCCAAACTGCGTTACGTCACATTTTATCTGACCGGAGTCGCAAAGACATGGTATTTTAACCACGTCATTGACTTACCCGACTGGGCTACCTTCCAGCAGCAGCTGCGACACGTTTTTGGCACCCCGGACGTTCGATCCGCCGTCGCGAAGAGGACACTTGATACTCGCCGACAACATCCCGGTGAATCGTACACTTCATACATCGAGGATGTCCTCGCACTGTGCCGGCGTGTCAATCAATCCATGCCGGAATCGGACAAAGTGCGCCACATATTGAAAGGCATTGGGCCTGTTGCCTTTAATGCACTCGCTGTGCAAAACCCAGCTACCATCGCTAATGTCGTGACGACATGCCAGCGCCTTGATGCGCTGGACTCCGTTCGCCTCCAACCAGACATTGGCGACCACCACTCCACGTCAGATGGCCACCTGCGCGACCTTATCCGGGACATTATACGCGAAGAATTGCGGTCCATGGGCTTCACACCTCCTACACCACGACCTACACAGCCTTCGGGAATGCCCTTACGTGACATCATCAGGCAAGAACTTACAACGCTGACCGGCGTTGCGCCTGTACAGCCACATGCTTCACGCCCCATAACCACGTACCCTGAAGTTGCTGCCGTGCCTCCCAGCGACGCCCACACGACATTGCCGCGTCCATCCTACGCGTCAGTTGCTGCCGCTCCCCCGGTCAACTACCATTCCGTACCCCCTGACCCTCCGGCCCACCTGACCGCGCTATCTACAGGTGCCCCGAATGTCTTCTATTCCCCACCGTGGCGCTCGTCTCGCCCTGTTTGCTGCTACTGTGGCTATCGCGGCCACATATCTCGTTTCTGCCGAAAGCGCCAGCAAGATGAGCGTCGGAACGACGTGCGTGAACGGGATTTGTACGCCGGGGCGTCTTATCAAGGTCGGCGTTATTCGTCTCCCCTGCACCGTTCTCCATCTCCTCCTGCATCGACTGCACCACGAAACAGCCGAAACACGAGACGCCGCTCGCCTTCGCCCTTCCGCCGTTCCACTTCGGCCCGCCTCATTCACCTCTGAAATTCATTCTGAAAACTAAGTGATGCAGTTTGTGGAGGAAAAACTGCATTCGGAATCAGAACTGAAATTCCTCCATCGGGCCCGTGTAACATGGTTTCTGTGGAAGTGGAAGGAGTGCGAGTCGATGCTTTGGTGGACACAGGTGCGACATTGTCTGTGATACGTGCTGATTTGTGTGAACATTTAAGGAAAGTAATGACGCCTTACGATGGCCCCACATTAGTTGCTGCCCAGGGGAACGTCATTCGCCCTTCCGCGTTTTGTACTGTGCGTGTTTTCATCGACGGCATCCGCCATCATGTCCAGTTTGCTGTCCTGTCCCGCTGCTCTCACCAACTAATTTTAGGGTGGGATTTTCTATCATCTGCTTCCGCGGCGATTTGTTGTGGACAACGCGTCGTTCACCTTGCTGACACGGACTACATGCTTGACGACGACAATCAGAAGCCACTTCGTCTGGTCGCTGCGAAAGACATCGAACTGCCGCCACTACAAGAGCAAATTGTCAGCATTACGTCCAATGACATCTATCACGGAGATGTATTGGTCTCACCGTCACCACTTTGCGTTCGCAAAGGTATAGCTCTTCCGTCCGGTGTCGTTCGTTTTTGCAATGGCTCGGCACTTGTCACCGCTGTCAACTCTACACCGGAGAAGATCTTACTGCCACAGGGCACTACTGTGGCCCATGTTGCTGACTTCGAGCCTGTATTTGTCACGCCACTTCAGGCCATCACATCCAAAGAACCTTGCCTCGGTGAGCATGTTTCTTCCTCCGCCTTTACCACAGCTATCAGCAGCGAACTGACATATTCACAGAGGCAGCAGCTGCTCGCATTATTACAGAAACATGCAAATTCATTCGACATTTGCTCGTCTAAGCTGGGCCGCACTAATACTACAGCACATCGAATTCAAACTGTTGGGACATCTATCGTACACCGCCGACCCTACCGCGTGTCTCTAACTGAAAGAAAAATTATAGAAGAAAACGTTGCGGACATGCTTAAACGGGAAGTCATCCGTCCTTCATCTAGCCCTTGGTCGTCTCCCATTGTTTTGGTCCGAAAAAAGGATGGCTCTGTGCGTTTTTGCGTGGACCACCGGGCGCTCAATAAGATCACACGCAAGGACGTGTACCCTATGCCACGCATTGACGACGCCCTTGATTCCCTACAAGGCGCGGAATTCTTTTCAAGCATCGACTTGCGTTCTGGGTACTGGCAGATTCCCATGCATGAAGACGATAAGCATAAAACGGCATTCGCAACCCCCGACGGGCTATATGAATTCAACGTGATGCCTTTCGGGCTCTGCAACGCACCCGCGACTTTTGAGCGCATGATAGATACCGTGCTGCGCGGTCTGAAATGGAAAAGTTGCTTGTGCTACCTGGACGACATTATTATCTTTTCATCAACGTTTCCTGAGCACCTAGAACGACTGGATCAAGTTCTGACGTGCCTTGCCGGCGCCGGGCTTCAAATAAACACTAAGAAATGCTCTTTCGCTAGCAAATCTATCAAGGTCTTAGGACATCTCGTTAGCAAAGATGGCATCCGGCCCGACCCTGACAAGATTTCTGCAGTCCTTCACTTTCCGCGTCCCGAAAAACCAAAGGAGCTTCGCAGTTTCCTTGGCCTCGCCTCCTATTTTCGCCGGTTTATACAGAACTTCGCTTCTATTGCTGCTCCATTACACCAACTACTCGTTTCGAACGTCCCCTTTCTGTGGTCTCAAGAATGTGAAACGGCATTCGAGCTGTTGAAGCGGTCACTCACGTCTGAACCTCTGCTCTGCCACTTTGACGAAGCCGCACCGACTATCCTTCATACCGACGCTAGCGGCCTTGGTATAGGAGCCGTTCTTCTACAACGCGACAAGTCTTCCCTAGAGAAAGTTGTTGCATATGCTAGTCGCGTACTCACCCCTGCTGAGAAGAACTACACTATAACTGAGCAAGAGTGTCTGGCTGTGGTTTGGTCGGTCCAGAAGTTCCGTCCCTATCTCCACGGCCGTCACTTCACAATCGTTACGGACCACCATGCCTTATGCTGGCTTTCTACACTGAAAAACTTGTCCGGACGCTTGGGTCGGTGGATACTACGCTTGCAGGAGTACGACTTTGACATAACTTACAAGTCAGGCAGAAAACATCGAGACGCCGATGCTTTATCTCGTTGCCCGCTTCCGACCACCCATATAAGCGTTGGTGAGAACTCAAACGCCACATCTACCAAAGTTCATATGCTCGCATCAATAACGCAACCCTTTTCGGACGAACAGGCAACATTTATCTCCCACCAGCGGTCCGATTCATACTGCAGATGCATGATGGACCACCTTTCGGGAGTTTCTCATCCACCAAACGCGCGACTCCGTCGTCAACTCCTGCACTTTAAGCTGGACAATGGGGTTCTCTACCGCCACGTCTACCACCCTGACGGTCAGCGCTGGGTTCCTGTACTGCCACGCTCTCTTCGACTTCAGCTGCTCGAAGCCTTCCACGACGACTTGACTGCTGGTCATCTTGGTTTTAAAAAAACTCTTGACCGCATTCGATGTCGTTATTACTGGCCTGGCCTTTCTTCTAGTGTAGCGCGGTACGTCGGTTCCTGCTACCCATGCCAGCGTCGTAAACTCCCCACGTCTGCACCTGCTGGACCTCTACAGCCACTTCCGTGCCCGTCAATGCCTTTCGAGGTTGTAGGTGTTGACCTTTACGGGCCTCTCCCCGTCACATCTGCTGGCAAACGATGGATAGTGACCGCCGTGGACCACCTGACACGATACGCTGAGACTTCCTCTGTTATTACAGGCTCAGCTGTGGAAGTTGCAGACTTTATTCTTCACGCAATAATACTGCGTCATGGGGCTCCTCGTGTACTGCTTAGTGATCGCGGCAAAGTGTTCCTGTCACAATGGTAAATGAAGTACTCCGCGCTTCTGGAACTACTCACAAGACTGCTTCAAGCTACCACCCTCAGACAAATGGTCTTACAGAAAGATTTCACCGAACCCTTGCAGACATGATAGCCGTTTACGTCCAACCCGACCACAAAACTGGGATACTCTTTTACCATTCCTGACATTCGCTTACAACACCGCCGTTCAGCGAACAACTTGCTACTCACCGTTTTATCTCGTGTACGGACGCACCCCGACTACCTTTCTCGACGTCTCCTTCTTTAGCAGCCATGGGGATTCGTGTCAGTCTTCTAGTGAAGAATACATTTCCCGCCTGGCTCAGTCTCGCCATCAGGCTCGCATCAATACTGAAGCGAGACAGCACGAGCGGAAGATCACCTATGACGAATCCCACCGCGTTGTGTCTTTCCAACCTGGTGACGAGGTGCTGCTTTTGACACCTATTCGCACTCCTGGTCTCTGTGACAAATTCCAACCACGCTTCATCGGGCCATACATTGTTTTAGAACAGACTTCGCCGGTTAATTATCGTGTGACACCACTCGTCGCCCCAACAGACCGCCGCTACCGCAGCACAGAGATTGTCCACGTTTGTCGCATGAAACCTTTCACGCGACGTTCCCCGTCACTTTGACTTACGGCGGCCAGGGTGTCCGCTTCCAAGTGGGGGGAATTAGTGTGGGCATTTGTTACTTGCATCGTCCTCATCCCTGCATGATGACAATCACCATCATCCGCTTGTCTCTTTGTCCTCATTGCCACTCTGGTTCATCATCATCGTCATCGTCTGTGTACTGGCTCTGCCCGTTCGTTTTGCGAGGTCTTTCCTCAATTAAACGCTGTCGCAACCCAGACTACCAAGACTTCATAATATATATGGTAACCGTCATAAGCATTCGGTAGGCATAGACGTAACGGAAATGAACTAACAGAACTGACTGTACATCACTCTGGCCTTAGGTTGTTGCTATGGCCGGAGCGAGCCTACTTGTAATTGCTAAGTTGTCACCAACATAGCTACAGGCCCCGGAGGAAGAAACGTTTAGGAGGTGTAACTCCGCTCCTTGAGGCAACCAAGTGATGTCACATTGACGGAGAGCCAATTCATGTTGGCGGCGTCTTGCGGTAGAGAAGGGAACTGCCTCCATTTTGGTTGCCGAGCAAACCGGTTGCACGCATTGCTCGCATTCTGCTGTTGTCATGGAGCGGAGATGGGAGCATGTTCGGCCGCAACGATGGTAGCGTTGCCTTTTCTTTTTTTCGTGGTTGTAGCATTGCACTGCAAGGCGCCGTCAATTGAAATATCTCCATCCAATTTTTGTATTTTATGTAATGTTATTGGACGCTAGTGGATGCCCATTCCAACGCGAGTTTTATTTTCTAAATATTTCTTCCTCCATGCTACAGGCTAACTGTAAGCCACAGGTAAAGCAGCATGTTAATAGACCAAATTGCGACCCATGCCCTCAGACTACACACCGCGTGACCATACATTACCCATTTTGGCAGCTCTCGATCAGTCCAAAAGAAGGGACCCACGAAAGTACAGAGTTCCAAATCACATTTTAGATACCTATTACACTCTGAGGCGGTGCCTACAATAGTAGGCATAGTTTAGTGGGCTTAGCAAAATAGTTGGCTTAGTGGAATACCGAGATCGAAATGCGCATGCGCACCATGCTATAAGCACTTCACTGCATACTGTGTGCATGCTATTTTTCAGATTTAGCGTTATAGTTTTTGCATGGTTTACGTAGTGTACGTAAAACACAGTGGTTTTCGATCCCTACTTCCAATTTAATTTAGTGTTAATGGGAGCGGATTCATGTCTTTCACAGCAAACGACTGTGTCAAGTGACTTCGCTTGTTTTCAGGGAGCTTCAACAACCAAGTATTACAGATATCTTAGCCTAGTTTCGGAGATCGCTTTCCATTTCAAACACTCCTAGGCCTAACTAAGAGATCGGTGCAAATTAGCAACATAAAAATTTTCACTATTGGTGTGGCGTTCATATCTGTTAACTCTTGTTATTACTAAATAAAAAAAGTTGTAACATTGCTTCACGTAGTCACACAAGCAAACGTTGTAGGTTTTTTTTTTTCCCACTGCTTAAGGGGGGACGCGGGTCTTAGAAAAATAAAAAATGGCCAAAAAATCGATTTTGAGAAAAACGCATTTTTCGAATATTTGAACCTAGAAGCACCTCTCCTCAAATTATTAACGCTAAATTCGATAAAAAAATAGGTTAAAATCTATTTTCAAACCATCACGGGAGTCGCAAAACAACCCGCAAAACAGAAAATTTGTTCGAACTTGCCGCGCGCGCCGCCATCTTGGGCTTGTTTTGAAGCTGGTTCCTTTATGCGCGTTTTGCGGGCTCTCAAAATGGCGTAGCTCCAACACAACGACTGCCCTCCCCCGTTTTGCGAAGCCGTCTGCCGGACCGCTGATTGGCTAGAGCGCGCGCGCGCCGGCGAGCCCCCCCGTCTCGCGCTTACCATTGGCTGGCGCGGCGGCGCGGCCATGGTTGGTCGCTCTTTTTTTTTTTTTTTTTGGTTTTGCTTCGTCGGCGCCTGCTCTCGTGCGTGTTATCTCGTCTGCTACCCGCTCGTGTACCGACGTCGCCGACGTATATGTCTTTCTGCATTTCGCCGGCATGGCTTGGGAAGCTCGCCTGAAGAAGAACACTCGTCAAGCTTTCGGCAGGAAACGAAAGCGAGCGTGGAATGCGCGGCAGAAGGGAGCGGCCTGCGCGCCGCCGAGAACGCCGGAGATGGCAGAGGCAGCGCATTCAAATAGTGTTTTATGTATAGTGTTTTATTTTAAAATAGTGTTTTATGTATAGGCAGCGCAAACAAATAGTGTTTTATGTATAAAAGGGCGATGTTTTTATATATAACATGTGTCTTCCTTTGGTTTTCAGTGCACTAGAACAGCCACAAAGTTGTAGACTGGGTTCCTTATACTGATTCAACGGCCAGTACACAGTTTTTAAATGAGCTGTGGCAAATATTTTGGGATGGTGCATTGACACATTTGGTACAGCCATACTCACATAATGTAGAGCTATACAACGGTGCCATTTTTATTGCTCTAGCTTCACTTCAGCAAAAGTTACAGTTATTAGAAACTTTAAATGCGTTTTTTTCAGTTCGATGTTTTTGTGCACCACACTAAACCTTAGGGGTTTTTCTTATATGTTACTGTTGATTGAGAATGACAAACTTGGTATCATTTTATTTGTAATAACATTACCTATGGGGTGATGCTATTTTGATTACTCTAGAAGCATACTGTTAATTACAATTATGGATAGTAATGAGCAGAAATTGAACAGAATATCCATTGTAAGTGCTGGTCTGTTTTCTTATCTATATAATGCCTAAAAATTAATAAAAATAGCATCACCCCATACAGAAAGCCCTCAGCATTGGGGCTATGCATTTATTTTTTGGATCTGGCTTGATTAAGTTGCCAAAAAGCCCCCAATGAAGTGCATAATTAATTAAATTACAAATGTTAATATCTTTTTATCCACTGAAGCTATTTCAGAAACAATTACATATTTGAAATCAGCATGAAAAACTGTCGAAGATGGTGAGGTTTGGTCAAGATTGAGCCAAAAACAGAAAAAAAATTTTAAAGACTCATGTCCCCCCTTAATTTGTTCACCCTCCGCTAGGTGGCGAGACTGTCCCAGCTGGGGTACGTAAACCACATAAATGCTATCCCGCTAAACTGAACAGCGTTGTCTGCAACAAACGTTTGCGGCATGGTGACGTTATTCTCTTAACACCCGTTATTACACTAATGCTAAACTATAACTGTCTAGTACAAAACACAGTATTGAGATCTGCATAGTCACTGGATACTGTCAGCCCAAATACTCCCCGTGGTAATTTAGTAGAAAACCCGACAGTGTGTTTGTGTGTGGCTCATATTCCCTAGCTGGGCATACACACATTCCATGGTGCGCAGGAAGGTACAGAGAAGCTGCTGCACGCCATGTCTGTGGTCACCCTGGGGATGCGGCCATTGCTGGGCACCCTGTGGACTCCCGTGGTGCGCCTCTTGCTACTGTGTGGACAAGCGTCCCTGGCTCTGCTCTACCTTGACCACATGCAACCCTTGTCCACACACGAGCAGATGTCCCTGTGCCTGGACATCCTTCTGGCCAACTGGTACATGCTGCTAGGTTCATGCATTGGGCTCTTGTATTCAGGCGTCACATCAAAACTTTTAGTTGTGTAACAGCTGCTATGTGTCATTGCTCGTGAGAACGGCATCGTATCGCTACGAATCTGGCTGCTGAAGGTCATGTTGACTGATCTAAGCGTTTAAGTCGAGATTATGCCGATGTGACTTAACTGAAGGTGACCGAAACTTCAGTGTGCAAATTACATTTGTCACATTTCAACCCGTGAGCACTGTACATCTCTGCTTTGCATCCATAAATTACTGACCTTGCACATCATGCACCAACTTTTTGGCAGGTCGTACAAAAAACTTGCGTACTTGTGTTGGCCTTTTACACTTCACTCAGCTGTTGCCTTTTTCGTTTTTCTCTCACGCAACAGTAAACATCATCTGGCTTTTGTCCCTTTCGTCACTTTAACGCCGCATGTGTGGTACATCCAGGCCATAAACAGCGTATAGATATGACATAGCATTCTCATTGCGGAAGTAACAAAGGCCAAGTTTTTATTCAAAGAAATTAAAGTAATCAAGGTGACTATAATTTTTGCAAACATAAACTAATTCAGGTGACTATTATTTTCGCGCGAAGGATGTCTCAAATCGTGCAGCTATATTGAAAGTGTACTCGTATTGATCGAACTTTTTTTTTTAACCCTCTGAGGGTTGAATTTTTTGCGAAAGTGCACTTCAAAATTGTGTAATTTTTTGTTGCTGAATTAAACTTTTCAGATAATTTTATATTGGGAAAAAAAATGTCAAATCTTTTTTGCATGACCATAAAGTGACAAATTTTCTGTTACACATCATTTCTGAGTAACATCAAGCAAATTCCTGCAAAAAAAAAAAACACTTGTATAACTTTTTATAACTAGAAATAAAAATTATGCATTGCATTAAACAGGGCTCGCAGACATACAAAAGTAAGCACACCAGAGTACTTTTCAGGAGCAACCGCTTTTGAGCCAATAGTAAAAACTGCAGAATAATCACCTTTGGTCCAGTCCAGATCGTCTCACCACACGCACTTTCAGGATGTCGCTTCATCATCATCCGAGTCTGAACTAGTAACTGAATTCTTTTACAAACGGACTTCAAAGGAATATTCGGCACTTGAAGAATAGGCCATCATTGGAAGAATCGCCGCATGGCTCCCTAACACCAGAGCAACGGGCGCACACTTCCATATAGTGTAAAGGAACAGTGTGAGTGAGCGCACAGGAAAGAAGCTATGTGGTTGTGGGTTCATCCAGAAAGCGAAACGTGGAGGAAAAATATAAGAGCACTTGTCTTATCGCTAACGGGAAAGAATTGGGTGTTTCCGAGTCCCCAAAACAGGAAACGCATTTGGTGGCTTCATTTGTATAATTTAGTTTGAATGGAATAAGATCTATTTGCGCCCTGGGGAGCAATAAGCGAGAGAGTGACCGGTGGTTATCCCTTTAGAAATTCGCAGCCGGACAGCCTTCAGCTTTGGGGCTCCTAGTAGTGATGAGAACCGAAAGGAAGAATCCGAAACTATAGTGGCACCGTGTGCATGAGTTCTGATGTGCAAGTGAAGCCGGCGAGCCGCTTTGGAAAGAAATAAAATTAAACAGTGGAGAGACATCGGCGAATGAAAGAAATTCCACTTATTCCCGAAGTGTGGTAGCACATGCCAAGCAAGAGAAATTATCAAAAAAGGCATGCATTTTGAACATACAGACAATGCCATACATGCACAGTCAAAACCCTTCAAATAAAGTCCAATATACTTATTTTTTATATCATTTGCATATTGATTTTAGATAAAACAGCATTTTCAATTACATACAGAAAGGTTTTGGTTTATTCATTTACACATGTAAACATGTCAGTAATACACATAGATATCATAATGTCTCTAGGAAATTGGTGTTTGACCCTGAAGCCTGTTGAACTGAGTCATTGCTTTTTGGACTTCAAAATATAAGCTGCATGATGTGCAGATGAGATCTAGCAGCACACAATACATGCCAATATCTAATAACCATTGAGTGTCCAATGAATCTTTCAATGGCCAAGCAAAATTATTCGGTATAAATATTCATTAGAAGATCACTGCATGATTGAATTAAAAAGGCATGGAATTCACCATAAATTTTCAAACTCAGCTAAAAATTGCTTTCTCTTCTCTTGACAAGTGACACTACAAGCTCAAAAATTGCGCGTTACAGCCATTGTATCGGCCATTGGCAGATTTTAGCATAGCATGCTTGGTTGTTATTGGGGCCGCTGCGAAAAGCCACGACTTGTCCTTGCGTGCACGTGCAATGGCATTGAAAAGTTGTGTATTGGGGGCGGGGGAGTGCAGGAAGCTGTGAGGTGTGCGTGATGTCTTTCTTCCACCGTGCCACCTCTCCCCGCTTAGGTTCCAGTGCTTTCGTCAGGAGGAGGGAAAAGAGAATGCAATGGACCCTTTTCGTAGTTCACAAGTGCGCTTCTTTGCACTGCATTTTGGGCAAGAAATGGCGTCACCTGTCGTTCTTTAAGAGGACATGTGGTTCTAGTTGAATGTGCTGGGGCTAGTCTATCATGAATGCTTATATCACATGAGCTGGCTCTACATTTTCCACATCGTTGCGTAAGCAAACCGCGCTTGAACAGGCTATTTGCAGTAGTAAGTGATTAGTCGCCATTAGTTGTTCCAACTGCATTGCAAGATTTCACAATTTCATTCATTCACAATTTTGAAAAGGGTCTATTGCAGCGTGCAAAAAATCTTCGCAACTCCGCTCATACCAGACGGATTCTTAAACCTTTTGTGGCGATGAATTGCTCGCAGTCGGGTGGTGGATGCCCTCGAGCTGGTCCGCAGGCACAGCCATCTGTCCAGCCTGGAACAGCTGCTCGGCTGCATTGTCCATGTGTCCAGAAAAGGTGAGCGCACAAGGTCACACGACCGACCGTGGTAGCTTAGCAGCTATGTTTTGAAGTGCAAGGGCTTGGGTTTGGTGCCCGGCCACGGCGGCCTGAGTTTCGATATGGGTGACGTGTACCCACATCTAGGTACAGTGCATATTACAGAAGAGCCCTATGCTGTCCAAATGAATTTGGGTTTCTCTAGGTGTGCCTTGTAACCATATCATGATCACGGGGTGTTGCAGCAACTGAAGTTTGTAGGCCTCTGCGAATATTCGAATGCTTCGAATATTCGAACGAATAGTGCGGTATTCGAATTCGCTTCAAATAGAATTGGAATTATTTAAAATTACAAATTATTCTATATGAACAAACGGGTGCATATTAGTCCGAATGTAACACCCTCTAATAGTGATTTCACTGCAGTGGAGGGGTGCAAAGCCGTGAAAACACATATCCGGCGAAAATCCGGATTGCGGCCAAGCGCCATTTCGATTAAGTGAAGACGTTGCCCTCACATCGATTCATTTCCTAAGTTTAAAAGCTTGTTTTGCCAACTTATGTGCTGTAAGCATACCAAATTTTAAAACGTAACATATCTTACGGGCTATTACTTGCATTCTACCAAAAGTGATATCCTGCTACTATTCGAAGTTTCCACTTCCATTGGTGTGAAAAAATGGCATTTGTACAGGCCTTGTCTCAATTTAATGAGGATTCTGTGTAGGTTCATTAGTTCATGACAAATAGGCACATTTTTTTCTATAATACGTGGTATCTATACTATTTGATTCTAAAGTATTCTATCAAAATGCCTATTTGCTTCAAACCTAAAATAAACTACTCGCACAAGCCTAGAAGTTTCGACTAGCGGACTTGTCTTTTTCGTGGCTGCAACTGTTTCGTTTATTCACAGTAAGCCTTGACAAAGGCAAGTCGGCCTGTCATAGCATTGGCTCCACTGACACCCTATGTTAAATTTTTCATCTCTTCAAACTTCCATCTTCCGCTAAACATCTGCCTTATTTTTGTATCCTAGTCATATCATGGTTTTGACATGCAACACCGAAATTTTAATCGGTAACATCGCATAAGAGAGAATGGAATGATGCAGGCCTGAAGAGTGTTTCTTTAGTGCTGCTGCTACACACGATTACAAAAAGGACAACTCAATCAATAGATTTAGAATAAATGCAAGGCATTGTTGCATCTTTTTCTGTCTTTTTGCAATATTGGCTGGTGCCTCTATGAAATTAAGCTAGACGCTCAATATTCCTGGAGAAATAAATTGGCTGATAATGATTCCAGATGGCTGAAAATCTTGTCGTCTGGTAACCTCAGTCAATTATTTTCGGACAATTTTAAAGCAGCACCTAGCGTAGGTTGTTTGCAATGACAGCTCCACTTGTGAACACTCAAAGCAGGGCTCACCCATTGCACACAGCGTCACGTGCACGTGAGCATCACATTGACAGCTGTGGTTCAGTGCGTGCAAAGAGTATGGCAGCCAACATAAACTCACGTCACTGGTGGTTGTTGGTATTCGAACCAAGTTGATGTCAAAGCCGGGAGGAGCTCACTCTTGTGTGGTGTTGGATGGCACACACTTTAAGGTTCATTTTAAATGCTATTCTAGTAATGTCTGTTTTTGCACTGTGTTTACTTCCCAGCAATGTCTGTTGGGGGGCTAGTTTGTGCAACATTGAACCTGAAAGGTGTAGGGGATGGAGGAGAACTAGAAGTAGGCAGGATGGGTGCAGACTCAAAAATGAACTTACTTTGAAACATCTGAACCTCCACTTCTGCCGCTGCACATGCGCACAAGGATTCGCAGCACTATCACTCACCCTTTATCTAGCCTGAAAAATACAAGCGTTCTTTATGAAGATGTACACAAAATTCACTAACACACTTACCATGGCCAAGCCCTGAATCGTAGACGGCTTTCAGTATTTCACATGCCTTTTTTTCTATGACACTGCCCAACGCTTCTGTTTCATCAAAGGGTATCTTGCAGTCAGCACGGGACCCACAATATACAGCCTAGTGTTTTCCGCTATCAGTAAAGTTGCAGCATCAATCATCAGCACAGTTTGCCATTGTAGTGCTTTTTTTTTTTTTTTTTTTCTGCTGAGTCGAACTTCGCTGCAACGAATGCCGCTTCGACGAAATTTTCGCTACAACGGAAAATTCACGGTTCCCCATTGGCAGTTCATAGGTGTCAACGCATAAATATTGTCGCCACAACGAACACTTTTTCTTCCGCTGTTCCGCTTGAACGAAATTTCAGGATGCAATTCTAGGCTCAAATATTTATTGATATACAGTCAACGCAGTCTTTAACATTTTGATGCATTTTCAGAACTTGAAAATTCGTCAACGAAGTCTAAAACACGCGTTGGCACCACCAGAAATCGCCGCTGTTCAGCAAGCACGGCACGCCGCCATCGTTCAATAACGATTGCAATAAGACTGCCCTGCTTTTGCCACTGGCTTGCTTTTGAGCCGCAGAGGATCCGAAGCTGAAGCTCAGTCGCTCAGTTCATGGTTTTCTTTCACGCAGCTGTGCAGAACGATGCCTTTTTCGATGCCAATGCATATCATTTCGTTCGCGCTTGGTCATTGAGGTAATGAATGAGAGCAGCCGTTTGTCCGCATTATCAACAAAATCAGCTAGTCGCAAGTGGTGGATGATAAGAACGGCATAGAATAAGGCACAAGTCACTGCTCCACGATACCCTGCCTCTATCTCTGCGTTGTCGGATAGTTTGAAGGCGGACAGCTGCTGGTGTTAACGTGTTAATGCAGCTGTTTGGTTCGTTCACGAAAGTGGTTGTATGGTTGTAGGCCTTGTTTTAGTGTGCTATTCACCATGGCCTCGCTATGCATGGGTGAGAATCTCGTGATAATTGGCTGAGAATGCATGGGTGAGAATCGAAAAGGAAAAAATAGGAAGCAGCGGACACATTTTGAATTTTGAGAATAAACGTTTCTTTGTTTTGCTAGCTCAGATGAGCTATATTTTTTTTATTTCACAACAACAAAATTTTCGCTTCAATGAAATTTTTTCCGCACCTCGCCAGTTTTGTTGTAGCGGGTTTCGACTGCATCTACATGCATTGACAAAGTACTGCAAACAAAACTGAAAGCAGATCTCGGACACTTTGTTTGCGGCTGGGAAGTCATTGCCTGCAACTTTGTTTTAACTGATGAGAAACAAGCGAGGGGCAACATTGTTTCTGTTGCAAAGGCTTCTGGCTAGTGTTGCACTTCAGTGAGGCAGTTGATAGAGATGTAGCAATTTCTTTGCAAGGGTGATATTTTTGTACTGCTTGCTCATGGTAATAGCGTCTCTAACCGTTGATTCATACAAGCAGCGGCAGTGAGAGAGTAGCTTAAAAAGTGTTTTGAGAGCCCCCCCAACTACATATTTAGTTTCTGAATAAGGCCTCCAGTTTGATGAAAAATTCTCTGTTGCATAAGGTGATAATGATAATTTATTACTTCAGTTCTTTACAAACGAGAACACAAGGATCCACAATAACACTGTAAAGGGTAGCATGAATGACAGACTGAGGACAAGCACACGAGACGAGAGCTAGTCTCTGTCTTCATCATTCGCGCTACCCATTGCATTGAGTCCTGATATTTTCTCGTCTCGCTGATATTTTCGTCTATTCAAGAAAAACACTTTCTGCTTTGCCGAAACCACTGAACTGTAGTTGTATGTAGTTCACAGGAATATGCAGATGAGTTAAATGGGCTGACGGGGCTTTTTTTTTTTTCTTTTTTCCCATCCTCTGCTCTTCCTTTCTTTTTTTATTTTCAACAGCCCCTGAACGGGAGGCACACGCACTGTTTGAGGAGCTTCTGCGGGTGCCCCTGTCGGCCGCAGAGGAAGACCAGCTAATCAACTTTTTCTGCGAGCTGGCCGACCCCATGTGGTTGTGCCACGTCATCTTGCACTTTCTGGAGTGTAAGCGGCCACAAGCCGCCCTCTTGCCAACTGCGGCCCTCCGCGAGCTATTCCGGGAGGGGAAAGCACAGCGGGTGAGCTGAAACAAAGTTGCTGCGGTGACACTTGTGTAACTGTGTTGCATAGTTTTGCGCAATAAACAGTGCTAGGAACAAGGCGGCTGCCTCATTTGCACTTGAAACGTTGAAATGGAGAACAAAAGAGTGTGTCGAGGGAGACTGACGCCATCAAAAAAGTTCTCGCAGCTTTTTTTTTTTTTTTCATGTTCTTTTTAAGCTCTTTCAAGTGCCTCACTGCTATGTCACAGTGGTCAGTTTCTTGGTACTGGGAAGTGATGTGGCAGTACATATTGTTCTCTGTGTAATCTCCTTTTTTAGAAGCGCAGTCACATTGAGTGAACTGTCGATGTTCATCTTAATGAGAGCTAACAGACTATGGTGCCGAGGGACGTATAGGAGATGTTATTAGTACTAATTGTATTGTACAGTAGACTCCCATTGAACAAAATCTGAAAGGACCAGAAAAATGTGTTCCATTTAACAGGAGTTCCATTTACTAAGAGATAAAGAAGGAGCAGATGACAAGTACAAAACTAATCTTGTCTGAAACACTTGTTTCATATAAGCAGTAGTTTCGTTAAACTGAGAGTGTACTATAAATAGACGGATATACGTGACTGTCAATGTGATAGCTAGTGTTAAGAAAGTAACGTTACTGGGCCACAAACGTTCGTTGGGGACCGCGGTATAGCATTTAAGTTGTTTACGTGCCCCAGCTAGGATGATAGAGCCACCTTGTTGAGGTGGAAAAAGTTAAAGAACAGTGAAAAGGAAAAGAAAACGAGAGTGTTTGCCTCTGTCACCACACAAAGCAATGTTACAAGTTTTTTTTAATAATAATAAAAGTAAATTAATATGAACTATGCACCGAATGGGAAAATATTTGTTGCCACTTTGTTTACATAGATCTTCTAGTTGGGCCTAGAGACGTTCGGAATGGGAAGCTATCTATAAAACTACGCTAACTTATCCGTAATACTACATTATTGAAGCTACCTGAAGGCAAGCGAAGCCAATTCACGCTGTTGTTGCAAACGAAGTGAATGTTTCAACAACTACGCCACAATCACCTTGAAGCGGGCGTCTATAACAGTTGCCATATTTTGTGTACCCTAAGTAAACCACGCTAACACGTTAAGTTAAATCTGAAAAATAGCATGCATACTGTGAGTGGTACGGGTAACGAAAAGTACTGCGCATGCACACTTCTATTCCGCTACACCCACTATCCTGCTAAACTATAAGTGTTTAATGTAAGAGATTTCTGTTAACTGAGAGTCTACTGTAAATGTGAGGAAATAAAATGGGATGAAAAGACAGCTTGTTACTGGCAGGAACCGAACCTGCGACTTTCGAATATTATGTTCGATGCGGTGGGATGACCGCTACTGCAGGTCAGTTGGTAGAGCATTGGACATATTATTCGAAGGTCGCAGGTTCAGTCCCTGCCAGTGGCAAGCTGTCTTTTCATCCCTTTTTTTTTTTTTTTCGTTTATTACAGTTATTACTAACAACATCGCCAGTACTTTCCTTTGCATCATTGTCAGTTATCACTTATGTTGTGTCTAACTAAGAAAAATGAACGCTTAAGTTTCCACTTCATTGCTTCCCACTCATCTTCTTTATTTATATTGAATGCTTGAAAAAGACATGAATGCGAACACTCTGCAGTGCAACTGATGGTGGTAAACTGACTCCTTGATGGGAATGGCATTTCTGATGGAGGCGGAAATGTCGAGGCTTGTGTGCTCAGATTTGGGTGCACGTTGAAGAACCCCAGGTGGTCTAAATTTCCGGAGCCCTCCACTACGGCGTCTCTCATAATCATATAGTGGTTTTGGGACGTTAAACCCCACATATCAATCAATCAATCAATCAATCAATCCTTGATGGAAATGAGCGACGAGATACAGGTGAAGCCAACAGCTCAGTTATAGCAAGGTTTTTAAGAAGCCCATATTGCAGTTGCAGAAACGGAAAGAGTGTCCTAGCTGTTGGCAGGACCTCGACAATGCAAGGCACATTGCATATTGTCTGCTGTTGAAATTATGGCAGACATTGGTGAAACTTGCCAACTGCATACTATAGGAATCGCCTATGATTAGAGTGACTTGAAACATGAGGACGAATCTTGCGTGATGAGAGACCGTCAGACAATCGCTGAGTAGTGAAATATTAATGCAGCATAAAAACGGGAGGCTATGGTTATTGCAAAGACTAACACCCGTTGTCTTGTTGCTGCACAATCTGAGATGGTAGTGTGCTTGCTGCTTCAGTGTTATTTCACCAAGTGGCTTAGGTAATGAATTGTAGTGGTTGCACCAAGTCGCACATGCTCCTTTTCTCCTCTCGTTCCTCAGTCGTACCGGCCTGACATCCGGCAGCGAGCCTTTGCAACATTGGAAGTGACGCAGAGCGTCTTGCGGCTCATGCCAGTGCCGGTATCGCAGCTGAAGGCGGCAGCACGTGTGCGAAGCCAGTCAGGTGAGAGATTGCATGGGGTCTTTGACTTGGTACTGAATGTGTTGGTTGCTACAGTCACTCGAGCCCCTTTATAAAAGGCACTGATGTAACAGACATTTGGGTATAAGAGTGACAAATATGCCTACATTGAAAGAAGGTTGATATATGCATACATCGTACCCTTCTTGTAGGTGACACCTCATATAAAAGACAAGAATCGCTTCCCAGCCTATGTCTCTTATGAAGGGTTTCAACTGTAGTTATACTAGGACTGGGAGAATTATGTGACGCACACTTCTAGGTGAGCAGGCTGGTGCTCCTCGTGTTTTCTATGTGGCTATTGTTCAAGGCTTTTTTTTTTTTTTAGAGGAGGTAAGGAGGTTACAGCTATTCATCGTTTCCACTTTGAAGCTTAGTTTTATTTTGGCTATCAGCAACACTGATTCAACTACTAGTGCGCACACACAGTGCTTAATGTGATGCTGTTGTGCCAAAACTGGTAAAAAGTGAGGTACCATCGACACTCTTTGCAGGCCGACCTGTGCAGCACCTGGGAACAGTGCCAACGCGGGTGCCTCACAAGGGCACAACACCCCGGCTTGTGACAAAGGTGGATAGAGTGCGCGTCACCATGGATCCCACTGAGGCATCCAAGCCTGTGAAGCTGCCGAAGCCTCCCAACAGGTATGCACCCCACCACGGTAGTATGCGGTAGCCAAGCAAACGTTGAATAAGAAGCACACATGAAAGGACGTTGGAAGACTAAACAGCAGTGTGATCACTCTGATGGTTTCATCATCAGCCTGACTACGCCCACTGCTCGACAAAGGCCTCTCCCATGGTCCACCAGTCAACTCGTTCCTGTGCTTGCTGCTGTCTTTTTATACCTGCTGACTTTTTAATCTCATCTGCTCGCCTAACTTTCCGTCTCCCGCTCATCCACTTACCTTCTCTGGAAGTCCAGTCAGTTACCCTTAACGACCAGCAATTATCCTGCCTTGGTGCTACGTGCCAAGCCCATGTCCATTTCTTCTTCTTGATTTCGACGATGATATCCGTAACCCCGATTTGTTCCCTGACCCACACTGTTCTGTTCTTGTCTCTTAAACACCTATCATTTTCCTTTGCATCGCTCGCTGCATCATCCTCAATTTAAGCTGAAATTTATTTGTAAGCCTCCAGGCTTCCGCTCCGTAGGTGAGTGCTGGCAAGATGCAGCTGTTATATACCTTCCTCTTGAGGGATAATGGCAATCTACCAGTCCTAATTTGAGAGTGCTTGCTGAATGTGCTCCACTCCATTCTTATTCTTTTAGTGATTTGAATCTCGTGGTTCGGCTCTGCGGTTATTACCTATCCTAAGTAGACTTGCTCTTTCACTACGTCAAGTGCACTGCTATCTGTCTCGAAGCGCTGTTCTCTTCCAAGGTGGTTGTACATTACTTTCGTTTTCTGCAGATTAATTTTAAGACCTACTTTTGTGCTCTCCTTGTCTATTTCAGTTATGAATTGCAATTCCTCCCCTTAGTTACTCAGCAATGCAGTGTCATTTGCAAAACGCAGGTTACTAAGGTACTCTTTATCATCTCTTATGCCTAACTCTCTCCATTCGATGCCTCTGAAAACCTCCTGTAAGCGCGCGGTAAATGGCATTGGAGAGATCGTGTCCCCTTGTCTTACATGCTAGCTTTATTTCATGTAAATGTATGCGTGGTGTCTGAATGTAATAATGGACTTGTCTAAGGGCCATGCTTTCTTTAACAACTGCCGAACTGTCACCCTGGTTATGTCTTAAATTTCTTGGTATAATTGTCAAAAACTATGTGCATTGAATCCGCCATTATGCTTCATGCCCAACCACCACCACAAATGTTAATGTTATTCCTTTCATTTAATTCCTCCGTTTGTCCATGCTGAGTAGTTGGTTATTTATGTTTGGTGTTACCCCCGCTGTATTAAAGCACATTTGTGGACAGTATCATCTCAGATGCCATTCGTAACATTCCGAATTTCCGTTTCCTTAAAATAGTGTCTTTCAACGATGCGGCATGCCATGTGCTAAGTGTTTCATCTCCATTGCATAAACCTGGCAGCTGACTGATGATTTAGAGGCCCGAATTGCTATGGGCCTGTGTTCTTAGATTAAGATGCATGCTAAAGAACCCCAAGTGGTCTATTTCAGGAGCCCTCTGCTATGCTGTGCCTCGTTATCCTATTGTGTTTTGGGGACATTAAACCCCAGCAATCATTATAATTGCCTTCGAATTTCATATGCCATAATGTATGCGTTTACAAGCAAAAGGTGGGACATTAAAGGAGCACCGACATCAAATTTATTCATGCCAAGATTTTTGCGTCAGCGAGTAGCTATAGACCTTGTAGCAGCGATTTGCGACCTAAGGTGCAACTGAAGGATGATTAACTATCACCTTTATTGATTTATATCTCACTGGTATCTAGCACTATTCAAAGCGGTCTGCAATCCTGCCATTTCTAGCACTGGGAGGGCCAGCAGTGGCGCTACCTCACGGTCACCTCCAGATCACGCCGCAGCTGACCACTTCTCCACAGAAAAGAGTGACGTCAGGCTCAGCTGCTCCGCAAACATTTCGTCTTCTAGGTGGACGCATTCAGTCATGCTTTGTCACCTGCATTGCTGTCACCGCCGTACAAAGTGTCGACTCGGGTTCTATACGATAGTCTGGAGCTTGGAATCCCCGCAATTCGCGGCGTCACGAGTTATTTTTGCTTCGATCGACCTTTTTCAGAACAGTGATACCAAAATGGACGCTGTTCCAATCAGCACTGCAAAGGTGCCCGAGGATGCACGCTTCAGCCATGTTCGCTCGTGTGTCTTAGTTAGCTATATTGGTGTGTTTTGGCATGCAAAGCATTCAGGTATACCCAGAGGGGTCAGTGCAATATAGCTATCGCGAATGAGCATCAGCGGAGAAATAGAATACGTTTCCTGCTTGCCAGGTTCTTCTGCGCCTTCGGATGGCCTTACCTATCCAGCGTCCCGTGGTTAACACGGTATTACCTCTTTTACGTGGGCGCAAAGTCTACAGATGAACTAAAAATCAACGATACCTGCGTGTTACTTGTTAGCGATGATATCTGACTATACGCCGTTCCACTTTTGATAGCTTGTGGTCGTGTTGATGTGTAAGACATACGTGATATGAAAAGACACCCTCATTGCGCTTTTTCCGGGCTTAAAACTAGACGACTGCAACTCATTTACGTCGGCTTCACACACGCAGCTGTTGCCACGCGTCTTCGCTCGATAGCGGTAAACACACGCTCTTGCCTGTAGCTCGAGCCTTCACCCCTCAGGTGGAAATTTGCAACTCGCAGCGATTATCCGACATGCTGGCCGACAAGCACACGTTTAATCATGATCTTCTTTTTCGTCGTTCTTTTAAATCATTCAATCCAGTGCAATGAAGATCAGACGCGACAAGCGAGTGAGTTTCTGCGAGTGCTTTGGCGCCACGATAAGAACACTCGGATCGTACACGTCATCGCTACTAGCATATCGTCACTCAGGATGGTATTTGTAAAATGTATCACACTGAACACGTAGCACTAGTGTCGATGTCGCAGGGCAGTCTATTTTTTGTTGTTCTCCTTAGCTTTTTTAAGCTCTTTGACATCGAATTAAAATAACTTCCACGCGACGGATGCCGTTCAAACTTGGCCAAGAAGACTTTTGCATACCAAGCGATCGAATGATGAGCACATCTCGATCATGAAATTTGATGTCAGTGCTCCTTTAAGGTAACAAATAAACAGGGCATATTTTGGGCATCCTGCCACATGACAGCAATTGTTCTTTGGCTTGTTTGCATTTCTCAAGAAGTTATGTGCTCGCTACTTTTCTATCAGGGATACTGTGTCACGCTGATAGCCATGTGTTTCTTGGGTACAGTGGGACTTCAATTTATGTCCCCCCAGTTTCACAATGAACCTGTATTTTAAGACGAATCAGTTTGGTCCTGACAAAATGCTAATAGAAGAATTATATAATAAACACCTTGCTTATACGACGCAGTTTTGCGCCGGCCTCTCATCTTATGACGACTTTGAAATTCTCTCCTAAAGAGAAAAAGAACACCTTCACACGAATCAACTGTCGACCAAATGTTCTCGAGTGCAAAATGTGAACTTGCGTTTCCCTAGGTTGACTATTAGAAAAATAGAGAGCGAGGCAGAATGTTTTCTTAAAAGCGAAAATATATTGTCCTGGAATTTCATACACTTCTACATGCGCCTTGATTATGTGCATACGTATCCGCGGTCATTACTTAGTGAAGCTCTATCCACACAGAGTAGCTTCAGCCGGACGAAAAGCAGATATTTTCACATTTTCTATCCATGGAAACTTCTGCTGATCTCTTGCCTTTGTTGCACTCGTAGTCACAGGGTTGTACATGCATAAGGGCGCAACGCAGCTGCTTTCGCCGTGCAAAATTACTTTCGCCACTTGACTAAATGTTCATGATAAGAGTGGGGCACCACTAGTTGCACCTATCAAGGCAGCAAATTGCATTGCGCACGAATGATTATACACAACATTGTGGTCTGTCACCATTATGTGATAGCGATGACACTAACTCTTCTGGTGAGAAGCTGTTGGCAACACGTCTTCAGTTTCACGTGCTGGCAATTTTCAAACTCTATTTATCGCTAGAAAATTATCTGTGGGATTTGATTTTTTTTTTAAGGTTGAGAATAAATAGTATTCGCTCGCACCTACTTCAACTAAGTAATGCTGTCATTCGCTGCCACTGGCTAGAATAATTTATTCTGCTCTCTTTGCGGAAGCACAAGGTTGTGCCGTAGGCTTATTCAGACGGGCTGAGCACCACTGCCTGTATTCTTAGTTTTTGATTATACGACATCCAGATTACCATATGTACTCGTGTAATGAACCCGCTTTTTTTTTTTCCCAGAAAATTTGACACAAATTTGGGGAGATGGTTCATTACGCGGGAGAAATGACGGTATTGCTTGTTCTGGCCCGCGAAATGTGCGATGAATATTTTTCGTAGCCCGAACCTCTTTTTTTTTTTTTCGTAACAAACGCGCACCGATAGACGCCGAAGTATCGTCCAGCCGCTCTATTCTCATGTTTCAGTGCATGTTTGACTAAGTCTAAGTTTAAAACCAGCCGTGTAGCTAGTGTACCAGCTGAACGCGCCCTGTGCAGCAGGTGTCGTTAACCAAGTTTACTACGACAACCGCGACAACAAAAATGCAGCGTTGAATGGTGACGCACAAATGTTGTGGGCGATGCGCTGTCGGTCCGGTGGGCGCTTTGCATGGCTTCCGAGATGGCAAACAAGCGGCGTAGAAACTTGCATGTGGCCGCCATCTCGGAGGTCATGCATTTGTTTTTTGCTTGGTTCTCAGGTTGCTGTGCTTGCGTGGCCCTATAAGCAAAGAGGTTTCTACTACATTGGGCAGATGGCGCTTTGCCGTGAAAGGCAGGACTTTTAAATATTGATTGGCGTCGTCCGCGTGGGCGCTCCTCGCAACTGTTAAGCATGGTTGCGAAACTATGCTTAGACTTTTATTGTATCATCAATTTGGGATATAATGGTTTGATTTAACATTGTTTAGATCGTCAACTGCACTGGGTATCAGACAAAATGATCAGATGCATTACAATAACTTATTTTTTTCAAGGACCAAGGTGGGGTGGGTTCATTATGCGAGTAGGTTCATTACGCAAGTAAATGCGGTATATGACGGTTTTGCGTGGTCCCCTGAAAGTTGTATAATAGTGGTTCTACTGTATAGCACAGACAACATGAGACACAATCAATAAAAGGGACCTTTGTGCCATGTTCTATGAGCTGTATCGAAGCAATTGAATGAATAACCAACTCAACCGGGCTAATACCTCAGCCACTTGCCGTTCATTTCCGGGAAGAACCAGGTGCATGGATGTAATGCTAGGAAATCACGCAAGATGACTATTATTGTGCAGCAGAAGGACATTCCAGACATGCCTCCCCCCAACACGCACACACTCTCTCTCTCTCTCATAATGAGAGATAGACAATGTCTCAAGACAACACAAGTGAAACTCAAGAGCCGTATGTCAAATAAATGGGAAGAGCTGTGGCCACTAAGGCACTTCTAAACAGGAAAAGCAGTCGAGCAGAAAAGAACAACCATGAGACCAATGGGAGTAAAGACAGCACAAGGAAATGGCGAAGACAAATTGAGAACCAAATCGAAAGTAAGCACACAACATTGGTGGGAAAGGGGATTGTGGGTGACAATGTGTAAAGGCAAGCCGAATGCTAGATGCTAAAATTGTGCAGTGAAACGGATGGCATACTAACTTGAGACCTGCTGATTACATTATTGTCCTAACCCTCCCGTTAAACATTGCTTCATCTTTTTTCTTTCTTTTTTTTTTCTTCAGAGGGTTGGCAAAAGAATCGCAAGCGCCAACTCCTCCAGCAAGACGTCGTCGCTCAAGCCTCGTCGGCAGTGGGTGAGTGCTAATGGGCAGCTTCCATAGCGTGTGTTCGAGTTTCGAGTATGCGAAAGGCCATTAACATCAGTGTACCATTGGTACTATCCCGAATAGAAAATAGACCAGGATGTTTGACCAAACCAGCTGGTTTGTCACTAAGCATTATAACACAGAGCAGAAGTTGGTGTTAAGCTGAGCAAAACACAGTATAAGACATATGCGTATGCACAGAGTTCAATGGTAGTTTTAACGAGAGTTGGAATCAATCGCATTATAGCTGTTCCCGCATTATGAGTGAAAGATAGGCCGAAAAGCTGGTGTTGACGTAATGTTCTCAGCACCAGTGCAATTGTCCACCCTGTGCAAAAAGGTAAATGGTGCTAAGAGGCACACGCAATCGTGGGAAATCAAGCACCGCAACCCCTATGCCACATCCGCGGAAGAGGTGATCTACAAGATCCCTTTAACCTGTAACAAGGTCTACATTGGTCAGAGAGGCAGGTGTCTAAACAGACATTTAGAGAACACATCCGTCACGGCTCGGCTAAAGATGCTGGACACTTGGCCTTTCATTGTAGGGATTGGGGCTGTGCTCCCACTCTAAACAGTACAGAGGTTGTGCTAGCAACGCAACAAGGAAACAAGGGAAATAAGCGAGGCTATTGAAATTGATAAATGGAAAGATAAATGTGTCAGTTGCTCCTTAGTATCGTTCTTTAAGAAAACACGTCGATACCTTGGTATATAACCACATAGTTTCTGTTTTCAACTTTTTCAACTTCTTATCAGTGCCATGTGTTTTTATATTGTAAACGAACAAATACAACACCGTAAGCTAAAACAACTATTTATTTATGGCGAACTTGTGCCCGTCAACTAAATACACAAAGGTTGTCCTGAGCTTGCTAGTGAAAACCTCGTCAACTTCTTTGGGCGTGTCATCGGGTGCTGCTCCTTCGAAAAGCCGCCTGCCTTCTTTTTCCAGCACGTGGTGTGGTGACACGTGCAGCCAGCATTGCATGGTGCATTTAGCTTGGCGCATTTCACTTTTCAGTTGGTGTGGCAGAATTCATAAGAGCAGGAAGCGGCGCAAGACTTCGGCAGGTGCCTAACAACCTGTGGCATTAGTCCCCCTCTCGAAACGCATCGTCCCGATGCGTACGCTGACGCCGAACAGTTTTGTAAAGGAGTATTAATCTGATGCTTGAGCACATTTAGCAGTTGTCTTGTTCAGTGCCTTTCGTAGTATGGTTTCATTCGTACTACATGTACGACTTCTGGGTGATTCCTGCGTCGGGTTGAGCACACTTGACTTTCAGGAATTACTTCGTAGTTTAGGTACCGGCGAAGTACTTTGTAAGGGCCGAAATGGTGCCGCATCAGTTTTTCAGATAGACCAGGTGCGCGTACAGGAGGCGTCCACAATCACACTTTGTCTCTGGGGTTGTACTGTACGTCTCTCCGCTTCAAATTATAGCGACTTGCATCGGAGCTTTGTTGTAAAATGATACGATGTCTTGCCAATTCCCGTGCCTCTTCTGTCCTTTCTATGTAGTTGCTAGTGTCCAGGTCCCTCTCATTCAAATTGTTTACAGGTAACATCGCGTCTAAGGTCGTTGTGACCGTCCGACCATAAACAAGTTCAAATGACGTGAAGTGTGTCGTTTCTTGTACTGCGGTATTGTACGCAGTACAATACCGCAGTACATAAGGCAAAATACTGTCCCATGTCCGGTGCTTTACGTCTACATACATCGAGATCATGTCAGTGAGAGTTCTTTTGAGTCTTTCGGTTAATCCGTTTGTTTGTGGATGGTATGCTGTAGTCCTTCTATGGTCGGTGTGGGTGAGCTTCATAACAGATCACATCAAACGGGCAGTAAATGCTGTTCTTTTGTAATGACAACCTGCGGTGCGCCATGTCGTAGTGCAATCTGAGTGACGAAAAACTGGGCTTCTTCATTCGCCGTTCCTTTTGCGAGAGTTGATGTCTCAGCATATCGAGTCATGTAGTCTGTTGCTACAACAATCCAGCGCTCTCTCAATGAAGATAGAGGAAATGGACCAAGCAAATCTATTCCCACTTGCTGAAATGGCCTTTTTGGTGGCTCTATCTGTTGCAACAGACCCACTGGTTTCGATGGTGATATTTTGCGTCTTTGGCAATCCCGGCATAACTTGACATAATGGTGCACCGAATCCCTTAATTTCGGCCAATACTACTTTCGGCGGATTCTGGCCAAAGTGCGACTACTACTCATATACTCATATGGCCAGTCGATGGGTTGTCATGACACGCCTCTAAGATTTCCGCTCGCAGTGATGATAGTGCAAGAAGCAGAAACGTCTCACAGCTGTTTCCGAAGTTGCGCTTGTATAGGACGTCGTTCTGGAGGACGTAGGACGTCAATCCACAGACAAAAACTCACGGTACCTTAATTTGATGACCCTCCAAGTATTAGATAAGCGGGCGTAGTTCTGGGTTCATTCTCCGAAGATTAGCCATCTGCGACACATTCAGAACTCCAAGAAATGGGATGTCTTGTTCTTGGTCAGATGACGGAAACTCCACAGGTGCGCGAGACAGGCAATCAGCGTCATTGTGCTTGAGACCGGACTTCTAGACCACAGTGATTATTATTATTATTCTTGTTATTTTTATGTAGTCTTCATCATTATCAGTGCTGTCAGAGCGCATGTGCGTGCTCTTGTACATAAGCCGGGTCGTTCGAAAGTAAATCATCAGTTGCAGTACAGCGCTAGTGTTTGCGTCCTTTCTGTCTCTCTCTCTCTCTCTCTGTGTGTGTGTGTGTGTGTGTGTGTGTGTGTGTGCGTGCGCGCGCGCGCGCGCTGCTTTTCACCAACTAGCTTATCCGGGCATTGTAAAAGTGAAAGCCAAATCGGCTTAGCAGTGTTGCAACTCCTGGCTTTCAAACCCCATCAACAGAACTAAATTTCGAGCCATGCCAAAGCCTCCTTTGTTTCTGCCCGACAGTCTTGATGCTGAAGCATGCGCAATGCTGCACACACCTCCTGTCAAGCCCTGGCAGGGCCCTACGGAGGCAACACCGTCTGCAGCGCAGCCATCAACAAGCACGCCAGCCTCCATCTTGAAACGCCGAGCGAAGGACCTTCCGCCGGTGGTGACCGCCCCGGCGGCTGGAAGCAGCGCCGTGGAGGGAGATGCGGGCACCTGCCCGACTCCTCTCGCGCTGGACGAGAATGTCTGCCCGACGCCAGGTTTGCAAGCGTTCATGAAATTGCAAAAAGTTTCACATGCGAATTAGCGGCCTCAAAAGTGTGCTCGGTGCTGCGTTTATGTACTCGCATGAGTTCACCCTTTCGTATGGCTTGTGTCTTCATCTCTTGGCCTTTTAAAAAAAATTTTGGGCATGTATTTGTGACTGTGGACTGTGGAGACCACGGTGTGCTTGAAACATTGTGTTATATCAATTGGAGCAGTGATTTAATTTGACCACACTTCACCTTTATGCCACCTTAGCTTCGCAGTGCACTGGACAAGCAATGTGTCACAACTCAAATGTTTTTCACCCCGCCTTCTGCTCTTTATGTCTTTGTCTTTAGGGCTGCATCAGCCATGCCACCTTGGCTTATTGCATTCAGTTAGGGCCAGTGCTTTTGAATTTCAGTCACAGTCATCAATGAGCCACTTCATGGGCAGAAGACTCACTCGCAACAGTTTCCACATGGGCATACAGCGACATTACTGTCGCTGTTCCTTAATCGTACCAAATTTACTCACTTAGTGATCTGGTTTTTTTTTTTTTCAGACTGATGCAAATTTGGGCATTCAATCATGATGCGAAGTAAACTTTTCTTTGAAAAAAATTTACATTGTGTTGGTGCTGCATGAATTGCACACTGTCCATTTATATCTCTCCCATTCCATAACTGACCCCTCACTTTTACTCAGTCTTAGTTTTCACTGCTGTCGTCTCAAGGCGGTGTTTGAATGGCACTGTAATTGCTGTGGGCGTCGTCCAATTGCAGAAAGTCTAGAAAACCATGCACCAATGTCTGGTGCATTTTAGTCATGCCCAATCAGCTCTTGAAGTTTTTGAGTGTCTGCAGTGCTATAACTTAGTCTAGTGTCAATGTGACCAATGAGGGCATTTGCTCTATGTTTTGTCCAATTTCTTTCGCTTTACACTCGAACTAATGTACTGCTAGCTTTTGTGTATCAATCTGAACAAGAGTGCCATGACGTCACGACACGCCTCACTCGCCGCCCCCCCCCCCCCCCTTTTTTTTTGAGCAATTCAAAGTGCTGTGCCAAAGTGAATATTTCACCAGGCTGGCCTATCGAGAATCGCACCCGGTATTGATTTGCGCAGCGCACCACCCATCCGTATCAAAGTGCATACTCGCAGGCTTGTGCCTTCGCATTTGCTGCCTCATTTTGGTACAGCAGTGGATCGTAATGGCCTTTCCATTGACATTGCAGCCATCAAGTGTTCATCAAATTTTGCCAGCAGCTACTGTGTGCTGGTAAAGTGTATGCGTTTGGCATAAAAAAAGTTTCGGTTCACACATAATTTTTTTATACAATAGTCAGGCCTATGTTGTTTATGATTTGAATTCTTTGAAGTGTTAAGATATAATTGCTAAAGAAATGTTACTTATTGACAGATTGAAATGTTGTCTATGTTCAACTTCACACACTGACTGCTGTGGGGACGATGGGATGTTGCTTTTCTGCCAGATCTGACGGTCCGGAGGCTGAGGTTTGCTGTGTCCGAATCCTTCAGCTCGGAGAATACGTAAGTGACATTTGAGGCCTGTGCCCTCAGTACGCATTCATTGTGCAAGGTAGCACCAGAGCTCACAAAGAGGTGGCATAAATGATTAGGTAAAACAATGAGACAATTGCAGTAGACTCAGTAAGTGGAACATTCCTAAATGGAACAAGTGCCCCTGAGAAGATTATGTTTGTGCTTGTACTCTGCACTCTTGTTCATCTCTCAGTGAATGGAACTCCCGTTAAATGAAGCATAATAATTTCCTGGTCCCTTCAGGCTCCACTCAATTAGATTCTACTGTATTATCAGCTGCTGTTTGTTATTAAACATCACCAGTGTTTGTAACAGTGCTCCGTTTTTATTATTAATGTGACTGGACAGTCCTCAACACTGGCAGTCTACATCAAGCAGAGAGGACCCATGTTGCTTCTGATATAGACTTCAGGGCTCTGTGGGCAGTCAGAACAAATGCAGTCTGCTCCTGTTTCACCCTCACTGGTACCTAATTGATTGGTTTAGATGAGAAAATATGCATTGAATTTCAAATTTAAGGAAGCCTTTGAATGTTGTATTGATAGATTGAGAGTCCGCGACCAGCAAGAATCCGATGTGGTAGTCGCACTAGGGTAATGAGATTCATGGCCGTTGTGCACGCCATGAAATTAGTGCTACTTGCTGACCAGCGGTGGCAGCATGCACTAAGCACCGGCAATTTATGCTTACGTACACAATTTGTTACACATGCGTAGAAATCGTGAGAAAAACTAAGGAGTGGAATGGTGTCGCTTGAAGTGGCGTGAACACGTCTGCTAGGAGCACATTATTTGTCGCTCATAGTGTTTTTCTGTTCATGCAGCACAGCTTTTGTACATGCTGATTTGCACAGCTTTCAGTCAGTTGCGTAGTCAAACGCTTAATTCAAGGCATCACTTTTTGCTAGTTGTGGGCTATATGAGCATTAGGCTTCACATCACAGCCAATGTATTGATGGTCATTTTGCGCTTTAGACAGGCGCCCTTGCTTAATATTATTACGTGAGAGAAGATACTCCGGATCGACGAGGCTGTAGGTAAAATATATTGTAACCAGCAGTTGCGGCGCGATCGGTTGATCAGCAACCGAATAGAGACAGACCTTCATCAGGCACACATGCGCGCAGTCACCGAGAATGTCAACATGCATGCATGTAGCAATATCAAAGCCTAATTTGGTATTGGAACAAGAAACTATACTTTCAGAGAAAGTTTTCTGACAAACAATCTGTGATACTCCGCGAAATTTAGAAGGCTCTCAAGGGACCAATTTTTTTTTTCCTACTCTGAAATGTTCTAGCAGTTTACTGTTTTCCATGCCTGGAATCTGCGTGATTTTTCTTTTAGTATGTATCCGATGGTCGCCAAAATAGCTGGTATGTTTGGTGTAGAAGGACTCATGTGTGTGTGAGTGCATGGGCTGAGTATGATTATGGTGAACATTTATGTGATATCTCTATTAATTGAGGTTCATTTGTAATGCTCCTTTTGCTGGTTCCACTTCCCGACCCAGATGTTGCGAGTGTTGTTGCGAGCAATAATATTTTTTTTCCTTGCCCTCTGACAGCCCCGACCCTGATGCAACTGCCGAAAGCATGGGTAAGTTTCTGCCTGTTTTTCTGCTTCTGATAATCCTGTTATTCACCCGACACATGTATATAACATTTGATTTGCGCATATGTAGACACTCGTGCACATAAGGCCCAATTGTTTTGTATTTGTTGGAACATTTGTTGTTAGATATCGAGCTGTTTCCCACAGTGACTGCATTGGTGTCATTCTTCTGCATTTGTTAACCTATGTGCGCTATCGTGACAAATGCAGTCAGCACTCTTGCAAAGTATATTGAGGGCTGATAATGACGTGGGCTCATTCTCAGCATCTCTGATGAGTATAATGTTACGCTCTTTTGTGCTGTGGTTTTCTTTCATTAGCAATGTCTCCATTTGTCTCTAGATGTCAAGCTACCGGAGGGAGAAAATGTTGCAGCTTTCTTGATTTTAGGATACACATGTCAAGGGGCGAGGCATTTTCTTTTAAAGGCTCATTCACACTTTTGACTATCACTGGTCGCCTGACTATTTGTGCTATTCTGATTAGCTGTTCTGGTCTTACAATTAGCCAATTTGTTTTCCCATTCGCTCATTTGCTATTCAGTTTGCTTATAGACCATTGTGCTCTTTAGGGCACTTAATACTCACACAGTCTGAAGCAACCTACCAGTAGCCATGCCATAATTTCCATGGCCTAGCACTGCCATTTTCTTTTAAAATAAGCAGACATTCTTTTTGTGCACATCTGATCGGCTTAGACTACAGTGGCATGGCTGAAAGTCAAGCAGTGAGCAACAGAGCCAAATCAGTCGCCATTCGACCAAAGCGGCCATTGGCATTCAGTTGCTTCGTGACCAGTGCTAGCTGCAGATGTCCATAAGCTTTGAACCACAACCATTTCTTTGTCACCATGAAAGAAAGATCATGGGAACAACTAGCATGTTTCGGGTGCACTACTTAAATTTTAAGTATACAGGGCTTGGTAATGTGCAGCGTTACGATTTGGAATTTTCTTGTGTTGGAAATGTGGGTTGTGAACATTGTATTATGTAGATGACAAAACAAACCTTTATCTTTTCTTTTCTTTTTTTCAGAATAACTCTTTGACACACGGTTCATGTGTTGATTTAGCATTAAGGACTGCTAATGTATTCATATCTGCCAAATGCTGTTATGAAATCTGCTCAGTAATACATATTGTTAAATTGTGGGGAAGTAAAAAGTTTTAACTAGGTGTCAACTCACCCATAGAACTAACGGACAAGAAAGCTGAGGAAAGTATGGGGGATGTTATTTGTAGTAATTATGATGCTAACATAAAGAAAGTCAAGTGAATAAAAAGATAATGTTCTGCTAGCAGGAATCAAACCTTCCAGCAGTTGATAAAGCATCTGATGCTCTACCAATTGAACTAGTGACAATCATTCCCCGTCCACTTTCTAGTGTATGTATGTGTTAGTGTTAGTCAGTGCCCTAGTAGTCATGACGGCAAGTATGGAACACTTTTCTTTCTTCTGCTTGCTGGCATTGTGAAGCACGTGATCTCTGTACAAGCTAGCCGCTAACCAATAATCTCTCGCCTGCTACTTGAAGGCATCCAGAATGTAGTTTGAGGACACTATCTACTGAAAAACAAGGAAAACAAATTCATCTATAATGGGGCCGTCAGTCTCCGTCAAAGTCTTTGCACTTTTGTTAGCATTGATTGCGTGAACCAGGCTGTGTATGATTTACTGAAGTGCCGTAAAGCTCCAGTTTCAGTGCGTTAAATGTATCGTGTTTGCTTGCTAAGCCCTTGCAGAGATTGCACGCCAGATTGCACTGTACCATTACAAACATATGTGTTGCCATTGGAGTTGATCCTTGTGTTTTGTGTTTGTAGAGGAAGAGCAGCCGTCTTTTGTCTCCCAGTCTGAGGAGCGTGTGTCCGCTGAAGAGCAGGCGAGTTCACCCAAAGTGAGTGGCATAGCTTATAAGTAACATTTTTCCACGAGTCGCTTGTTTTTCAATCAAGCCTGAAGAAAAAAAAATGCATGTAGAGTTTCGTTAAACAAAGCCTGAAAGGCCAGAAAAAAAATGTTTCCTTTATCTGGAGTTTCGTTTACTAAGAGATGAGAACTGCTTTTTAAACGCATGCAGTATTAAAGTGGTGCTGCGCCACACAAGTGCCCAAGCAGATAACTGGGGATACTCACTGTGATAAGGCATTTCGTCAATGATAAGTCATGTCGACGCTTTTGAAGGTGGTCGTTGCCTCGCCTTGGTTTTAAAGACGATAGTCTTTCTTGGGGACCTTCGATGCAAAAGTTTTGGTCTGCCTGTCTTTCTGTCTGTACATTTGTCTGTTTGTCCACTTCTAACGGTTCCGGTTACTCTAAAACAGCACCAGCGGATACCTCAAGCGTCCCACCTCATCCGCAGCGCCCACCAATGTTGCTCAAGGTTCAGCGTTCATACTTGTGCGATTGTCAATTAAAAAGCCACTATTGCACATATCTGAGGCACCATAACAACCCGTATATATTCTTTATGTGCGTCTTTTACTAGAAAAGGCATGTTTTTCTCAATGACTACCTGCAAAGGCGTTGCGAGGAAGTGTGAATAATTGATCGGCCAATCTCTTCACTTATAAAAATGACGGGAAACTGTTTACGGGTCATAGCGGCATTTTCAAGTTCAGCGGCAAAGTAAACTTTTGTGGTGCGAAATGTTATCGTGGCATGCACTTGATATGCACTAACTGGTAGGCATACAACAAACCACTTCAGCTAAGCGGTCCACAAATGCATTAGTCTCTGTGAAACTATGTTGGGGATTCATCGCAAATATGTCTTAACTGTTATTATGCTTAAAGCTGGTACGTAATAATGAAGTTTTACTGCAGTTTTAGCGGAAATTTTATTTGTCCTAATTTTACACCACCAGAAAATTATTTTCCAATTTTAGTTAGTAGTGGTAAACTTTTTTTAACCAATTTCAAAGCTGAATATACACCCCTGTCACATGACAAATGTTATGTCATTTACAGTGAATGTCATCGGTTTGTAATATCATTTGTTTGCTGTCACACGAGGAAACTAACGCCATTTGATAAAAATGACATTTTCGGTCGAATGAGTTCTCGAAACACATTCTCATTCAATTTCGGACTTAATGAGTTGTCGCGACGCCAGAGATTTTTAAGGCGATGACTGTAAACTTATGTATACGTAACTTTTATCATTTGTAAATATCTTGTTATTTACTAGATCAACTTATAACTGGTTTGATGACATAATAGCATGAGCGAAAGTTCCTGAAGAGAAAGCTACTCTCAACTACAGCGGCTGGATGTCGACTATGCTTGATTTTTGCTCTGTTGTCAACGTTGCCTTTATCGCGAATGTAGATCGTTTAATTGCACTACACGAAATCGCTGCCACCGTCTCATATCTGCAGTAGGGAAGTCGGTCGCGCATGTCGTCGGCCGTGTTGGTTTTTGAGTGTGTCGTGCTGCTGCGGCAAGTTGTGTAAAACGGCCGCGTTTATATTCTAGAGCATATTTTTACCCGTAAAGAATATATTTGTGGATACACGTATATTGGTATATCGCACGCAAGTTCTGTTAAATGTTCATTTCTTCCTACATCTACAGCTCAGGAGGGCTGTGGTCATGGTAATCATTTCAAAACGACATTTGTTTTCATTGTGTGACAGCATGCAGGTGAAATGAAATTAAGTTCCTTGTAAATGGCATTAGATTTGCCATGTGACAGGGGTATTAATTTGCATGAGACACTTCATATAAAAATTTCGTGCCATCCGCCATGCCGTGTCTTGCATCATCACTGTCAGTACTGTTCATTGAGCACTCGTTTTGGTCTCTTTCCTCGGCTGAACTACTTCTCACCATTGCAGGAGGAAGCAAATGGGTCGTCCGACCGTTCGTACCAGACTGCCGCAGACAGTGAGGAGGAGGAATGTGGCACGGACCTACAGGACAGCCCATCAGAACCCGTCCCGGTGTCATCGACAGCAAAACAACACCTCCCTGCTTCGGAATCTGTAGGCACGAGTCTGCAAGTGGATGTTGGCAGGGCAGAGGTGAGAATGTCACAAGCATTGTTCTCGGGAAGGCTGTTGCACCGTTAGAACCGTTACAGTTCCATGTTGGCAAGTTCTGGCCCGTCTGGGGAGAAACTGACATGAGAGTATTGGAGGAGAATAAATCATTGTAGAGCAACACATTGCATGGTTGATGTTCAGCGTCTTAGCGTAGGCTAAGAAGAAGGTGTGTGCACAGGAAAGACTAGCAATCCTCCATTGTCACAATGGAGCGAAGTCACTTCGAGACTCGACAATATTTGATGCGCAGCATTGGTGAGACTGCGGCTCTTGCCATACGCAATAAAAAATTTCGAGTGAACATGTGAACTTTGCCATTAGTCGCCACTACTGCTGTGCAGAAAACTAGCATCTGCAGCAGCTGCAGCTGCTTTGCTTGGAATAGTACCCAATTTCGAGCATGTGAAAAAAAAAAAAAAAAAAACCCTCGGTAGAACGTGTCAAAGGCTGGAAGGAGGCAGGGGACACTGCACAGAAGAGAGCTGGATGCACTTTATCGGCAAGGCGTTTCTACAGTAAGCTACAGGTAAAGGAGCAACACTCGCTTCTGTTTCTCTCGAACAGCTTCGTGAAAAAATCTCCATCGTTGTGACTTGTAATTATTCTGTTCATCGTCTGTTTCCCTTTTGCCCTTCATCATTTGGAGCTTGTGTGAAGCCCTCTCCGTATTACGGCCTTAAATTGGCCACTCAGGAAAATGGAGAAGTTGATCCTTGAAAAAAACGTTTTGTACAGTGTCACTTTTTATGAAAGGAACACGGGAGCGCGTGGCCTGCACGTTCTAGCGTCTGCTGGCGGCGCATTCAAGTAGGATTAGTACGCAAAAGGCCAGTTGTCGACTTGAAGCGGGAGAGAGTTGCAATCTTGCCGCTGGTTCCATATCGGCAATGATTGGTTGTATTCCTTTTCATCTTCGTGTTCGATAAACAGCGAAATTTTCAGAGTTGAGGCTCATGTTTCTAAATATTGATGCTTCATAAAACAGTGGTGCACTTGGGATGTTTTGAAGTGCGCGATAATTATAAAGGCTATGGTCCTTTCAAAAAGTGTGTGTTCGCAAATGGCTCGAGCTAGAAATATTCGTGCGTCTCATTTTTATGTCTTTGTTCTAGCCTCTTGTAAAAATTATCTCGCACTGTTGGAACTGCATGACAGTTCCTGCTTGACTGCGGGGATGTTGTTTTTGCCTTTGCCTATAAATTTGTGCCTTTTTTCTCCAGGTGTTGAAAGCAAGTCCACCTTCCCCTGGGCAAAAGGGACTGCTGCCGGCATTCCTGATCTGTGAGACTGCGAGGCGCTTGCAGGGGCCAGCTGTGCTTGACACCACATTTGCTGGTCTGTTCCCAATGTGGCAGCTTTCCTCCGGGCTAGCTTATCGCAGCTACGGTGTTTCACTGCTAACCACAAGTGCACGGGTTCAAGTCCACATTAGCGCAGCTGCATTTCGTTTAGTAGCAATGGTCAACTCTGATTTCAGGGCTCTCAAGGGGGCAGTTGCGATCACTGGCACGCGTGTTATCTCTGCAAGCATCCGACACCAGCATTTTGTAGGAGTTCTGCAATACCAGATCCAAAAGAGATGGCTGCTAGCCTTACTTTGTATAACATTATAATTTGTTGCAATTGCATTGATTAGTACATAGCATTCAACCTGCTGTCATGTTGTTGCTTGAGCTAATCGGCTAATTTTGAAGACTACGGTCTCGTGAACTCGCGGAGCAACACGGACGCGCGTGACGAGTCGACATCCAAAGATCCGTTGTTGTCACCGTGATCTCGGAGAGTGTCCATCAGCGCCTAGTCTGACATCCCCTTGGCGAAGACTCTCAGTGAAGACCCTGTTGTCTGCATTAAAAAAAAGTTTAAAAAGCTAGATGTTGCTGGAGGCCACTCCATGCGCGCGCAGTTAAACCATGCACACGTACACGTCATTAAAAACGAAGTGCGAATGACAGGATACCGTGGAATACGATTCGGTAAAGTGCCCTCTATATGCAGCGCAGCCCCACATACATGACGCCAACTTAATAGCGTGCCACTGCCAACGCAAGAGTAATTTTTTTTTTTCTTCTTGCTTTTTAGTTTGTGGGAGGGAGAGGCCCATCTGCTCCCTCACCGGCGTCGGCAAGAATGGCAATAATGCTGGCTCGTAAGGCGCAAGCCCGCCCGCCTACCTTGCCCACATCTGCACGCAATAATGGGGCTCTTCAATTTTCAGGCCTCTGGCAGCTCTCTGGCAGCAGGCTAGCCAGTGGTTAGTCAGCTAGTTTCGGTCTGAAAAGGAAATAACATCGTGGTCACGTGTGTGGGAAACCCGAGACAACCCGAAACTGGCCGAAGATCACAAAATCGAACGCTGGGACAGCCAGCGAAAACGTAAACAAACTCTATTGTCGTGGCAGCAAACGAAACAATGCGCCATGTGCACATTGTTTTTTTTCTGCATTGTCCGCTTGGAAATGCGTAGCTAAGCTCGCAAAAAGCTGATATAATATCCTCGAGCGTGCGCATTTGTGGTACGACTTTGTACGCTCGCACAATCGCTTGCTGCGTCCACGAACAAAACAGCCAGTCGGCGCACGCCTCCTCGAGAACGATGTAAGATGAGCTGCCGCGACGCTGACGGCTTGACAAGCTCACGTCTTTTTACTACATGTATCGGCCACTGCACAACACGACGCGAAATCACATGAAAGTGATTGTGTCCCCAAAAGAGCTCCAAGATATATACCTGCTCAGCTATTGCGTAGTATGCGTCGCAAATACGCGTTGATCAACTTACGTTTTTGTCTAAAGTTTAGACATGCGTAAGTATCAGTACCACGAGTGCGCATCGTATATCAAATAAACTGAAGCATGACACGTCTTCGACTGTTTTTGCAACTTACCTGGGCCCGTGTTTGAGTCCTAAGTGGTACTTAACAAATGTCATGTAGGTATATTAGCTTTGATTTGACCTACGAGGTCATAGTACATACTGCACTGCATTATTACGAAGAGGTGAAACAAAACAAATGGCATCTTCGGCTGAGGTGCACTGGCACCGTGACCGTGGAAAGGAAGTTACGTCAAACACTGCCAAAGTTTACGTCAAACACTGCCTCACTACGGGCCAGCCAAATGTGTGAATCACAATACTTTAATCGGCTACAGCAGCGCTGTATGCGAGAGACATCATTTAGCAGTCGACCATTTCCAGCGTCCTGTTTGTACTGGTAATAAAAGAGCAAACAACAGAAAATCAAACAATGAGAGACACTTGTGAGACGCTACGTGTCGAGTGGGTGTGTTCTCTGTTCTCCAGGTGATTGTGCTGCATCGATTCTGTACCAATTCGATGGGGGTTATGGTAATTTTCGCATCGCCTTCGGTGTCCAGTGGAATCCTTGCAGCAAAAGTAACTTTGTGCGAGTACGGTTGGACAGTGTAAGCGTACGCATGCTTTTTCCGTCCCGTCCAACCGTGTTATGCGGCAGCGCCAACTGTAAATTACGCCTGAAATGATGGAACGCCACCGCGTCGTCTGCCAGCGCGCATGGGCTCATGGGATTCCACCACGCTCCACCGTCGATCTCTGCGGTGCCGCCGTAGCGTGCGCTCATGTCGTGGCCGGCCCTGCCATACGGCACCGCGCGCGTGGTGCCCAGTCAATCGTACGGCACAGAAAGCGCCACCTGTGCCGCCAGCCCAAAATACCAAAAGCCAAGGATGAAATAGTAACGAAAGGATGAGTACATTTCTGAATTCATTCTCCTTTCGCGTCGTATCGTATAATATCATACCACATATGCTGGCCCATAGATCTAAGTGGTTTCGCATGCCACTCGCGCACAGCGAGCATCACTAACAGTCGGGATCTAGGGCCTTCTATCACCATCGAAGATCAATCGAGTAGTCAGGACAGAGGTTCTAAGAGGTTCATGCACGCAAACATACGACGGAGCAGGCTAGTTCGACCACAGTCGTCTTTGCCAAGTGCACAGACAGTAGGCACGGCTCCACAAGCAACTACCAAGGTCTCGACTACTACGAAAAAAAATAACTACAAAGTTGTCTCTATGCGTGCGTATGAACGTGTAGTACATAACTTTTGAGGCTTGTGCATGACGCAGTCAATAGGCAACAGTTCGTTCACAGGAGGAAGCTTCATGGGAAACATATCAAAAGCGATGAACAGTAGCTTTAAACACTCGCCGCCTCTCGTAATCACCTCATCTTGCAAGTGGAGTAGGCTTTAGAAGATAACGCCATGCGTAATGACAAGCAAAGGCACAGTCCTCAAGCGCCCACATTGCAATCCGTCGAGCACTCACAAATATGGTGCCAAGCGCGTATCGTACCTTTTCAGCGTCTACTAGTCCGAAATTTTCCAGAGAGCTTCCACGAGTAAATTGTCCTGAAAGTGTCTGATGACATTGGGGCTCCCCGCGGGTCGCCAAAACTGTCAGACCGGAGAAAAACGAGCGCGCTCTGGCTGGCTCTGGCAGCCCGCGGGTAGCCAGAAGGGGAAAATCGAGAAGCCCCACTAAACACTTCCTATCTCCTGGGAGTCGCCTTGGCCACGAGTGCACCGTACGCGCCAACGTCGAAGCGCGAAGCAGCAACGGGGCAACTGCAGAAGATGCACGTTTGTGCCAAAATGACAAAATCCGGGGCAAAATTCCTAGATTACCTGTAGGGAAAATTCCTTATATCAAGGATGTCTGCCGCTGTTACTTTGTAACATAGAGGTTGCAAATACATGTGCTTCTATGGAGTAACGGCGGAATATAGAGAAACTTTGTTATCTGGAGGTTCGTTGTAAGCAGGTTCAACTGTAGATATAGTTATAAGAATGCACCATCTTAGTGAATTTTGGGTTATAACAAAGTTACTTTCGTGTAAGATGTAACTTTGTTATAATGAGGTATGAGTGTACACAAAACCCGTACGCTCAAATGTAGGTAGAGGTTAAGGAGCGCCACGTATATCTACCTATTTATTTAGTAGGAATGTTATCTCTTGAGTTTCATTTCAGAAAGGTGCAACAGTGAGTATCAATTAGGTGGATATTAGTAGATCTTCCATTCTTAATTGAAACACACACCAGACAAAATATGTTAGTTCAGTCTTTATAGTAATGACTAAAGCAAGGTATAAGCGTTATGGTAAATTACACAAATGTACAGCCGTCAGCGCCTTTAACACGAACGCTCCGCTGCGTGTTTTGCAGCAGTTTGATTGACGCTGACACCACGTACGTTCGGGTTCTGTTGCCAAGATGCTAACCGTACATGTTGACATACTATCCAAGCCTACCGAGGTATTATCTCGGCAAAAGTGCCCAGCACTTAGCGGCTGGCATCAATCAAACTAGCCCTGGCCACGCATCGGAGTGTTTGTGTTAAGCTTGCTGACGACTGTACATCAACTAGCTGTACAAACTTATTAAGATTACTTTTATTTACTATATCATTCCATGCATCAGTAACGTCGGGAATATCGAATACTGGTTCAAGCAAGGATTGGAGCATTTGTGTTTTTTCTCCCCCTTCTTTGTTTACCAGGCAGATGTAACTAGTCATTGCAACAACCTGGAAAAAGGAACGTTGATCTACTTTCAAGTCTGCGTTTGTTCAGCCTCTCCAAATCACAAAATCGTAACATCCCCATAACTGAGTAATCCTTAGTGTGCACCGGGCAGCTATTCTCATCTTTTATACGAGGTGTCTTTTATATGTAGGGTACCACATATGTGTTTTCTTAGGAACCCAGATTTTAATGTTGGCACCCTGGTGTCTCTTATACCCATTTGTCTCTTATATCAGTGCCTCTTACAAAGGCATTTAACTGTAGTTTGAGCAAATGAAGCCAGCCACAAGCTATTACATTCTTTCTTCTTCGCTTACTAATACTTTTCGAAGGTCGTCCGAAATTTTCTGGAGCACTCATTTCCGTGATTGTATTGTGGGTTTAACATGTAAATGCTTTATTTTTTTTGTTGATAATACGTTCATAATTGTGTGCGCATTGGGAATGTTGGACACAAGGAATAAGTATTAAGTTACATACGGCTTTGCTATATGTAATGATACTTTCAATGTATTGACACTATAAGAAAGCGCAGCACCAGAGTGAGCACAAAGTTGGACACAAAGCAAGCTGTCAAATTTATTGGTTTCTGTGTTTGCGTGGCATTCACTGCATGCTGTATCAGAGATGAGAAAGTATGTGAGTGGTTTCAACATTACTCAAAATCTTGCAGAATCACCAGGGCCTGGTGATCAAGCAGCAGCACATCGGCCTAGTGACAGCAGCCTGGCAGCCACTGCTGTGCCATCGAGTCCTGCAAAGAGTGTAAGCCGGCCAACTTGTTCATAATTCTACCCATTTCTTCATCCCATTGTTGAAGATATTTTTATTTATTTCTAAGTTTGACTTTTTTATTTATATTTCTTTTCTTTTTTGGTGAGAGCTATTCTTGTAATATTGCTATATAAGTAAACGCAGGTGGCAAGTTTGGTTTTTGGCCTATAGGATATTCGATGTGGCTTGAGTGTGTCGAGGCGAATACCATATTTGTTCACGCAATGAACGCACTCGCATAACAAACTTCAGTCATCGAAATTAGAATTTTTTTTCCTTCGCGTAATGAACGCACCCCTTGCATTCATCCGCTGCAGTCACGCTAACCAACACATAGCGCCTCTTTGCACGTTGGATCTCTTCCGCTTTTTTATTATGCCGACCCCCCTCAGAGACCTTGGCTCGCTCCTTTCCCCTTTCGCCCGCTGCCGCGCGCCGTATTGTTTTTCTTTCAATCTGTGCGCGGTACTTCCCCAGTCTTTTTTACTTATCTATGCACCACTGCGGGCTTCATAAACGGTGCGAGTGTAGAGGAATCGCAGCTGGTAAGCACACAGTGAGCAAAGGTCACGAAATTGCTCACACCAAGCAATGGTCGCTTTCTGCAAATACCAAACTTTAACGCCCAATCACACGCACGAAATTTTCAAATGACAATTTGCTGTCACCATGCATGGCGGTCGTGAAGGGGCCATTCGTCGCTATCGCGTCGCTTATTTCTGAAAAACCAGAAATAAATTGCTTCTTGTCCAGAAAAGATTGTGACTGTTTCCACAACATTGTACGTAGCACCTGCGATTCTCGCTTTGGTTGCAATTTGCTCTTTATGCTTGTTATACACGCATATTTCAAGGAACACAAGATATAGGCTACTATTTCTAACTTCTCATGTGCACAGCGAGGTGGCGTCAGTATTTTGTCGTTAATCTTGTGATCGACGATTTGTTTTGATGCTTTGGGGGTCGCTTGCTGCAATGTCAGTTACTTGCTACAATATGTACAGCGACGGGGTGGTCGTCGTGCGAGGTTGAGGTGAAGTTGACAACGTGTGTAGTAGCGCATGCTTCTGGATGCCCCTCGAGATCTCAGCAGATACCACTGTTGCGGTTAAACGATTGCGAGATAAGATAGCCGCGAAACGCCTTTATGGCGTGTGCGAGCAGTGCCCGGACAGCTAGCAGAAGATAACGCCATCAACGATCGAAGGGGAGTATAGTGTAACAAAGGTGTTTCCAAACAGTGTATGCGTATGCCGATTGTGAAAGGCTGAGCGACCTAACATTTTTTTGCATTACCGCATTTTTTGCTCATCCCGAAAAAGTTTTTATAAAATTTGCCCTGCATAATAAACGCATCCCGAACTTTGCTCCGATTGTTCAAGAAAAAAACTGCGTTCATTATGCAAGTAAATACGGTACGTGCTTTCAGCCGGTATCACCATGGCCTTTGAATCTTTCTCCAACTGATGCTATCACACCACAAGTGCTTATCTGCCAATCATGTCTTGCACTCGGAAAACAAACCCAGTGTGATAGCGACAGCCAAGCAGGATTATAGCACTAATTTGACACCAGCTGAAAGCTTGTTATTTTCTAGTGATAAATAGTCAAGGTGTGCAAGAGTTCGACCGGGGGGGGGGGGGGGGGGGGGGAGCCACACTTTCCACTGTTTACGCTTTTTTCTGTTGCAGTAGTACATCAGTTCAGTGAGGCTCCTTTTGAGGCATGTTATCGAGATGAGCTCTCTCTGACAAGCTCAACCTTTCACTTGGCTCACATGGCTTCGGGAGACTACTGTTGTAAAGAACAGGCTTCATAGGCTTGTGGCCAATCTTTTATTTAGCGAGCTAAGGATAGCTATTTTTGTTATTTATGGAGATAAATTGATGGGATGTGGCATGCAGATGTAATATGTTATGCTGATATCATAACTTAAATCAGTTTTCAGCTGTCCCTTGTAGTTTCAACAGTCGAGGAACTATCTTTGTGATCTCCGATTTAATCAATTAAATGCTTAGACATACACTTGGCTACATTTTTGTATAAGCGTGATTGCAGGGACCCAGTTTCTACTATAAAGCTATTGGTTTATTGTTTAATATTCATGCAAGCCAAAAAAATTTCTTTGAAACATTTTGTACGTATTTTCAAGCTCAGACCTCTCCTCTTTACTGTAATGCCAAGGTGCGGGCCCTGTGCTCGAAAAAGCTGCAAAATTTGCACCTTCGAGAGCCCGGTTTTCTAAACTTTTTATGACAGTGCTCTTGTGAAAAGCTTATTTCTTACTTTATACTGCATATTTTGTTATAATACCTCACTACAACATACAAGATTCCAAGATTTGGCATAAAAAACAAACAATTGTTTAGCAAGGACACGGGAGATTGGACGCGTTCTAGACGCTTGCGCTCGGCTTCTTTGGCTCGCATCTTGTCGGTGTTACCCGCGCGTCCTCTGTATTCTCTAACGCGATCGGTGTTCTTGACTCGCACCTAATTGGTGTCTCTGGTCTCTGAACCTTCATGAGTAAAAGGTGAAGTACAATAGTCTCTCAGTAAACAAAACTCTCTGAAATGAAATTACTGCTTAAATGGAACTGCCTCTAATATGATTGGTTTTGGACTTGGATTCTGCGCCCTTGTTTATCCCTCAGTAAATGACACACATTTTCCTGGTTTTAAACAGTAGTCTGCTGTAATTGGCAGGGTTTCAGTCCACTCTGCCAATTTTCGAAGAGCAACTTATTCTGCTTGCTTCATGGAGTGCCTACTGCTCTGAATCCACTCTGACTCTTGATTGGATTAGTATACATGAATGGCGCCCTCACTGTGCCATTGAAGGCCCCAGGAACTACTTTGCGATCCAGAATTTGTGAGGGAGAAGTGACTGCTCTCTTGTACAATGTGAACCTGCTCCCATAAGAATTTCGAAAATGAGTGTTGTAATGGGAAAGTTAAAGGGTGTAGAACAAACTTGCTTTGGCTGCTTTCCATTTCTTGCTCGGCATTCCTGCCTTTCTCGGCAGTGAGGGGTAGGCATAGCCCTTTAGCACGACGACATTATCTTCAGCAACCATATCAGCTACAGTGCAGTCCACTTATAACGATACCACATATAACGATATATCGGTTATAACGATAGGTCGACTTAACAGTCTCATTTTATGCATTGGGGCTATGGGGAAAAAAACCATATATAACGATATGTTATCCACCGCATATCGGATACAATGATGAAAAGTTTGCCGTGGACGGCATGTTTCATTCAGAATAATCGTAACATTTAGATTGATAAGTTCCTCTGAAACGAACTATGCCGAGACAAGACGAAAAGTTAGCGTAGGCGAGTACCTGCGGCCACTGCAGCACAGCACCGGCAGCGCGTCCCGGCCGTTCAAAAAGCCGAGGAGAGCATCGCGAGTTGGCGCGACGCGCTACAGATGGCGCCAGCTGTGTCAAGTTTTGCGCCTCGCCGCGCGTCGACCGCGGAGAGGCTGAGAGAATTAAAAAAAAAAGCGAAAAGCAAAGCGCCGCGCTCCGCGGCTCCCCGCCTTCTACAACGGTAAGCCGGCAAGCTACTCGTAGCTTGCCGAACGAAAGCGGGAAAGAGAGAGAAAATAAAAAAAGCGAAAAGCAAAGCGGCGCGGCGGCATCGGGGCGGGGCCTCGTTGGCATTCCGGCTGTGTACCTCTGGCTGTGCTTTCTTCCTCCCACTGCTCCCACCCCGCCGTCGGTCAGTCTCTCTTCCTCAGCGAACCCGTGATGCGTTCTTCGGAGTAAGAAATAAAGTCTTGTTTTTGACATCCTACTATCTACAATATTTATTAATTGGTGAAAATAGCGAAATGAAGCCTGGAGCTACAAAAGGTACGTCCGGCGACGATTTTTTGGCGGCAGTCCAGATATAACGATCACCGGTTATAACGATCATATTTTTAGGTTTTCTCGATATCGTTATAAGTGGACTGCACTGTATAATGTCATTGTCACGCAGACAACACCCATGGGCAAGGTTATGTCACTGCGTGGGTGAAAAGCACTGGTCTGACACAGGAGAGGGGCACAGGAATATTTTTTTTACAATTGAGTCACCTGTGCTATGCGCTCAGCTGTAAGATTCACAAGATATGATCTTCACAGCTTTTTACCAGAATTAGCGAGCTTGTTTGGAAGGTGTGAGAAAAGTGGGAGTTTGTTTACTGGCCCTTCTAAGACGAACTTGCTCCGATGAAGGTAGCAAAATTTGCTCAGACTTTTTCATCGCAATGAAGCACTAGTAACTACAGTAATTCAAGCTGCTTTAGTATTTCTGTACACTTTGTGTGGCTTCCCACTTCTCCTTTCTTTTTGTGTTAATCCTTATCTACATACAGTTCACACTTAGCATGGTGTTTTTAGTTTCTTTGGGGATCAGTCATGGTGTTTATACTAACATCAATGCTACTCTCGCTGCACATTACAGGACAAAACGGCTGACAAGGACGATCTGGACGGGACTCCGTTGGCAGACGAAGATGAGGGCACGGGATTGGAAGGTGAAGATGTGCCGCGGCTTTCACCAATAATCATAGAGCCAAATGAAAAGCCAGCCGCTTCGCCCGAAGAAAGTGCTGCGTCTCAGATGTTCAAGGGCTTCTCAAACGAGCGCGCGATGTTGGCTGAGCCAGTGGGAGGCACTCTCCTGCAAGCCGATGAAGGAACTGAGCTAGCCGACGATGTGTCACATCCGTGCTCTGAGGAATCTTCAATGACCTTGCCTCCTATGCCACCATCCTCGGTCACCGAAACCCATGCTACCAGCACCAAGTTCACGGTGGTGGAAGAAGATTCCTCCGAAAGTCATGTGTCTCAGCCCTACTCTGAGGAGTCCACAATGTCCCTTCGCTTACCAGCGTTTGCAACCTCCAAGGGGCACACTGTCGCAGGGGAAGCCAAAGCTGCCGAAGAAGTGATTGTTATCAGCGCCTCTGAAGGTGAATTAGTCCGGCGTTATGTGCTTTTGGTTCTGAAATTAATTGATCTTTGTTTTTCACGGCTTTCCTGAAAAGCAGGAAAGCATACTTCGCTGTGTTCTTGCGTAAATGGCTTCTACAACGATGAGGTCCGTTTCCTTAGTCTCCAAGTTTCTTCACCAGGGCAGTGTGTTTCATTTTTCAGTGGCTATGGCATTGTGATGCTTAACATTAGGGAGAGGGTTCAACTCCCAACCAGCATGGCTGTATTATAATAGGTACAGAATGTGAGTGTAGTACTATGCTTTGGAGAGGCAGTGAAAAGTGCCAAGTAGTAAAAAGTAATCCATAAACCACCATAACAGCATTTTTCGAAGCCCATGTGCTCCTTGTGAAATAGAGTCCCATCAAGAACTCAAGGTGATGCTTTAGTTCGAGTACCTTTGCACATGGAAGGAGATCGTACAGGCATTGCCAAGTCTGAAGCACTCTCCTCCCAATATAGTGTTCCTTGCAAATCTCTTAATGCACTGTCAATTCACTGCATGGAAAGTGCATGCCAGTGCCTCCCAATCACATGCCTTGCAGCTAAAGGGGTCAGCGTTGCATGTAACATTTGTTCTCGTATAATGGTGCGTTGTGCACGGAAGCCGACTGTATGGTTTCTCAGAGAGTCACCTGCTGCCACGGAGGGTTAGCTGTTTAGTATACTACAGTCGAACACGTTTATAACGAACTCGAAAGTGCCACGATGAATAGTCGTTTGTTCTACATGAACCCAAGCATAAAAGCGTCCACTTAGTGGCCAAAAAATTTTTTTCTTTGTATTTTTACAAAAAGTGAACTGCCAAAATGACACTTCGTGAGCGTTGGTACACTTGCTCACCACGTGTGACGGGGGTATTATAGGCCTTTTCGCGTGTTAAAGAACGCCCGTTTGCTACCGAGTGAATCCAGCCCGTGCGCAATGAACTCGCGCCGTTCAACTGAAGCGCAGTACCGCCACGTCGAACCAATCATCCTTGGCTAATGGTATGCAGCACGTCACTTACTCCGCCTTCTCTGTCGCATGCCAGTTTGCTTGCAGTCCAATGTATGCGGCCTTTGTGCTTTTTTCACGCATGCTTCACTCTTCGTAGTGTTCGGGTGTGGCCAGCAATGTGCACAAGTGACCTCGCACGGCGCAGCGCCGGCGAACTTGCGAACGGCAGCATGACGCACTTGTACTGCCATCACTCCGTTGAGCAGCTATCTTCAGATGGCTGTGATAAGGTAGCCAGCGATGAGTCAAAATGGCCCACTCATTGCCACCGGCCACAGGGGCGTCACTCTTTTCTGGTGCTCATCTGTTAAGGCACCACCGCAACTGCGCGCACTAATTGACCGATCTCTGCCGCTACGAAAACTGGAAAACTGTGCGCGGCGCATTGTGGTGTCGGAGAGTTTAGTGTTGCAGTAAAAGTTATCGCTTCTGTTTTGACTTCTTGCGTTCGAAGGCATTGTTGGTTGATCATCGGCGGTCGTAGATGCCGAGAACATTGTCAGAAAACTTTACCGCGCGAAAGCTGATCGCAACTCTTCATGCTGCCTCCTATTTTTTTCTTTTCGTTTTTATTGCGATAGCAATTATATGGACAGTCTTGGTTGGTTTTTTTCCGCCACCTTCATTCGCTATATATGTATACATATATATTATATGAACACTCATAGAAAAAAAAACAAAAAAAGAAAGCTGCCCGCGCTCGCCATCTAGCTCGTTGTAATGCGCCGACGAGCGCTTATTTCTCACACGTACTTTGCCCCGCGGATGATCGAGAAAAGGGGTTCGATGCTTTTGCGCGCGCTTATCTTTTGGTTGGGAGAATCGTGTGCCTTTAGCTTTCATTGAAACAATTGTGTTAGTTGCCTGGCCTAAATATGTCACTTCGGTCTCTGCATAAGTCCCATTTGCGAAAAGAGCGCACTTTTCAAACACAGCGAAGTAACAACTGGGACCCTCGTTAGTTCACATTTATATCTGTAACTGTGATTACGTTTTGTGTATCGTTTTTATTTAAACAGCTAGCGCGTTACATGTCGAGCGGTGTTAGTTCGCTCTTGTCCTGCGTGTGTTGTTTTCGTGCGTCATTTGTGCGTGAGCAGTGTGCTGCACGTTTTGATCTACTTGCCGCTCTCAGCATGACATTCCAAGTTGTTGCTGTTGCATCTATTGCTTTGCACTTGTGGCGAAACTGACTTTTTTTTTCTTTTCCTCACTTTGGTTCTGCCAGTGAAGAAACATCTGGAAAGTGAGAGATGGCTCGCTACGTTCGAAGTCTGTGTGCGGTGCTCGCCATGGTCTCTTTGTCTTTGTCGCAAGTAAACAGCAGCTGGGCACACACGAGGGAGCGCCTATCTCATGCTTCAGAATGCCTGTTCTAACACTTTTTTTTTTTCGCTTCATATGCTCCATATTTTTACCGCGACTGTGTCGGAAGTGTTCGTTGTAGAAGTATGTGACATTGAAAAATGTTCGCTGTACATGGACTCAGTTCCAAAGGTAGCATAGAAAAATCGTAAGTGCTCGGAAATAGGGCTGTTATAACCGATAGATTGTTATATCCAGAATTTTTATAAGTACGTTGGACTGTATTGCAGACAGCGGAGTCTCTTCGCTGGGAACCTAGCGCTGTCTGGTGCAAAAAGCAAAAGCACTTGTGAACTGGTGCACTTCAATCTGAGATTGTCTCAAGTAGTCCATACACTGCAGTGTATCTTGTAGACTCAATAGCTGCAAATTCCCAAGGCTGTGTGTGGGCACCTGGATTTCACGCTTATAGGATTACACAGGATGTTTTATACACCAGCAGCACTTAACTGCCCATGCCTCAGTGGATGCATCCATTTGTAATACGGCTTTGTTAGAATGCCTTAATTTGGAAGGCTTGTTATAACAAGGATACCCATCAGTGCACTCTTTCATTTGTCGTGCTGTCAAGTTGTAGATGCTTTTAGTGTTACATGCTTGGGAATTCGGTCACAACTGCATCACGCAGTGCCCTCTGTAGTTAATTGTCATGTATGAAGTGGAAGGATGTAGATGTGCATATCCTATGGCATTAAGCGGAAGCGAGGCTGTGTGTGTTCGATATTGGGTGTAGGGAACACTTTATATGCTCAGGAAACTTCAAAATTGATCATTAGGAGATGGCATCCACTTCTCAAAGTATAAAAGTGGCTCTGAGCACTACAAGGGCTGCTGCCAGGCTGGGGCATTGCACGAAGCACATTAGAGCCTGTCGATTTTTTATTTTTCTTCTAGTTTTTACTGAATAGCTCATTATGTTTTTCCGTCTGTGTGTTTTTAAGGTTCTGAAGTCTCTGAAGTTGAGCAAAAGGACAACGACGAGGTTTACATCGTATCGGAAGCCTCTTCAGATGCACTTACAGAAGTGCTTCCCACTCGTGTAGATAGTCCGGAGGACAGCTGGTCACGGAGCTGCAGCGAAACCGCGTTGCAGGAGGGTGACGTAGTGCTGACAGAGCTGACCAGCATGCCCTCTGCGCAGCTCGCCGAACCACTCGAAATGCCGCGGGAATCATCAGTGGGGCTGGTGACGGCAGCGCTCGATGTGGAGGATGTGCACGTCGAGCGGTCACTTCCAGGCTATGCTGTCTGCCCTTCGGAAGAGGAGGGGTCATTGCCAAAGCCTGAAGACCATTTCCAGGCAACGGACCTGCCAGTAACTCCAGCGCAGCCTGAAAATAGGGCTGTTCAAGAATCTTATGGATTTGTCCCTGCAGTAGACAGCCCACTTGTTGTAAGACCCGAGTGTGGCGGTGGAGCTACTTTGCCAGAGGAGAGGGCATTATCGCCCAGCTCATCTACGTCCTCTTTTTCTGTTGTCACCACCTCGAAGCAGCCACCAGCACCCACTAGCGTTGTAGCTAGTGATGCAGAGAGTGATGAAGAGAGTGATGAAGAGAGTGATGCAGAGCTCTCTGAAGAGCCACTTTCACCTGTGGCATCATCAGAGCACTCTTCTTCTAGAGGTGGCCAACACGAGACTGCACATGACAGCTCTGCAGAAAAGACCCCAAAAACACCCAAGCATAAGGCTGATTTTAACAAGAGCACCGAAAAAGTGGTTGTGACTTCCTCCTACAACTTGAGGGAGACACGAAAGTCCACTTGGAAGGAAGAGGAGAACATGGCAAATCAGTTTAGGTCACAACGAAAGAGTGGGCCTGCGTCACCATTTAAACCGCCACCTGCGGCCATTGCCACCAGGTCAGGACCTAGCCGTGACTCGGACACGAGCCCTGAAATTTCAGTCGCATCCAAGCGGAGAACCCGGGCAGCGAGTGAGGAACCGTCAACACCACACAGCCGTTTAAAATCCAAAGCAGTGGCTGACTCGCCTAGTAGGAAGCGGGAAAAAGCAAGCTCGGTGAGCCCAAAGAGCATAATGCAAAGTTCCAGAGCAAAGGCACAAACTCCGAGTGCTAAAGGGAAAACCACGAAAAAGGTTGCCACTCCGGCTGCTGCTGGCAAACCGTCGAAGAGACTAGCGACGCCCAGACCAAGGAGAACATCTGCAGCACCTAGCTCGAGAACGAAAGCAGGACCATCACCCGATCTTGAAAAAGGCAAGTCACCCAGTCCCACTAGGGCGTCATCCACTAGTCCTGCAAGAACACCTACGCGCCGCTCAAGAAGAAAATCTGCCACTCCAAGCCCCACGAAACAAAAGGCAGCGCAGCGTGCGACGCAGCAGTCTGTAGAAGGTAGCCCCAAATCAAATAAATCTGCTGCTCCTAGGTTGCAAGAGAAGACATTTGAGACGTCAGCTCCATTGAAGATTTCCTTGCGTATGCGCAGTCATGCTGAGGCAAGCATGCCTGGCCGTACGGAAAAGACACCCGAAAAGGTAGTGCCCAGCACTAGAGCTATTGGCACGAGGCAGAAAAGATCGGCAACGCTTAGTCCACCGGGGCGAACTGCCCGTACACTAAGCCCTGCACAGGGATCACCCGTACACAGTGCTGAAAAGACAAGCCCGGAGAAGGCAGGGGCCCCGAAGAAGAGGATGCGCCACCATTCTTCACCTTCTGCAGTTGCTGAGCGGGAGTCGCCACCAGTGCCTGGGCCCACTAAGGGCGAGACGCCCTCCAAGCGAGCAAGTAGCAGGGTGTCGAGAACACCAAAGCATTCTTCATCATCAGACGTTGCAAATGAGCCACTACCAGTGTCAACACGGCGTAGCTTACGCCTGACGCCAAACAAGCAGCCAGAAGCTAAAGAACATGAGGCCGACAAGGTCAAGCTACGTGGTACTCAACGCCGAGTCCTTGAGACCATTGTTGAAGTCGACGCCTCGCCGACCAAAAGCGACACGGAAACAAGTCCGACAGGGCCCTCTACGCGGAAGGGTCGCCGGAGTCTGTCAGCCGAGCCCAACCATAGAGCACCACCAAAGCGATTGCTTCTGGCTACACGGCGCACCCGCCGGGTCTCTGGTAATGTGGCATTGGCCACGATTGCTGAAGCCCCCGAGGTAGAAAAGGAACGGGAGCCACAGCCAGCCACCTCAAGGCAGCAGGGAAGTCGTCCCAAACGCAAGGCCGACACAGAGCTTGGTGAGCACCACCCATCGTTGGTCTTTTGTCATCCTTGTCATTCAATGCACTTTTAAATTTAAGTGCAAAGACAACCTTGAGGCAAGCTGAATAGACTATCCCTTAAAAAGAATGCTTTGGTGCAGGCTACCCACAGGTTGTTGCAAGTTTTTGAGAAAACTCCAAAAACAGAGAACAGTGCTATCCTTTAATCTTGTGCAATCATCACCTTCAAGTTGGACCTCAAGGTTGATGGCATGGCTTTAATGATTAACGTACTAAAAATTGTGTTAAGTAAGACAAGAAAAGCCAGATGGTTCTAGCCCAACTACATTTTTGGTATTTATGAATACGTATGAAATTGAGCAATGCTCTCATTTGATCAGAACTGTGCCAATGTGAGTGATGCATGGTGCACCTGATAAATTTTTGTCGGAGCAATTATGAAAGTAGAGCAACTATCATGATCCTCATTTTTTTTTTTTGTTAGAAGAAATTGCCTAAAGTGACAAAACAGAAAGATCAATAAGGTTGATAACTGGGCTAGTTGGTAATTGATCACTTTCTATAAGGTTGATTAGCGCAGTTTTTAACATGGACAAGAGGGATAAGAAGGACCCAACACTCGCTACACTCGCAACTAAATTTATTTTTAAAAAAAGCTTCATATATATGCACCCAGGCTGACGCCCAGCGACACAGATGAGAAATAACAGGCACTGAAAACTTATCTAATATTAACTTATTAAGCACTTAATGATAAAACAATCACAGCATGTGTAGAAATGAGATTAACAATACATGTTTTTTACCCACAAGACACACTTCGCGCAAGCTCAAGCATTAAATTGAAGCATGTGTGGCCCATACACTTCAAAGAAATAAAAACAAAAAAATATGGTTCAGGGTAAGGTGGAAGACTAAGAAAGGAAAAGAAGACGACCACCCGAATGTAGCATGAAGCCATAAAGAAAATCCGTACGGATTTCTCGGAAAGAAAAACCTCTTAGTTGCCGAAAAATTCGTCCTGGTCCAGGGTTTAAACTATGACAGAGAGAGAAGAAATGAGAGAGAAAAAACTGTAAGCCACTGTTAAGGAATTAACAGCTGCAGCAGACTCATATGCAGAAAAGGCAGAGACAGTTAGCGACTTGACGTGCATCAAGTTAAACAGCCGCAGGAATACTGCCAAGACAGAGATAGTGGTATTAATAATAAAAATCTGGAAGATGTATTGCTGTTTCTCTATGAATAAAGGTTTGTAGCTTTGTCATGGTGAAAGTGATTACATCTGCAACTTTAAGAAACTATGGTTGAAAGTTGTCTAAGGAAATGTAAAAAATGTAATTGGAGCCATGTTTTTGACGTCTTCTTCAGTGATGTTGCCTTTTTTTCAATGAATTCTCGTTATTTTAAACCTTTATTCTCCCCTGAACACGTGTATCTGACAGACAATGTGGTCCTTGAAAAGTCGCACACATAGCCTTGAAAGTCCTTGAGAATCCTTCAATTTTTGTGATGTAAACGAGCATGAACCCTGTCATTATAACACTTGCATCTTACACGAAAATAAGTTTGTTATATCTGAAAATTGGTTATAAAGGTTTATTTATTTCAAATACTATATATATTGCATGACTATTTTTCATTCACTTCGCTATAAGCTATGTATCGTTGTATCTGGGTTCGTTATATTAAGGTTTAAATGTACCAGGTTATTGCAGGTTCCTAGCAGGTTAAGCAGTTGGCAGCAGCATCGCCAGCACCGCAGAAACACACTACTTCAGCTTAATTGAAGCCCTTAAGGCCAACTACTCAACTGCTATTATAAAGGCATGCACGTACATAATTTGATCAGCTTATTTTTTTTTTTCATTCTAATGCTTTATCTTGGGGCCTTTTGATACTAAAATGATGCAATGCTTTGCAAGAGAACTCCAAGGACTCAATAAAGAGTATAATAGCTAAGCATTGGCTCTTATAATGCTTTTGCTGTGAACATTCACAGTTTGTATAGAAACTTTCTGAATATTCTTTTCAGATGCTGAGGGGTTCAAACTTTCCAGACCAAAAGAGCTTGCTCACAAGGGTGAGTGGAAGGCACCATAATTTGTTGGCTTTATAGCAACGTTATATCAATCCCACTCTTGGCTATATTGCTAAGATATATATATATATATATATATATATATATATATATATATATATATATATATATATATATTGCTGATGAGATTCTGAAATGATCAGGCATACTTTTCTCATTCCAAACAAGGCAAAATGAATACTTCAAGCCTAGGCTTGTGCGAACAGTGAATTTTAAGTTCGAAGCAAATTCGAAGCCAATAGTGATTAATAATCGAATTTGAATGGTATGTATGACATATAAAAAAAAGGAATATTTATCATGACCTAACTAACCTGCAAAATATTTCTTTTGAATCGAAGTAGGGGCTCTATGCAAATGCAGTTTTTTTTTTTTTCGTTCAAAGTAAGTCGAAACAACCTTGGGTAGTAGTTTCAGTAGGATGTGAGTGATAACCTGTAAGATACTTAATACTTAACATTTTGAAGTTTATTATACTTGGAGCACGTACACCGTCATAACAAGCTTAATAAAATGAGAATTGATTTGAGGGTAACATGTTCCTTTAAAGGGGCCATGCAACACTTTTTCATGTAGCCATGGAGCCAGTAAACATGCTTGTTGCCTCACAAATTTACCGCCGCAAAGTTTCTAGAATCAGTCCAGTATGAGCGGAGTTCCAAAAATTTGTCGCACACTGCAATTGCATTCTCTCTTCTCGTACCGACAAAATAGCTGGAATTTAAGCAGGGAGGAATGGCATGGCGAAAGGAAATACGTCAGGCACACCTCGTGACCTTGAGCAACTCTTTTCTTTTTCTTAAAAAAAAGCAGCTTTTCAGTGCAATCACGCGCATACTCGTGGACAAGCGGCGGCCTCCCGCGGTGGTCCCGGTGACCATGAGCGCGTCATGCTCAAATCAGCCAATGGCTGTGATCAGAGCCGTATATTCCTTAGTTGTGACAAGTGATTTTTTAGCTTGTAGTGTCATTTGCCAAGGGAAGAAAGCAATTCTTAGCTTTGAAAAATTTATTGTGAATTACAGGTCGCGTGCTGTGCTATAATATTCGCCTCGTGTGTTCTCGGTAGCCTCGACTACCAATCGACAGTGTTTTCTGACCATGTTCAGCTATTGTTGCAAGGCCCCTTTAAATTTGAAGGGCGGCTTCGCAGCAAAGCGAATTTCCTCGGGGATAAGTGTTTTCACGGTTCAGCATTCCCACATTGCAGTGAAACCACCTTTGCAAGCGGTGACATGCGGACTAATATACACCTATTCGTTCATTGCGAATACTTCGAAAATATTCGATAATTTAAATTCGAGTCGAAGTGAATTCGAATACTCATATATTCATTTGAATATTCAAATTATTCGACTATTCGCACAAGCCTATTCAAGCCACGAATTGAGTGTTCTCAAGGCATTGAAACAGATGCATTGTTTTGAAGCAAGGCACGAACATTGCACAAAGAGATCAGTTTCTGAAATTAGTATATATTTATGTTGCATAAGTTGACTCATCATTGTAATGAAAACTGATTACAAAAAAGTCACGGCTTTGCCGCAAAGGTAAAGCAATGAACGTGCGAATTGAAAGGTCACGTGCAAAATGGAAAGCAGATCGAAACTAGCCCTGTGTTTCTCACGCACAAATTATGCATGAAACGTACTCACATGTACAGATGCACGCGAATAAGTATCTAAGTTGTCACTTCGCTGTGTCTGAAAAGTGCACGCTTTTCCAAACGGAGACTGCATTGATTGCAGTGACCTTTGTGCACCCGGTAGCAACAACAGAACCATTCCAGGTAAAGCTCGAGGCCAGCCAAGACATACGATCCTCCCCTCCTCCCCACCATGAGATAAGGGCGCACAAGGGAGCGTCGCTCCTCTTCTCTAAACGAGGCAAAGTAAGCTTAGTAAACGAGGCAAAGTAAGATTAGAATGCGCGCCATCGCACGATGTGACAGCATGCGCTCATTGCGCCATTTTGCTGGTAATGCTGAAAACACAATTCCCCCTAAGGTGCCCGTGAGCAGTGGCAAGTGGTAGATTTAAATGAACGTTGAAGAATGTGCTCCTCGGTGGCTCAGTGGTTAACGCCTTTTGATTTAGTTTGATTCCGTGCGCCGGAGTTTTTTCTAGTTTTTTTTCTTGCATTTTCATATATATTGATACGTGTATATGTATATATATGGTGAGTGACGTCGATGCGAGCGACAAAATCCAGTCGAGAGTGTCTAGATAATTGTTATCGCAATAATATTTTATGCACAATGCGTTCTGTACTTCCTAAGAGAACTAAATTGCTACAAGTATTTAGTATGTATCGTACAGCTGCATGACAAGAAAGCACATCAATTAACTGAAGTGATATAGAGTAAAATGTCAAGCTTCTCATCAAGCCAGGTTCTCAGCCTCTTTAAAGGGGCCCTGAAACATTTTTTCAAGTAACCATGGAATGAATTCACTAAAAGAGCTTATTGCCTTACGAATTCAACACCGCAAAAATTATGATAATCTGTTCAGTACAAGCGGAGTTACAAAGATTTGTCGCACACTGCACTCGCATTGCAGTCTGTGAAAAATCTTTGAAACTCTTTTCTTTCGTTCTGAAGAAAACACTGCAAGTTAAGCGGGGGGTGGGGAGTGGCATGTGCCAGGAAAATACGTCCCGCGCACCTCGTGACCTTGAGCATTTTTTTTTCTTCGAATATGCAGCTTTTTCAGTGTAATCGCGCGACATGCTTGGACAAGTCACTGCTTTCCAAGACAATCCTTGTAATGGCCAAGCGTGCCATGCTCAAATCGGCCAATGGCTGATAGAAGGCCCTCTACGAGTGATTTTTGAGCTTCCTCTGTCATTTGTCGAGAAAAGAAAAAGCAATTTTCAGCTAACATTGGTAGATCATTGTGAATCGCAGGCTGCGTGCTGAACTATAAGATTTGGTTCGCGTGTTCTCGGGAGCCTCTACTATTGATCGACAGTATTTTCTGACCATGCTCAAAAATTTTTGCAAGGCCCTTTTAAAGTTCGTGTTTTGTATTGCCTTGCTTACTACTGATAATCTAACTGAATTATTTATTGGTGGGGTTTAACGTTCCAAAACCATTATATGATTATGAGAGACGCTGTAGTGGAGGGCTTTGGAAAGTTCGACCACCTTGGGTTCTTTAACGAGCACCCGAATATGAGCACACAGCCCTACAGCATTTTCGCCTCCATTCATGTCTAAGTTCAATGATTACTGCAGTAAGCGAAAGGTGACATCTGGATGTGGCACTAAGGTTTTGAAATGCTTATTTGAAAGTAAGTTACATCAGCTATTATGTGCTAATATATCCACGCTGTTTTAGTGAGCAACCTAATTTATTAACCCTAGTTGACGCTGTCTACATCTTCAGTACTTTTTTTGCTTAGCGGTGGCATCCAAGGATAGAAATGGCCACACAATCAAGCGCCAGCCTTTTTACGAAAAATGCTTACTTGCCCTCTGATTGTGGCAGTAGCTATCAGTAGTACTTCCTTACTCAGCTCTATGTTTGACCAAAAAAGTGTTTGTCTAGGTAAGATCTGATGGCAGGTTGAGATTTTTGGTGTTCGTGAATTGTTATTTAGCATGAGCTACGCTGAGGACATCTCCTTATTTTGCAGCACATCACGTGTGAAATCTTTGTGGCAAAAATTGACTTCAGTACAAATTGTTTGTATTTTCTTCCCTGCGTGAAACTAATTTTTGCAGACAATAATTCTCAAAGAGCTTGTCCTGGTATATATTTGCAAGAGTGCACCTCAGTTGCTTCGGTGGCAAAGTGGCTGTGTATGGTTTATGCTGCTGTGCACTAGGTTTCAATTCACTAGGATTCAGCACTAGGATTCAATTCCTTATTGCGTTAACCACAGTCTAGTTTAATGCTTAAGAAAAACTCACATTTTAGGGAAACAGTTAATTGGTGGTTGCAGATGATCTGAAACCCTACACTACTCTATATGCTAGTTTCTGTAAATTGTACACCATGAATCAATCAAGACTTTTCTGACCATTGACACACCAATTGCAGGCTCCAAGTCTACTCCGCCGAAGGGAGAGTTTATGTTCTCGCCTCCTGTGACGCGCTACCGCCAACATAAAAACCAGCCATCTGGAAAGCCAGCCGATGCAGAGTCGGCTCCTTCTACAAGCAAAGAGCAAGCTCCGAAAAGGTGAGGTTCTGCCTGTTTTCCTCGTCTTCTGCAAAATTTACTTGGGGAAATTCTGGCTCTGAAGTGGTTCATCTATTCAGCGAGTGATGGTCTGTACATACATGTTTGATCTTCCTTTTTAAATTAAGTATAGAGTTAGTTTTCTATACTGTATCTGCTGGCCTAATGAGAAATAGCTTATATCTGTCAGCAATGCTATAGTGTTCGCTTCCTATGGGTGGCACAGTGTTGAAGCACAGTTCTGAAAACTGCTTTCATAGACGGCACATGCCGGAATTCGTCGTGGCCTCCAAGCTTTCAATATTAGCCATTTTGAAACGGTCCTAGTGCTGCCAATTTTTCAGACATGCACGAAAATTCAGGCACCATCCTGGCCTTGCCACGTGCCCCATAAAGTCAATTTATTGTAAAAACGTTTGAAATTTCTAGCATGAAAACTTTTCGGGGTGTGATTTTTTAATAAGTGCACCACAAAGATTTGTTGCTTGCCAGAACAAAGGCATCTCGCCATTGCCACACCCGCATGTGATAGGAAGGTAGTGGGTACGAAAAACACTCTTGCAGAAAATGCGTGTGTGTGGTACACCGAGCATCCCCTTAGTGAAGATGTGATCTCGGTAAGCGACGTGATGCATACACTTAGCTAGGAACTGTCTTGCTCCATGCAGCAAATAGCCATAGATCAAACAGCCGTGCGGGAAAGCTGGACGAGCCATCTGCTCTGCCGACGCAACCACTGCGTTTTGTTTCTTCATTTTTAAATATCCCTTTAAATCCAACCATGGCACGGGCATGCAAGACGGATATAACTTTTTTCATACCTTGCTGGCGTTGGGGGCCCTTGGAAGGTGAAATAAAGTTGGTAGTTAGCGCAATTAGCATGGGACTTTCTGAGGGTGTCTTATAGGCGTACTGGCAGGCCTTCTGAACTGTTTTGGGTGTATCAGTAGCAATTCAACCACTTGGGCAAAGTGAAAAAGCTTGAATTGGGTAGTTTTTTGGGGGATCATATTGCAGTCCCTACATGCTTCAACTATTACTGTACTTGTCTAACAGAGAATGCCATCTGCATGCATTCATATATGGGGTGAGTTTGTGCATTTATGTTAGAACATTTTCTTGAAGATTATCAATTTTTGGAGTCCCAAAGGGGTTCGAAATGGGCTTGCCAGCATTTAGTCATGTCTGTATACTAATCATCATTCCCTTGTTAGCAGAACCACTGTGCTTACAGCAGTTGCCAGCACTTGTGCCAGAATTTTCTCTAGTAATTGTAGGAAAACTTCAGGCATGTCATTTCTTGTATTGCTTTATGCTGTGCTTGCAAGGGCTACTATGTCTTGATTTCTCAGTGCTGGGACAAGCAGTACATTGACCATTGCATGGTGCTAATGCTTTCATGCCATGGTATCTTGATGCTTTACACTTTGTGTATATTGTTGAAATATGTTTCAAGCTGCAGTCTTCTTGCTTCTTTGCAAAACTGCAAATGCATCATTGATTTGTAAAGCAGCACAGGCATTGTTATCCCATTGTTCTCCCCCCCCCCCCCCCAAATTGCATAGGTGTCTTTGGCATTCTATTTTCTGGAGACTGCATTGTTGCACCAAGCACATTCATGGTATTTTGGTTATGTTCATTTAAATAACATTTTATTGCAGTTGAGGCTCTGAATAGGCTTAATTTTTTTCTTCTTGTTTACAAATGGTGCATTCCTTGTCCACTTTGAAAAATAGATGCTAAATGGAAGCTTGCATACCTGACTTTGCTCGTTACACTCTGCCGCACCATCTGCTGCTCGGTGTCGTGCAGGTGTCCAAATGAGTAACTCCAGCTGGTAAAACTTGGCATACACACGTGCTGGGTCTCAACTTGGGGTCACTTCACGAGAAGCCTTTTAATTAGCTTTCACAACAAGGAGTGCAAAACTAGCCTGCTGGTTAACAATCCTGAGGCTACACATGCATGGAATGAAGTAGATGGCTGTGCATCTACAAAATTTTTGTTCACAAGGGCACACATCGGTGTGATTTCTGCTACTGTTTTTAGTGTGCCTAAGACACCCTGACACATGTAGTCTTAAAAGAGCAGGTCCGATTTCCATTTGCAGCACACCATTTTCAGAATATTTAAGGGGAGATGCTACTCGAAGACTTTTTTTAATATTCACCCTAGAGCAATGAAACTTAAGCTGTTTATGGAACTTTTTCTGCTGATTTCAAATATATAATTAGATTTCTTGCAAGTTACACACTTTTAGCTCTGCAACATGACAAAGTGGAAACCTTAACCCTTTTGCCCCCTCTTTTCATCCCTAAACTTCTGTAATTTTTTATCATTCATAGCTCATAATGCTTCAAACTAATTAAGAAGCACATACAAAATATGTAATATGCGTGAAAAATGATAGACGTAAAAAGTCCACCTACCCTAGTAAAGGTATACATACAATTTTTTATTATACAATAAAATATTGAAATTTAAACTAGATAATTGCATTTGTCATACTTTGGAAAAAAAATTGGGGAAAATTTCATGCAGATCCGAGCACTAGAAGTGCCCGAAAAAGGAGGGGTACATTGGAAAAAATGGCAATATGCCGGCTGCGTATGTTGGCGCAACCCCTCAGCCTCATTTTCAGCCCACCATGCAGCCTTTCCAGCCACCGTTCCGGGCGAGACACACCCCGGCAAGCCGATGGCGCACACCCGACAACCGGCCCATCTGCTTTGCAATTTGTGTTTTGAGAAAAACGAGTTTTTAAAGTTATAGTTGAGTTTTTATTTATGAGAGATATCACTAAATCAGATGACACTGACATCCCACAGACATTTCGCTCCCACAGACATTTCGCTCACAGACAGGGCCATGAAACGCTTGCCAAACTTCCGCTCCATTTGGCAGAGCCTTGTGCCAACTGCAAGCTAGGAAGAAGTTCCACAGGACTGCGAATTCTAAACTAAGTCCAGTGTCAGGCCATTTTGCAGCCATGCTTGTGCCACATATCGTCGTACATAATGGCAATGTCGTCCCTGCCAAGTTCTCTCACTGCGAGCTCTTTCGACCTCTCAAGATTGGCGCTGACGTCATCCATTGCGGCATCAAGAACTTTCGGGCTGACGGGTGTGAACGACTTTTGATGCATTGGCTTTTGCAAGCCAACTGCCGCAAATCGGACTAGCTGCTCGTAGCTTATTCCTACAGAGCGCGCCGCACAACGGCTTTCACTTGCAAGCGATACTTTTTTTCATTCATAACTAAGATAATTACACGAGAAAAGCATTGTTCAGCTGCGCTGCTCGACAAGACATGGACCCCGCAAATAGGTTTCACAGCACATACAGGCGCGCAGCGGCCAATGGCGGTCCCCGATTCGTACCATGCGATAAGCCAGTCGCGGCGCTCGAAAACCACGCAGAAGGGTGCTTTCTTTTATTATTTCTTGCGCTGCATCAGCGAGAGAAACTGCTGGTATTTGAAGAGTGAAGCTCGAATCTTCGACTCGTGCGATTAACAACGGCGAGCGGCGGCGCATTATCAGCGGCAAGGTGCTCGAAGACTGCACACTTTCAACTTTAATAGGCACCTTGTGCTTTTTAAATGCAATTTTAAAGCATTTCCAGTTAGGTCTTGACCTGTATTATTTTTTTCATAACAGTAGAGGTACTAATCTTATCAAAACAGGCAAAAATAAAAAAAACTGTAGTACTGAAAAAAGTTTGCGTTTTTCTATCCGCATGTCCCCTTAAGTTAGTGGAAGGTATAATGTGCAAAAAGCATGACTGTAAGGAACACTTGCAACAGACAAGCGCTCGTGTCTTGTGTTTCTTCTAGCCCTTGTGTTTTGCGATTGTCTGTTGTTTGAAATCACCAGGTTTAGTACTGTAACCTGACGTCAAGTTAGTATCGATGTCAGTAGGTGCACTTCAAGAAAATTGACTTTACTATCAAAATAAAATTTTATAAGCATTTGCTGAGCGTCACACTTGCTCAGAGCCGTCTCTGTATACATGAGATTTGTATGGCTGATTAAGCGCACCTCCAAAAAAAAACGGTGTCAGTACTCCTTGAACTGCGCGCGTGCTGGGTGGATTCTAAAAATTTTTGCGGTGGTGAATCTGGGAGGCAATAAGCTCTTTTAGTGAACCCATTCCATGGCTACTTCAAAAAGTGTTAAAAGTGTTGCAGGGCCCCTTTAAAGCTGCTAGCTTTACTAAGAGGTGGGTTTGCCCACGTGGGTCAGGCCCTGCTGACATTGCTTAGCAGTCACGATATGGAGCTGCTAAGCATAGGGATGTGAGTTGTATTGCTGGCCATGGTGGCTGCGTTATGATGGGAGGGAAATGTGAAAAAACCCATGTATTTAATTCCGTGCGGATTAAAGCACCCGAAGTTGTCAGAATTAATCTAGAGTACCCACCATCTTGTATATCGTAGCGGTTGTATAGTGTTGGCACGTACAGCTCACAAAATTGAAATTTGAACTGACGCTTCAGTCTTCTTTCTTTTTCTCCTCTTTTTTTCCTATGGCATATACTACCAGAGTTCACTTGTATTACGACGTGGAAAATGTAGGCGTGGCTGTCAAAGATGTGTCCAAAAGCGAGAATCAGTGTATTGAGGGAGCAGTTACTATTGATGTGAAGGATGACTGGCGTTGCCATTCGTTAGGCAAATGAGCAACGCAAGGATATTTGTGAAACTAGGAAAAGGACCTGTTGGCGGTGGCAAGCACACATACCCCACGTGGAAGTCTTGGTGCAAGCGCACATTATGGAAAGCCCCGCTGGAATCGCTGCATAAGGGAGTCTGCACTTCCGATTTACTTCTGGTTGGATGGCGTCATCCTTTCACAGTTGGCCTGCTAATGGCATAGAAAGATTTCAAAGTACTGCTTTGCTCCGAGCTCCTATATTCCAAGTTGTACCAGGCAACCTGCCTTGTAAGACCCATGCACACGGCGGTTTCACTGGCAAACTCCTAATCTTGCCTCTTAGCATCTCGGGAATGATCGCCCTCAGTCGTAAGAAGCTCTTTGTCCAGCTTCGGTTAAACTTGGAGCTTTTAGCCTGCATGCCATGTGCCTTTGTGACTTGGTGGACTTTGCTCTCTGTCATTCAAAATGGTGTGCCGCGGTTGTGTTTGAAGACTTCTGATGTGTTCACGCATGGCTTCTCTGGCTTGTGGATAACGGCCAGTCATCTGTTGGGTGGAAGCTTCTTCTCGCTGGTGGTCTTCATGTTTTAATACTTGGTGTCTCTAACGCCAATTACATATTTCGTCACCGTGAGGGCACCGCCGCACTGCCATCCATGCACAAAGCATATAGAGGAGCCTTCAGCTAGAAAGTGGCGGTGCAACTTCTTCTACCTCATGGCTACAGGTCACACAGTAGCGATGAGAGCGAAACAAAAGCCTATGCAACATCCCCGTCTGGCACTATATTTTCACGCCTGCCTGGTATGCACCAGCTTTGCCAGCAAAATCAGTGCTAGTGTGCTTGTTATTTTTTGTTGCGCTGGTACCTATCTCACTATTCAAGCGCTTGCTTGCCTTACCTGGTGGTGGGTGTCCAAGGCACCACTTCTTTCATTTTAAAGGTTGTGCCTGTGCTTGGTCACTTGCTTGCCGGCATGTGCATGTGGCTCGTGCTTGGCAGTGTGAAACCTAACGCAAAGCTTGAACGCATGCAGAAGCGATGGACTGCCACGGCCTCTTGCAGGAAGCAGCGGCAGCGCCTCGAGATAGTGACAGCACTAATGAAGACCCCGCGTGTGCGCACCAGAGTACCCACAGCCGGCAACAGCAGCGGTCGCACGCCACGGAGGACACCAAGGACTAACTCGTGACGTGCGCAAGCCCGAAACACCGGAAATTTCTTTGCCTGCATCTTCTAGCACTGCCAAGAGTGCAAAGAAGAGCATGAAGAAGAGTGCCGAGTAGCTAAATCCTTGCCCTCAAATTGAGTGGGCTCTGCGTTAGAGCTTGACGAGACGGATGAAGCTATCTTGTAATGGTGTATGGGGGATGTACATAGGTGCAGTAGGGCTTCCTTTTTTTTCTTTTTGTAAATGTTAGAACAGTTTTTGCACTACTTATGGCCATTGCTATGGAGAAAAAAATTCATTTTGTGTTGGGACATTGGGTCTGATTTCACCTTCTACAGTCTTATTGGAATGTGACAGACTACTTGTTACTGTGACTAACTTTCCCGAGCTCTGTCTTTTAAATTGCAGTAATAATACAAATGCAACTTGTGCACTCGGGCCTGTGCTTGTTGTCACCATGAATTAAGTTCAATTTCAAGAAGCACAGCACTGCACACAACAAAACGAGTTTTTTCTTGCTAACATTTCATTTTAGCACCTTATGAATTGACGACCGTGTAATGAACTCATGAAAGGACACAGGCATTAATTTTTTGGAACTTTTTGTTCATTGTGTTCTTCTGCAGATACCGCAGCTTTTGCTTTGCGACATGCGCAGGTTAGCGCAGATTTGATTTGCAATATGTGGAAGTGTTGCAGCAACCTGCATTTCAAATGTATTTAAAAATGGTATCTTGGTTTGTGGATAAGCATTGTTATAGTATGTTTATGATGATTTAGTAAGTGTTAATCAGCAAATGGAATTGTTGCCTAGAAATTCAGCTGTATATTGCAATGTATAAAAACAATTTCGTAATTTATCATTCGTCGGTCGTTTTACTAGCCGGAAGGAGCTTGGGAAGCTGGCTTTGGAAGTGTAATGGGCTATTGCTCGTGTTGCGAATTTGTGTAAACACTGCCTTGTGCTGCAGCAGAGGTGTACAGAATTAAAGATTGCAATGTTTGAGATAATAGTGCACTGTTGTTTGTCTTTTTTAAAATTTATTGTTTTACTTTTGTTCTTATTTTAGATCGTGACATGCAGAGAAAATGCGGGTGCGATCGGCCACCGAATGCATTTCTGCATTTCCATAACTGTCATAATAAACCTAATTCATTGTCTTCGATCTGTTGTATAGTTTTTATATCAGCAAAGCATAAGTGGTAGAAAGGGAGGCAATGATGTGTTTTTTTAATCACCGGCTTTCAATTTTACTGAGAAGAGAAATTGAAAATTGCGACTCAGAGTTGAGTTTTATTGCTTTCCTACACAATGTTGTGCTACTGATCATTCTTTTAACTGACAGTGGGAATATCAACGTAGCTACTCGTAGCGAGAATCGTATTTGCAAAACTAGGCATGAAATCTTTCATTTCACTTGCGTTGCAGCTTTCTGCGGCTAGTGCTCATGACGTTGCTAAATCATGTACGGGGGGGGGGGGGGGGGGGGGGTTTAAGTTCCCTAGCTACAGTACTATAGGAATACACGGGATAGTGACCTGGAAACTTTTGACTCCCCCTGTTCAGTGGCACACCAGCCTTGCCTTTCTACACAGAAGCACCAGTAGCTAAGTGCCCAGCATTGCATCCAATTGCAGTGCACAAATTCTTAAAGGGCCCATGTCACCCAATTTTCGTCTATAATCTGCATTATGTGGGTTAATCCTATTGCATTCACAAATAGGCTGGCGAAATTTCACCACATTTGAGTGCCTAATTTGTAAGTAAACATTTTCATAAATATGCAATCAGCCTGAGAGTCTGGCAACAGGGGCACACTTGCGCGTCATGACCTGGCAGCTTTGCATTCCTGCAAACGATATTTACTCCACAGTCAGCTGTGTGAGAAATCGAGATATTTTAGCTTTTTTTTCAGCTTGTCACCGAAACTGAATGATTTGCAGTAGTTTAAACATTAGTAGAAGGTGATGGCTCTGTTCTTTGTGGCATATGACGTTGCATGCACCATGGCAAGAATCTCTGTTGCCAGCGTTGGTTGTGGTTTACAGACGGTCACTTCAAGGGATTGTTTTGCACCGGAATATTCTTTTATGACCCACTTTTCAGATATGTAAAGGCATAATAGTCCATGTAATAATAATAATCCACTGCTAGTTTTCAATAGAAACCACTAATGGTTGGGTGGCAGTTTCGTGGCTCCTTTAAAGGCCTTACAAGTTACCATACGTAGTGGTGGACTTTACTGGACTAAACGGGCTCGGATTTTTTTTTTTTTTTTTGCTCCTTCGAAGCAACGTTGGTCATTAGTCCAAAAAGCTGTGGTGATCAAATTTTGTTACTGCTGCAGCACTGCATGCCGTGCGGATGCCATATTTAAAAAAAAACTGTTCCCGTGCCCCTTTTCTGTGCCTGTGCAGTGGTGCATAAAAAAACGATTTTGCAGCAAAACTAGTTATCCGATTATTCGATTCATCGGATATTCGACTTCCAAAACCGCATATTCGAAATGACCAGATATTCAATCAGTTATTCTGTTATATTATTTTTATCTTAGGATATTCGAATAACTGAATTTTTATTCTGTAATGTTAGAAAAAATTGATTTTTCTTTGATTATTATGTTTGCAGGCACCATTGCAACTATTAGAAAAGTACTGTTAATCTCCTCACTTTATCTTTTATAAACTTGTTTCCTTCTGCTGATCTAGCCTATGTAACAAATCTTTACAAATGACAAGACTATTTAATCCTGATGTCACCACATGCAATCCCGAAGCCATGTCTATTAGTAAGTGTGAAATTAACTCTAGGTTTTCAACTTAAATTAATCCTGGTGCCATATGTCTTGCTCCCAGTGCCAGTGAATTTTTTCTGTGTTCTGCAACATTTAATTCAAGTGCGAATGAAATTGATCTAGATGCCAAATAATTTATTTCTGGTGCAAGTCAATTTAATCCAAAGTGAAGCTGCACTTGACAGGAGGTCCTGCACCGTTCAAAATGATGTTTCACATGAAATAATTGAAGAGCTTTTATTATTTAAGATCTTTAAATGTGCCATAAAAAAACTTCTCTGTCAAGTGAATCGAAATCAAAGCAGTCTCACATGACTTTGTGCAACTTTGAGCACCTCCATGAGTATAGATTTCGCACACCTCTAAGATCCAGTGCCTTTATAACATCGTGGCCACTGAACAGTTGTACAGCACGAGTAGTCTGTTTTTCTTTTACGAAGAACCTCGGTAGCAGACGCTGCCTGCATCGGCGTCGCGAGGTGATAGAGGGGGAGCGTGGGAAAGGGGAGAGGTGCGAGGGAACGTGCATGGGCAATGGGGTTGTTAACGCCGCTGGAAGGAATGCCTAGAGGAGAAAGAGAAGGGAGCGAGCGCAACTACGCCGCAACAGGTGGTTGTGGGGAAGTGGAGAGTGACGCGTGGCTGTGAGAGAGTGGGAAGGAGGAGAGTTGCGCATGCGTAGTGAGAGTGCGCATGCCGCCGACGCCGTAGGACATAGGCCCGAGCGAGAGATGCTATAATGCCTGAAATCTTCGCTGTGTTCCAATACTCATCGTAGACGGCTAAATAGACAGCTAAATCAACGGCGGCCATCTTAAGTCCCATTGCAATTCTCACGTAGCGGGCAAAATAGACAGCTTCGAGAAGACCGCATCGTAGACTACGATGCGGTCTTCTACTTTGCTGTCTAAACGAGATGGCGGCTCAGCGAATCGCTCAGATAGATCAAATCTCGCCGGAATGGTCATCTGCACACAAGCTGACGCTTCTCCAGACGCTCAGTGTGAGTAACGTTTATTTGTTTTTGATTTCAACACGAAATAAGCCAGAAAATACAACTGTTACGTTTGTTTATTTTAGCTTTTTCTTCTCGACACGAGGTGACGCATTGTCGCGTAAAAGCCGTCTAAATGTGTTTTATTTCTCGGACAGCATCGGCTCGATGCTGTCTTCTAAGTAGTCTTCGTAGACTGCGTGCTGTCTAAGAATTGGAACACAGACCTATACACCTTTTCACAGAAGGAAAAAAAAAACACCGTCATGATAGGCTGCGCGTGGGAGTGCAAAGGCTAAGGGCGTGGCCTTCTCAGTGCATTCTTGAAAAGTCACGCCAATTGGCGCAGCCCAAAAAGGACTATGGCGCCGCCCAGGGAGGCGTTTTTGAAAAGGTCTTTACTGGACACTAGAGAGATGCTTCGCATCTAAAAAAAGGGCAGAGTACAACTATGGCTATGGATGGCGCTCACCTTTTTATGAAGTTGTAACCGAGTATACGAGTGGTAGACATATTTTTTTTTCCTCTTCTTGTGGCCGTAACGAACTAAACACTGTGACAAGCACAGTGCACTCCTGACGCGAATTTTTACGCCAATATAGGTACAAATCATTGTTTTCTTTCCTTGTGGCGTGGACGCATTGTCAGAATGGCCGAGTAGTCCAAGGCGCCAGACTTCAGGGAAAACCTTGCCGAGCGATGCGGGTTCAACGAGAGCCCTGGTCCATGTATGTGGGGGTGGGTTCGAGTCCCACTTCTGCCATGGCTTTTTTTTTTCTACGCCACCGTATGTACAGATCACTTTTCCCTCGTTGCGTGGACTCGACGTCAGAATGGTCAAGCGCTCTAAGGCGCCAGACTCAAGAGAAAACCTTGCCCAGCGATGCAGGTTGAACGAGACTTCTGGTTCACGTATGTGGGCGTGGGTTTGCATACCACTTCTGACATTACTATTTGTATGCCACCGTATGTGCAAATCGCTGCTCCTTTTTCTTGTGGCGTGGACGCGCTGTCAGAATGGCCGAGGCCGACGAACGCGGACGTGTTCATAAAGTACCGCAATCCTTTTAACCGAGCCGCCGCACCGCGCACCCCCCTCTCCCGGCTCTCAACTCTCGGACCGCCACGAGCATCGCGCGTGTTATCAGCATGACATAACATTCTTGATGTGACAGTAGCGCGAGCCGAGTTATAGGGCCGGCGCCCGCACGGTGGTCGTTCGGGAGAGGATATAGATAAGGTTTTGGACACTTGGGAGAGGAGGGTTTGACACTTGGGAGAAAATATGGAGGAGAGTGTCGGTACTTTCTTTATATTAAGGGGCTTTACTGTTAACAGTCGCGGTAGCAGCTAGGAACGTTGAGTAAGATAGCAATGGCTACGAAGTTATTGTGCCTACGCTGCCAACAAGTTATAGCGTTTTGAATGTTTTATTTTTGCATGCGGATGTGAAAGGCAGGCCCTACCGAGTGGAACATTTTCGTGATACGCTGGCGTGTCTGGTGCTGCTACCCGAAGTTATAGCATTGGGGGGGGGGGGGGGGGCGTACCAGGTGAGCCATGTCTGGGCAGTGACATTCAAGAGTACGGAAGGGATGAAGAAAGCTCTAGCCTGCGGTGAAATGAAAGTGAAAGGCCGGCGATGCTTCATCGACCCCGAGAATCAAGACGTACAGTGGCGAGCACTGTTAGGGTGAACACGGCTCTGCGTGGCAGCGCTCTGCGAAGCGCCAGTGCGGCCGCGTATCGCGTCCAGGTGCTCGGGCCACGGCCGCCTGGATCGGCGCGCGCGGCCGTGCGCAGGCGCACACGAGCGTGCCGCTCTTGCTGTACCGGATAAGCGAGACTGGCGCTTGGCTACTGCGGAATGGCGCGCTCAAGCATATCAACTCTATGGCTCAAGCGATGTGGCCGACGATTTAAAGCAGCTCCTGTGTGTCTGTGTACGCATGCGTTGCTAGTCCTCGATGCGAGCCCGTGCCAGCACACTGGCGCTTTGTGGAGCGCGACCACGCGCTTGCGTGTTCACCCTTCACACTGAGCAATCCGGCCGCCGAAAGTGCTCCGAATCCGGTTCGGCGGCGGCGAGTTCCGCCGAAAGGGCCCTCTCCGCGCCGATCGCTCTCGGATCGATTTTTGCGGCGTCTGCCGCCGAATCGGTCACCGCGGACCAATAGGAGCGCTAGTCAAGGAATTTCGAAAAATGGCGGCCAAGCCCTACTCACTT